ACATGCTCACCATGACTGTGGGCATTTGTGCACATTTGTGCTGTAAAACCAAAGGAGGGTTAAGACTCATGACACATCTTTATCACAAGAACAAGTCTATGCACACAAACTCCAAGATAATCTCAACATGTTCTCTTCTATGGAACTGCTGCATGAGACCCTCAAAAGCAACCATGTGACTGCAATATCTACATTATCAAGTCACTATACAGATTATTCAAAGTAGTTGTTTTGACCCTGTCTATGCGTGTATATGTATTCTTGTATGTTTACCATGTGAACTCAGACTATGTGGTCAAAGTAGATCCCAATTTGTAATCAAACAAACCTAGCTAAGTAGATTCCTTTAGAATGTAAAAACTTCAAAACCTTTGAAGAAGTAGCTTACATTCATCATTTATTCTACACAAAATAAAACCACGAGCTGCACACTTGCTACAAAAAGCTTACACCCACACCAAACTGTAGACCAGCATTGATACTGAAAAAGGAAAAAAACAAAAGGTAAGTTAACCTCAACATAATAGACCCGATTGCCAAATGTTTTCCCAATTACTAGGAATGAGTAAAACATTTACATCTGATTGTATTGCTTTATGGCATCTTTTCAGCGACAATAATTCAACCTAATAAAATGAAGTCCAGGGAGAGATTCTGGGTAAATTAACAGTCATTGTATGTATCATGTCTTATGTACGTGTAAGTTTACATCAGTGAACTCACCTGTCTGAATGCAGAGCTGTCCGGGGTATCACATAGTTTAACTCAAACCTTGCAATCCTACCAAGGCGTAAGACAATCCCCGCTCCGTAACTCCATCGGAAGTTGTCTCTTAATCGCTCTAGATGCTGCTGGACATTTTGTTCCTCTGTTTTCAAGAAAATATTTTATAATAAAATATTAAGTGGTCACACAAGAGTAAACCATCTTGACAGACAATTCACAATCAACTTCAGGGATTGAAGGACAAGGTTTGACGAATTAGGCAATTTCTTCTGGATGAAATGCAAGGGCATAATACAGTCCAACCTCGTTAATAAGAGTACTATTAATACAAGATTCTGCTTAAAACAAGGACATTTTTAGGTCCTAATCCTTTGTTTTTCATTGTTTTCATTCCTGATCGTACAAGGTTCATGTTATTACAAGGTAGTTTGCCAAGTCCAAAGGACCTCTTATTAACAAGGTCCGACTGTACATGGGGGTCACCAGGATTTTTTTCCAAGGGAACCACTCATCAGCTAAGAACCGATAAACCATATACTCTGCTGTACATGTCTCTTTATCTTCTCCTAATCAGCATCTGTGTTTTAAAAGGTGTGTGTTACAGCAGAATTTCAGACTTTCACAACTCCACAATTCACTGACAATCACTTACCAAGATCAAGATTGCACAGGTTGCCAGCATTAACAAACATGTGGGTACGGAAGAGGTCACCTAAACCACCCCTTCCAGGCATGAATGGGAGAGGAGTGAATAGATGAAGACCAGCAGCCCAATAGGCTTCTCCTCCTACTGCATCACCTGGAGAAAAGGGCAAAGAATTAACGAGAAAGATATGCTGACTTCAACCTCAATATCTCGATCTCATCACCTTGACAGCTAGACCCAAAAGGCAAGCTGAAACTTTCCAAGAAGATCGGCTTAACTTTAGAAACTTCATAAAACACATCCTAAAGGTGGTTCCTTTCCCCATTGCCATCAATTTTTTACTAAACATTGGTCAGTGATACACAACAGGATGACTTGCACTTTCAATGATCTTCTGAAAAGATTGAATGAGGAAACTAGACATTCACAATGAGAATATAAACTAACCATCAGCATGAGGCCCAAGACCTCGGAAGTTGAATCCCCTGACAGAGGTTGCTCCACCAAGGAAGAATCTATCATTGATTCGTGTTTCTGTGTAGTTCAACGATTTCATCAAGCCGGCTTGAAGTGAACAGGAAATGACCTAAGCAGAAGGTTCACAGATTGGTTACAGAAGATTCGGTACAAATCATTTGAGCCATCCAAGAAACTGAGATAACAGGACCAACTTGATTAAGGATAAGACACTTATCCATAAATTAAATCCCATTTATATTATTCCAATCTTAATTTGTCGAGTTTCTTACACAATCTTTGATAAGTTTCTTATTGAGTTGGATCTCAGCTTCTCCCTTCAAGAATTGCACGTCTCCTCCAAGACGATTCCCAGCAAGCTCCTGGGAGATTTGGAAGAGATAACCTTGTGTTGGATAGATGCGCTCATTCCTTGTATCTCTGGTGAAGACATGCTGTTTTAACACAAAAACAAAACAACAATGACCAGATTGAAAGTTCACTCTAAGAAAAACAATTGCACAGAAAATAGCTCTGATTAATCAAAGTTATTTGTGCAAACCATACGTACCCGTTCCACTAACTGTCCAGCTTTCAACTTGACAGATCAAATTTTTGAACTTTCACAAATAACTTTCACAAATCAAATGAAGTAAACTTGAACCATTGAATTTATCCATCTACATTCCTCTTGAGTGCGTCTAATGCTCAGAACTTCTACACATCAACTTACCTTAAGTGATGACTTGACAGAATGGCCAGACATCTCACGGACAGTAAATGAAGCAGTACGAGACAGACAAGAAACATCTCTCCAGCTTCCTTCCCATTTGAAGTTATGCTGACCTAAAAAGCTGGGGAGCTAAACCACAAACAAACAGAGATAAAGTATTCGCCATTGGAAACACAAATAAATGTACAGCAGAAAGCGATTTTACATTGGGACTCTCACAAGGGTGAGCCAGTCACAAGTCCCTTCACAAATCCAGTCACAAGTCCCTTCACAAATCCAGTCACAAGTCCCTTCACAAGGCTAGCCATAAGTAGCAGGGTGTACAGAGACAAGAGACTGCTTTAGTCAAAACTTATTTAAATAGATTGTGAATTGACTTAAGACTGTCTTGTGATGGACTCAAATACAACACTAATTCATGATGTGAGGAGTGGTAACAGGTTACAGTAGGCCAATTGTCAAGTCTGAAAAGTAAGGACATTGTTGAATGAAAATGTCTTCACTTTGTTTCATTACCAAATTGATGGTCACAGCATGCACAATACCAAAACATCTCCTCCATTGATAGGTCACATAAATGTGTGTGAAGTTAGAAAATTCACAAGGATCCTCTGTCTAGATGACAAGCAGTTCCATTTACTGCAGTACGTACATCATCTTCAAAGGGGTATTCATACGATTTTATTCTGAAGTACACTTTGATTAGCTTTGAGTTATATGTAAGAGTCTTATTACAATTTGAAGTGCAGGTGATTACTACTTGCCAAACCTGTTACAACTTACGAAATCTGCAAGAAATCTTTTGGAATTCAACACAATGTACAGTAAATCTTACCATAGCTTCCAGAAGCACACCATGATCAATCTCTTTGTAAGAGCTGCACAAGAAGTCGCCTGATGTCTTGAAAACACTTGCTGTCAACCTTGGACAAAAATGGTCATTCAAATCATCTTTTATATTGATGGACATTTTTGGACGACTCAGCAAAAGTTTGATGCCACAATTATGACCCAATTATGAGCCTTTAGCTGGACCAAGAGAGGGTGCAAATATTTAGTAAATAGGTCCTTTGGTCGGAACTGAACTTTGCTGGTTCACGAATGACTATGAAATGTACATGTTACAGTTATATCACTACCAATAAACAAACCCTCCAAACCAATATGACTCTTTTCAACCGATGAGGGGGTGCTCCTGCTCAAGGCAGATATCTTCAAGTGAATCACAAACACACCGCAAGTCAACTGTAGTTACCTTTTATCAGTATCTCCCTGTAGTGGTTTGGTGAACGTTACATTGTATCCCATCGAGTGTCTGGTCCCACGGGAATATTCCGCACTAAGATTTTCACCTCTTCCCAACAAATTAGGACATCTAGCTCCCAAAACCTGAAAAGTAAAGTATAAATAAAATTCACAACAAAATAGACACAGGTCCTCAAAAAGCTAACAGAAAATGACAAATCCACCCAATTCTACAAGAAAAGGGAGCTAAAAAAAGTCCCCAGAACCCCAACCAGTTTACAGATAACATTTTTGAATAATATGGTATTTTTCCAAAGTGTATTCTAATGGGGGGATACTTAACAGAAAACATGCAAACACCATTAAAGCAAGAGGTTCTGAATTGTAAGTGACATAAAGGTCAACTTACTAAACTGCCTTCGTTGTTTCCAACAGAAGTATGAGCATTCCCAGTGAGTCTCCTGGATTCTTTGACAATGACTGTAACGTCAACGCCATCTGGTCTCGCTTTTGGACCTAGGAAGTGAAGACAGAAAAATGTGCACAAACCGTACATGTACAATAACAACAGGAATAATAAAGTCATCATTTTGTAAATCATTGTTCACAAAGTCAGGAGACATTTCGCTAACTTCTAGCTTCAATATTCATTCCAATGAATCAACCAACATAATATAATGCAACTGAGACACAGAAAGGAATTATTGGACTAATTCCAATAATTCAATCAATGAACATATCAATCAATACATACCTTTGCTGGTGTCAATCAGAACTCCAACTCCCTGAAACATATCCAGTTCCTCCAGTTCTTGTTTCACCACTCCAGACTTGAAGATCACATCTTTGAAGGTCTCCGCTTCAAAGAGTTGGCTCACATGCTTTACGATAAAGTCATCTTTAGTTCTCCCAAGACCTTCAATGCGTATTCGCTCAACTTTAACCTGTGATAATTTCCAAAAGATATTTATAACCTTCCAGATATAGTTCCCAATAAACATTATTAGTAGAAACCAGTTTCTATGCAGCAAACCCCTGGGTCTAAAAAGCACAGTGTCCAGTATTTCACTCACCTTGATATCACCGTGGAAGATGTGCTTAATGCGCGACTCAGATGGTGAGCCTGTACCTTCCCCAAGGTCCTCTGAGTCTGTTGTGTTGTTCATGTTGTCCTTAGAATCAGTTACAACTGCTTCCTAAAGGAAAAATACCAAAATCGAATTTCTTCAAATCTGAACAAACAACTTTGGCTGGCTATGGAGTAAAGCAACAGTGAACATGCCATAGGCCTGATTGATGCACTCTGACTCTGTATCTGCATGGCTGGTTACAGTGCAGGGTCGTCCATGTAGACTTAAATTACCACACAATTACTATTAGTATTGGTAATGGTTTAGTATTTTAAGTCCAGTAATACCAATAGGCCTAGTAATTATTAGGCCTAGTACTAGTGTAGGCCTAGTATTAATGCCCATTACTGGGCCCTATCACGGACGTATATAAAAAAAACCTGAACTTGCAATGCCNCGTCCGTGGGCCCTATCAATATATCATTATCACAGTGTTAGTGATGGGACCTATTGCATTTGCAGGCATACAGTTCAGCATTTACCTTTGCATGAACAGTACCCATTTTCGCAAAGTGCGTAACGTGTGCCTAATCGTCAATTGAATTGAACTGGGGTTGAATTACGAGCAAATTAATGAGATTCTCTGCCTACAATCTGCAAAGAAAATTCACGTTCGTGCAGGCCGCCATCTTGTCACTTTTTATGAATGGTCAAAAGAGGGCGCCCAACAGCTTCTATGGTTGGGTCCTGGTTTTGTTTTGCACGAAAGTTCTAGAACACGTGTAAATTGTGAACGCAACGTGACGGAAGATCGTTGTTTTACATCAATCAAGGTTGTGGCAGTTTGCTATCGTTAGTCCTACTGTATGTCACCCCTCTTATTCTTAGGTCCATCTATGTCTAGCAGACCGTTATTCTGGTTAGAAATGGAAAATGATGGATATGGATTGACTGAACATGCTGAAATGTATCATACATGTCATATAGGCCTATTTCTCAAGTTCTCATATCTCATTTGATGACATTGTATTTATGTATGTATTGCGTTCTCAGCCTTTGAAAGTGCAGTATTGGATCCTCAGTAAGAAATGGCAAGCTCTGGTGATAGACAAGATGGCGGTTCATCAGGAAATCAACAAAGATTTCATGGAACACTAGAGGAAGTGTTAAGATTTGCAGTGGAGAACACGCCTACAGGAGAAGGTGGAACACAGGGAACTGAATATACTGTAATGGACCCAGAGGTAAAACCGATAAAATTTGGTGAAAATTTTGCAAACTGAAAGTGAAATCTCTGGTAATATGCTATTATTTATTAAAGTTCCATTAATCTTTTTAAAAAGCACAATAGTTGACAGTATTCTATAATCTGACAATGAGCTTGGGCAGTAAGATTTCTAGAGTTGAATAAATACCACCAAAATCATTGGACACGATATTATCAGTCCCCATTAAAATTTTACTTAAGTTCTTTAATTAAACTTATTCTGTACTGTAACCTCACTTTTTTGGCAGAGAAGAGAGTTTCTAAATAAAGTCTTTGCTGAAATGAACAAGGATGAAACTAGGGAAATGATATCACTCGTGGAAACACTGAAACAAAAGTTAGACTCGGAGAAGGAGGACGATGAAGAAATTGTTGAAGATGCCCTTGAGAATCTTCGAGATTTGTGTGACACCATTGATAATGCACAAGGTAATTACGTTGAATAAAAATGCATTTAATAAACCAGATATCAAAACTCAGATGTTTTACTTCAAGATCCCAAGTGTAAATGCTGACGAGTTTAAAAATATTAAAACAGAATTCCTTTATCATTTATGCATTGACAGATTTCCACAAGATTGGTGGCACCCAGCTCCTCCCCCGGTTAATGGACCATCCCAGGTCAGAGGTCAGATGGAGAGCATTTGATTTGATTGCCAACTTGGTGCAGAATGTACCATTCAATCAAGAGGTGCTGCTGGAAATGGGAGGGGTAGAGAAATTACTAGTGTCTGTGGATAAGGATTCATCAGAGAGAAGCAGAGTCAAAGCCTTGTATGCCTTGTCATGTAAGATCTGTTTTCATTCTTGTTGGCTTTCTATTTGTGCAAAGGAAGTTAAATTGTTGAATTCAGTTTTTGTTGAATTGTTGAATGTAGGTTGTATTGGTCTTCTTTGTATTTGGTGAAGGAAGAAATCTCTAAAACATGCCAGTTTTTGCTGCTGAAGCAGCACGTTATTTGGTTACAAACAGAAGTGATTGTAGAAACATGTAAATTAAGTTTTACATTGTAGAAACATGTAAATTAAGTTTTACATTCTTTACTTTTGTGTATGAAAAGTGTTGAAAATTAGAGTTGGAAGGAATATATTGGTTTTGACAAGTTGCCAAATAAAGCAAGATGCACCTAAACATTTTTCTTCCTTTCAGGTTTAGTCAGAGATAATGAAGCTTGTCAGAAGGTGTTTGCTGAGAATGATGGATTCTCAGTGCTGATGAGAGCAATGCAGAGTAAAGTAGAGAAACTTCAAATTAAATCTGCCTTCATGCTTCAAGCTCTTTTCCAAACAGGCGTTGGATTTAAAGGTATGAAGGATTGGAGTTGATGTGAAAGTATAAAGGGTGACCTACTTGGTCGTAAAATTTGCTGCCCTTATTTAGAGTTGAATCATGGCTTATTAATCTTCTTGATTTTCCTACATTTCATTTTCAAAAGTCAAATGATATTTTATTTATTGATCCACATCCTTTTTTCCTGTCTCCAGACACCTTATACAACATGGGTATGGTTCAACAGTTGATTGGTTTACTTCAAACCGACCATACACCAACTCATGAACATTTCATGTCAGCTTTGCTCAACTTGATAACAGACCACAAAGATTGCATCAGTGACTGTCAGCAACCTGAACTGGGCTTCAAGGAGTTTCTTACAGCAAGGCAAGAATTCCTCAAAGGAAAACCAGAATTTCAGGTCTGTATTTGACTGGCCTATTGTATGTTGTACATTTAATTGTATTTTTAGATTTAGCACTTTTAAAATATGTCAAGTTTGAAGTCAAACTTGATTTTTTTCATTGTGGCTGTTTCATTTTCAGGAGGAGTACTCACACAGTCAGCAAGTAATGAGCATTTGCTTCAGCGGTAACCATAACAACTCCTCAGCATTAGACAGATGATCCAGTGGGAGGGAGTTAGGGGCGTGTCCAAAGAAAGGCTAGGGAAGGGAGGGAGTCGAGAAAGTAGGGTCTCCTTGTTTCAGACACACAAACTTCAAATTGAAGAGACCGAAATTTATGCAGGTAAAATTAGTAGAGTTGAATGTTTGTCCTTGCTATAATTATGGATGATGCAGTCGGGGTGTACTTCTAACACATTTAAAGTTGCTAGAAATGACAAAAATAATTTCATGGACATGTGTATGTTTTAAAAAATGCACGTGTTGAGTACTGTTTCAAGTTAGTGTTCCTGATTTGGAGATTGGTCAATCACAAGGGAAATATTCATCAGTTGCTTCTTTCCTCAAAGCAATCTTGAGGGAGTACATGTATTCAGTTTTAGAAAAATTGCAACTTGTTCTCAAGTTACCAGTTGTAATCATTTCATGCCTCATGCACCTGCACCCAATTTTCTGCCGACATGTAACCTATTCTGTAAAAACAGGTGAAAATGAGAAGTATTGCGCACACATATGTACAAATCAAAATATGTCAATTTTACAAAGGTTAACATGTTGAATAAAATACTGAGTAAAATAAGTTCTGTAAAGATAGTATATGAAGTCTTGTTTGTACGTGTATTGGAATTATGCCACGCGTAATTTATTCCACTTTGAGTGAATTTTTAATTCTCCGGATTACATTTTCCTTTCGCCCTTTCCACAATTTGACTTCATGCTATGCCTTTCTCAATGGTGCCAATGAACCTTGGAATTTTCTGCCAAAAGTGCAGTGGTACCACTTGTTTTCTCCTGGCCCGCGTGCTTTCACAAAATTTTTTTTCATGAAATTAATCTAAGGTGCTTCAGGATGTTTTGCGTGTTAAATAAAAGATTGCACTTCATCTGATCAAACCGTTTCGTCTCCATCAACCCCCCCCCCCAGCTTGCACGCCGACCACCGAGTAGTCTCATATCTAAGCTCTGTCATTTCGCATAATCGACTGTAGAGGGCAGTGCAATGGTTGAACAAGATCACCATGTATCAATGGTTGTATTTCTGCGCGCGAGCTCATTAATATTTTGTGATGCCACGGGGTTTTTGCAATAAGACAGGCCATAATCAGGAGGCATCATAGAAATATTTCTATAAATCTCGAATTTAGGACTGATAATCTCCAGTTGAGGGTATTTCTTTCACAAAAAGCCCGAAATTGCGAACCTATTTTGGATAGAGGCGGGCGGCTACATTCAGAAATGAGCGCTTAGTTTTATTGCTATTTTGGGGGTATCTTCGTTCAAAGGCGAATAAAAAAAATCGTGGCTAACCCCCATGAAATTGAGACGAAAAGTGATCCTCAGGCCATAATCTTGAGTTTCCAGTGAAAAAACGGAGGCCAACCTCTTTACGAGTGTCAACAGGCGGCGCTATTTCGGTCCGATTTTGCACTGTTTTCTATGGGCGCGTATTTGGTGTAGTGCAACCATCACATGCATAAAAGATGAAAACGTACAGTTCGTGTATGCGCATGTGAAGCTACGTACCCTACGGTACCTGGCTGGCGGCCGAGGTCATGTACTGTAAGCAGGATCGGAATAAAGGCATTTTACATATAGGTAATAATAATTATGATCGAAATAAATTTGCATGGCGAATACTTGCCTAAACTGGGTTGGAAGCGATGAATGGCGTTTGCCGATTGTGCAGGAAATGCAGATTCATTGGTTGCTCCTGAAAAATCCGCAAATTTAAGTAAATAAATATAACTTATAAGTTTTTACACCGTTATAATTTGTACAATTAGTGTGATCATGGCTGCTTGGGCATGTTAGCAGGAGGTAAGATTGCAGTTCGGGCCTTGGTCGAATTGGTTTCGAAAGTGATGGTAAGGTAATGCAGAGTATAGGCCAAAAAACAATGCTTTGTCATCTCTTTGTTTTTAATGAAATTTTCACAAAAAGGGGGAGGGGAGGAGATACCCAGTAAAAACAAAAGAAGTATATGTACATGTAGAAGGGAATTACACCCAGAACTGTGGGGTCTGACGTCCGCCCCGCTCCCACTGCCCACTCAGGAACAGGTGGACGTCGGGCCACAGTTCTGGGGTAAAAAGGAACATGGAGGAAAGACGGGGTAGGAATAAGAAACTAACACAAGACTAAGTACATTTTTTCCACTTGGCCTTAATTGTCAGTTGTCGACGTTTGGTTTGAAAGTGCTGCCAATACAGTAGAGAGTCATTGTATTAATGCATTTTAGGGGAAGTGTTCCATATACATCCTGTGCACAAACCGTGTTAGACTGATCAGAAATATTCCAAGTGATTTCTGAGTAAATGTTTCGATATTTTCCCTGCCTAATTTAACTTTTTAGGAAACTTTGTCACTTGTCTAATACACTACTCGACATAGGAAAAGTTAGTCTTGTCCCTTTCCCATTTAAATTTTCTTTTTCTATTCCACCCTGTTTTTTAGATGGTCAAGTCAGTACTAAGTAGCCGATAACATGACGTTCCTGGGCATCATTACCAGTTTGTTACTAATCATCAATGTCTGCTTTGCCCAGCCAGCACATCCACATATCATTCTGATTGTGGCTGATGACTTGGTGAGTAAATCTTGTAAATTTCATTTCTGCTGTTGTCATCACTAATAATTGTTCAGTCTATTCGTAAATAAACAGAATGCATGCTTCCTGTCACTGTTGAGCATTGTTCAAGTTTAAACTTGCATGAACAGTTTTCCAGCTCAAGAACTGAACAAGTGTGAAGTCAGCAAGTTGAAAATTTGTGCATGTATCACTTACGCTCAACTCCAATATGGCTGCATTACCACACCTGTCACTGTCATTGTCACTGTTAAATTGCTTTGTCTTAAAACCTGAAATAATCTGACTTTCTTGTGATCAGGGTTGGGATGATGTGAGTTTTCATGGATCGACTGAGATTCCAACACCAAACATTGATAAGCTTGCTAGAGATGGAGTTATATTACATAATTACTACGTCATGCCACTTTGTACCCCAACGCGGTCTGCTCTAATGACAGGGAGACATCCTATACATCTCGGTACTGTTTCAGAATTTTTGTTACTTTTCGTTTGCTTGAGTTATTCCAGAGACTCAGAAAATCTGTGTAGCCTTATATTGGTAATGCACATTTTTAAAGCTTTTGTGTTTTTGTTTTGAAAGCTTTTGTGAATGTTTAGAGAGAAAAAACCTCTCTAATTTATGAAAGAGTTCAAGAATTCCTCATCTTTTTGTTTACTGAATCCTCTCAGATTTTTGGTCTCATGTGAACTCTATATCCTCCACAACAAGGAGTAAAATTTAAAAATTCTTGCTTGAGCTTTGACTTTTTTCTCTTCCCGTTTTCGTTTTCCTTTCATTTCTCCAAGGGTTACAACACAATACAATAGGTGGAGCTCAACCCTATGGACTCGGCCTCAATGAAACTCTGATATCTCAACTTCTCAAAACACAAGGATATAAAACACACATTGTTGGGAAGGTATGTTGGCAAAAATAACAGAAATGGAAAGGCTTTGTCAAAATGAGTTTAAAATCTCACCTCTTTTGGCAAACAATAATGTGCTCTAGGTAGAAGCAAGGTCAAAGTTTCTCTTAAGGTTTGAAAACATAAAAAAACTTGATCTTGCAGTTTGTTTTCAAGTGGCCGGATGGCCCTATTCGATCTTTTATTCTTCGATGTTATTATCGCTTGATGAAATAAAATTGGACTTGAGTCAAAGACTACTTGTTAATCAGAGTTTCTCATTTTTGTTTTCAGTGGCATCTTGGCATGTTTGCTAAGGAGTATCTACCCCTGAATCGAGGATTTGACAGCCATTTTGGTTTCCTGTTGGGACATGAAGATTACTTGGACCATACTGCGGAAGATGTATGAAATCCGTTCAGGGCACTCACTTACAAATACATCGTTCTACTTCAACAAGCATTACCCCAAATACAATTGTTTGTTATCCCTTACCATCTTCCTTATTCTCCCATAATTCTCCCTCAACTGGAGCTGAATCGTTATCAAGATTTATTCTCTTACAGGGTCCGTTATATTGGGGTTATGATTTCCAACGCAACAGTCAAATTTATAAACCCATATTTGGGCAATATGGCACAGAAATTCTTACAGAAGAGGTCAAAAAGGTCATCACTAGCCATGACCCCTCAGAGGTAAGCTATCTGATTTTCAATTTGCAATGAAATTCGTAGTAGTACACAATTAATTTTATTTAATCTCGAAGTCTAAAAATAAGGAAAATTGTGTTCTTTTATTCTAGTTTACACCTTTAAAGTGATTCTTCAAACTAATAAAGATACAAAGTTCTTCATGAATTAATTATTCCTCTTTTTTTGTTTGATAGCCTCTCTTTCTATACATAGCTCAGCAAGCTGTCCACGCAGGAAATTCTGATCATCCACTACAGGCTCCTGATCATTATGTCCAACGCTTCCCTAACATCAAGAATGAAAAGAGACGGATATTTGCAGGTTGGAAAAGAATCACTTCAATTTTGATTCTGTCCAACAAATTTGGAAACAGTCTTGTTAATTTGGGCTCTATTATTTCTTTCAGGTTTTGCATTGAAAGTGGAACTTCACAATTTTACAATTTCTTATTGTCAGGTATGGTTTCTGCCCTTGATGATTCCATTGGCAACATCACCAAATATCTCGCTGAAACAGATCTGTACAAGCACTCGATCATCATCTTCACTACTGACAATGGGGGCGCTGGTCATGGCTATGATGGCAGCGTTGGTTGTAACTGGCCTCTACGAGGAATGAAATCTACCCCATGGGAGGGTGGAGTCCGGGGGGTGGGATTTGTCAACAGCCCCCTACTTGAGAAGCCAAAGCGTATATCACATGACCTGATTCATGTGTCTGATTGGTTCCCAACAATGTACAGAGTTGCTGGTGGCAATGTCAGCTTGTTAGGAGGAAACATTTACGGAAAGGACGTCTGGGATACAGTGTCTCAGTAAGAATACTTGTAATAGTGACAGCTTCAACAAAACACATAACATCAATTTCCACTGGAGTTTTTTAACAACTGATTAATTGCATAAATATGGCATTCAAACGGCATTAACATTATTCTGGAATAACCTGGTGACATTTTCCAAACTTGTGCAATACGACAAGGACAAAAAAAGGACAAGTTGCTGGAGACACTGTAGAGCTGTTGACAAATCATTTACATCATCATGATTCAAAAATGAATATTATCACAAATTATACAGAAGTAATAAATTTCTCCTACTTTTGGACACACCATTAGGGGTCAGTCATCACCAAGGAATGAGATTCTTCTTAATATTGACCCGATTGGTATGTATGCTGCATTACGTGTGGGCGACTACAAACTTCTCATTGGTGATAATGACCATGGAATCTGGGATGGCTGGTACCCACCACTAGGAGCATCAACAGGTAACTGGCCAATGCTTAGTTGCCACACACCAAAAGTTTACGTTTGGCTTGTTTCTACAGTTTAAGTGGCTTATTGCATCATTCAGTTTCACTCTAAACATTGTTCTCTGCAGAAAATAAACATGAGGAAGAACAAAGCCTCGGTGTTTCTCGACCTCAAAGTGCCCTCCCTCCAGTAGTCAGTTGCCTCTTGCCACGCCCATCAAATGCTTCCACCAACTGCAAACCATTTGAGAAACCCTGTCTATTCAACATCAGGAATGATCCATGTGAGTTCTACAACATAGCTGACTGGAACCAAGGTAAACAGTTCTTTGTGTTTTCCTGTTGCTTTGAAAACTGACTCTCTTAAACTATGGGTATCTATTTTAGACATCTGCCAAGAATACTAGATGTATAACATCGAAAAACGTACTTAGCGGGTAATCTGGTCAACGTGGAACACATCTTGGTTTTCACATTTTCTAATTTAAGGTTCATTGCATTCAACCCTTTTCTTTGGAAACTTTTTTGATTCATGTTATGGGCCCCTAGCTGGCTTCTTTGGTAGGAACTTAGCTGGTTCCTGAATAACTATAAAATGCATGCATTCCATGCAAAACAAACACTCTCGACCAGCACGGCTCTTTTCAACCAATGAGGGGGTGCTTCTGCACAAGGTGAAAATAGAATGTGCACGAGTCCCAAATCTAATGCCTTTCATTTGTATCCAGACACTAACTTTCATTTTCCCCGTATTTCTCTTCAGATATTTTGGCAGAGATGATGACTCGCTTACACCTAATTAATGCCACCGCAGTCCCACCAAAAAATGTTCCGAATGATCCAAAAGGCAATCCCAAACTGCATGGTGGTAACTGGGTTCCGTGGGTGAATCTGACAGAGTACAAACTGTAAGATATGCAGTGGTTACATTTCATCCAACTTCAGTCGTTCATTAAAAAAGGGGATGAAGATATGAATTCCACATATGTGTAGAGAAGTGTGTTAATTTGCCACTGCTTAATCCTAACCCTGCCAACGCAACAGTGCATATGTGAAAAAGTCTCATGCACTTTAATGCACGGGCAATCAACTGCACAGACTAGCCATGTTGAGACAATGGGAGCTAGTCTCATTGAACAATGCCACTGGCACTGTTAGATTATGTGGTGACTAGTGACCACAGACTTCCAGGCTGTTTGGCTTGGGGGGAGAGTTGACCTGTGGGATCATGTTACACTGGGCAGGCAAGCCACTGTGACAAATGATGCAATTTGATGTGTCTGGCTGGGTTTTCTGTCTGGCTGGGTTTCCAGCCAAAGTAGGCTAGGCTGGAGGGTTAGGGTTAAAGTGGACAGCTCTGAGTTAGGACATGGCCATGGTTTAGAAATAACTATAAACATGACTTTCATATCAATTGTACTTTTACCAAATATCTACTCCTCAGACTTTCATTTCTAGATTTACACTTTTTCCTAAAAATCTGTGTACCTACGACAAGGAAAATGCAGGGAATTGAGAAACAGAAAATCTCATTGGCTTGTGATAGATGTAACGTCTATTTTCAACTCCTGTACATTCGAAGTATATTTGTATTGCTATTGTTTCTGTTGGAGCCACCTACAGTGCAAGTCATGTGATGCAGGTTGACTGCTGACTTTACCTTCTGGGAGACTTGCAGAACATGTCTTTTACTGACACAAAAAAGTCTTTTCTGAGAAAGATACAGTATGTTTACGTACCTCCTGAAATATGTGAAATATCTTTAAGACGGCATGTGACAAGTATTTCAGAGGAAACTAAAATAGGACTTACCGTGTTGTCTTTATTAGGTTATCCTTTTATGAGTATTTGTAGCTTTGCAACATTTTATATTTTTCATATATTTCTGTCAATTAAAAGTGAAAATGACACTTTAACATTTAAGATTGAGTTTCTTGGCTTGTAACCCTAACCCCCTAGGCCCTATTTTGCTAGGGACCTTCCTCAATCCTCCAGAATCCTCCAATTTGGATTGAAAAAAAATTTAATTCTTCCTCAATCCTCCGAAATCCTCCAAAATTTCTTGAAAATGTTATTTGGAGGTGTGCCTACTGCTTCAATCCTTCAAAATCCTCAGGCAATTCCGGTCATTATGTTGAGGCAGTGCGAATGGCATTCTTGAGCAGTGCGGTTGGTTCAAAAGAAATATCTGGCTGAATTTATGCATGACTGAGCAGGAGCAACGCAAAGTCTAACCCACGACCTTTACTAATGGCATCTTTCATAATCAGCCATGCATTTTTGCCATTCACCCAAAGTCCTCCAAAACCACCCGAAGGATTTTGGAGGATTGAGGAGGGTTATGGTTAATCCATTCATTGCTTTGTATAAATTTAGCTAAAAATCAAACAAAACAACAGACGAAGGAAATTTGTGGTTGATTTGACAAGAGCAATGACTAGAATGATTGACACACCAGAGATAAGGTTGATTTAATCCGTGATTTCTGTGTGGGTGAGAAGCATTGCATCCTGATGTCACTTTATGTGATTTTATTTGAATCAAAGAAGTCAATCTGACTTTAAAACATTTCCAGATTTGGTTTGAAAAGTTGATTCTCCTTAGACTTTGAACACAACTAGGGATGTGGTGTCGGAATAAAATTTTTCTTTTTTTGCGATCAAGCGAAACGAAACACCGAATTAGTCGATTCACTCTTTGTTCGGCTTTTTCTTGTTTGGGGGCGGACGGTTGGCGGACCACGCATAAAAAGTCGGCTTGAAAGCTTTGACTTATAACATCGAGCATTCCACTGTTAAAAGAAAGCCATTTACCTCCATCATGTTATTGCTTCGCCGCTCCATTTAGACGATATTGCTTTCACCACTCCATTCGTTTTAAATAATGGAGCGGTAAACTTTATGAGGGGGGAATTAATAAATTATAACGTACATTGTTATTCGAGTTCGAGACAAAAAAAGGTTTTTAATCCAATGCTACACAAGTACACTGCAATATCTAAACTAAACGAAAGACATATACCGGCATTTAGTTGGGTCATAAAACAGGCCAAGAAGACGCATCTATTGGTCCTTACGCAGTGGCAGTAATGCTGAAGATTAATTAGTATAGTCTATCAAAGCTGAGTGGGTCTCCATGCCGCAGTATAATGGCATGCAGGATACCTCAACGTTCAAACACAGTGCCATAGCCGGGGGGGGGGCACATGGTGTCTTCCTAAAAATATGATGAATGGATATTGCAAAAGGCTAACAAAAGTTCCCCCCCCCCAAAAAAAAAACACTGAAAGCTGGTTTGCCCCCCCCCCCGATGCTGGTGCCCCTCCCCCCAGTAAAATGCTAGTTACGCCACTGGTCACACATTGTTTATTTGGATAACTCGGCATCTTGAAAATAGTTTGCCAGCCATGCTCGTAATTTCCAAGACAAATCCAGAGAAATAAATTCATGGAATGGAGCTCGTAAACATGTTGCAGTTTTCCATCGATATCACAAATAAATCTTTCAAAAAATCTAAAACTTCATTTTTTTTTATGTTGCCCATGAACTTTGAAATTGATAAGCCAGATTTGACGCACTGCAAATGCACTAATGTTTAATGATGCTTTCGCTCAGAGGTATTTTTGTGCAGCTAAAAGACAGCTTCGAGTAGGCTACATCCAACAAAGAATTAGTAAAGTTTAAATGCCACTGCATTTTAAAAGAGAGAGAAAAAGAAACCAATGTTAAGAAATAATTGCTTCTGTATTTTCGAGAAATAATTAGATTACTGACCTTAATTTCTACAACCTCCGCATTTATTCCTGATGTGACTTCTCTTTCAGGGTAATATCAAGAAGCGAATACAGGACCAGGCTGGAACTTTCACAAATTGGCTGGGTCTATTCTAATACCACTTGAGGTGACACGTTCAATATAATAATCCATGGTATCAAGGAGTAATGGTCGTCAGAGTGGATATATTGCTGTCTCATGTTATGGCTATGTATCCTGTAGCCGTAGTGTAGTCTACCATGGGTGTGGCTGAACATTTTCACCACGGTAGAGAATGTATTTTTTACACCTGAGCGGTATTTGTATCAAGGAATGCTTTTCGGCCTTACGTAACTAAAGCTTGCACTTTTTCTCTCAAAACATATACGCTTCGTGAGTACAAAATAATGGAGCATTGAAACAATACCTCATTCAAAGAAAAGCCCACCTACATCATTTTGGCCTAGGAGAGTTAGTTGATTTCCTTTGCAACTCATTAAATTACAAGGATTATTTAAATTTATATCATGTCCCTTGTTGAGTTTCAGAAACCCCCGTGGGATTCAGAAACCACTTTTTTTGTCTACAAATTCAATTTAAAGAAATTATTTATACGAAATTCTCGTGAAACACACTGGCAAGCTTAAAGAGCACGCGAGAAGGGATAACCTGTGCGTTCAACGTCTTGACGGCCGGCCCACACCATTCTAAATTATAGGCACTATCGCCATCTAACACTGGGTCCTGTAAAAGCGTAAGGCGATTCGTACGAACTTTTTCGACCCCCAAAAAAACTGGATCAAGGAATAGACGGATCAGTTACCTTCACTGCAGGTTGTCTTGCCAGCTACATCTGTAAGCATAGAACCTGCAAACACCCACATAATGTCTCCAGCCATGGATGCCGGGAGCATGCTATCACCAGTCCCTGGTGGACGCTTTCCCAGCCTTGATAGAACGCTTGTGCACGTGCTGAACTCTACAGTCCATGCAAGCACTACACCCAAAACGGGCTGTGCCGTAGAGTTAACAAAATAAAAGCGCTTATGTAATTGCAACATTACTGAAATACTATAAGGATTTGGCTATAAGATTAGCGCGAAAACGGACAGATTAAAAATGAAAGGTGGGGGAACTAAATAAACTCTAGAGATGCCAAGTTCCTATGTCACTTAGACGGCGACTGCGTGCACTCTGTGATTTTCAGTAGAATATTTTAATTACACCAGTAAAATCTTCTTCACTGCCAAAAGAAGAAATTGCCAAAAATTTTAGGAATAATAATAAGAGAGATGACATTCGTTTGTATGAATCTAAGAGGATTTTCCGGCCAGCTGACGGACATCCTAGTATCTAATCTTGGGTGCGCCTCTATGTTCGATTTGTTGAAAGTTTTAGATATAGCGCCCCCATCGTCACTTGGCGGTAATGAATTGACACAAAATGGCGGACGTAGAAACGGTTTCAAAGCAACAAGCAGAAGATCTGCTGGACGATGAAGCTCTTGCTGAGGAGGTAAAATAGTTTTAAATTATAGGAACAGTATTTCAAATTTAAAAGTAATTTTGGATAGGGAACTATTGTCAAAAACGAACTGAAACAGCAGCAGATGGGCTTGTGACGGTCGGTAGGCCAGGTACAGGCGGCGTCAGTTGTCGCATGCAAGTTAAGCCGTGTAAGCCGCTAGCCCTGAGGGCTGGGCGGGCTGGGGGAGCGCTACCTCGTACAAGTCGTATAAATAAGGGCTGCACATGTGCGTCACCATTGTCTGGCAACAAAACCAGGCATTGTACCATGGGTTTTCCGGCTTAACAAATGACGTGAATGCATATCATCTGCATTTGACTGCCATGCCTTATGACAGTAAGTTTAAAGTACCTAGTACTACTAGCACTAGTAGGCCTACGCAAAGTGACTGGCCACAAACAAAATTGAAAAAAGGGGGGAGGCGTAAAATCTACCGTGTTGAATATCATTTCTGATAATTTGTGTAGATCTTGACTGCCTCTTGCCCTTAGCATTAATGTTTTTAACTTCTTACAGAAACTTTTCGAGGAGCTTGAAAATGAGGAAGTCCCCGCCCACATAAGGGAGGCAAGAATGCTGGAACTGAAAGATCAGCTTCAGCAACTCAACGATCACAAGTTGAAGGGATATGGCACTTACAGGTATTAACCTTAGCCGATTGAGGCAGTGTTATATGTAGATCACAACCTAAGGCTTCTCTCTAATATCGTGTGCCTGTTTATTATGTGAAAAGTCTTATGAAGGATATTGATTTAAGATAAAAGAAATTTTTATACTCACAAATTTACTCTGTCTGCCTCAATCCATGTAATAGTCATTGTGCTTTATATGAACTTTCGTCCAATACATGTACACCTACAATTGACACCCAATTGTGTTCTCATGAAAAAGATTGCAAACTTTTTTCACTTTTCTACTTACTTTTCAGTGAAATAACCAAAGAGAAGGATCTCCTAGATTTGACTGTACGGGAAAAGAATGTCATTGTTCACTTCTTTAAATCTGACTTCAAATTATGCACGCTTGTGGATTCACATCTTGAGGTATTGAAACTTTACTGTTAAAGCAGCATTATGACTGAGAAAATGTATTACTGTTTCATTATTAATCACCTGTGAGTACATGTGATCATTGCATTATTGTTTGGAGAAGAGGGTTTTACCATTTTTTGTGAGAATTATTTTGTAGGTTCTTTAAAAGGTTCTTCCATGATCCACCCTACACTCTTCTACTTGTTAAATCCTAATAAAGCAATACACCAGTCAACAGCACCTTTCTGGTTTTCTTCTTCCAGGTTCTAGCACAGAAATACTTTGGAACCAAATTTGCAAAAGTCAGTGTAGACGTGGCCAAATTCTGTGTGGGCAAATTTGGGATTAAAGTCCTTCCTGCAATTCTTGTGTTCATAGATGCCATGTACAAGGACAGGTTAGTGAACTATATTTTTTTTGTAAGAAAAACTCCTGTTCCTAGTCTTCACCTACACAGGAGCGGTAGCAATCTATTTGCATAATAGTATCCAGCACTCTTAATTGTAAACAGGTGGTGTGAATATGTGTAGCTAGTTTGTGGCAAATGAAGTGTCAAACACCTGGAAAGTTGATAACTAGAAAGATACAAAAAAGAAAGAGTATCCTGTACCAACCCTGTCGATTCATTTTTCAAGGTTTGCTCAAACTTTTCAAGAAAGGCTTTACAAGTTAAATTTTTTGGTCAGTCTTAGTGTCATCTTCAAATCTAATATCTTTTGTTCCCACTCCATGCAGGATAATTGGTTTCGATGAATTAGGAAACGATGAGAATTTCACCACAGAGATGCTGGAAAGAAGACTAGCAAAAAGTGGTAAGTACAGTCTTCATTTCATGAATGCTCTCTGTTACTTCCTATGGTTCTTTTGGCTGCAAAGGAGTCACAATCTTCCCTGGCTAAACCTGCCATTTTATTTCAGCTGCAAGTTAATGATAGATGAGGTGATACTAAAACAACAATAAAAAAGTTTAAAGCACTTGGCATATTGCCCTCCAAGTAAACATTACCTTTGTCATGTCTCTGAAGGAGTGATCCAGCTACCAGATGTCCAGCCACAGGAGAACAAGACAATACTAGGCTATGACCGACGGAAACCTGATGAAGAAAGTGACGATGATGATTACTGAAATCCCTCCAGTCTTCAGACTGTGACGGATTTTGAGATCACAGCAAGTCACACTACTGGCTATAGTCTCACCATTCTGTGAAGGCAAAGATGTGTGAAGGAGACTGCAAGTTAGAAGTCGATCTGGAGAGCTGTGGTCACAAACGAGATCTTAAGACCACAATCTTGCTCCTTGATCTCAGCTTCACGATTGCTACGACATAACTTCCCCATTCTTGTCGTCCTTTCTCCAGTGCCAAACTCTGCAAATCTTTGTGTGTATAGTGTAACCTTCAAAGCCAAAAGTCTTAGTTTAAATCTTGAATCTGACTAAAAACACCTGTGAAATATGTGCATAGCAGCTTCCTGAAAGTGTACTTTATTTGGCTGGTTGACAGAATGGCTACTTTGTGAACTGTTTTGTCATGTTGATCTCTGTAAGCTCTGCTACCTTCTCCAAAACAATTTGTAACTAAACTGCAAAAAAGCGAGGCATTTAAACCCTCAAATAGCACAAGTGCAGAAACCACCAATTACTATTTAATGGAGCACATTTAAAACCGAAAAGTACTTATATTGAATTTAAAAATTAACCACACACATTCCCCTCTAAACCTCATTCATTCAAGTATACTAACCCCCAAATGCCATTTTATCCAGGAATAAACTAATTACATAAATGTATTTTTTCTTTCAAAACAGGATATTACGTAACCACATTTCATAAAATTGCACCAGTCTTTAAGTAAAACAAGGAATGTCATGAATTTCAATGAATGTTTGTATAGCAGATCAATTCTGGTCATTTTTGCTTGGTGGAGGAACTTTTTGAAATGCATGTACATGTATAGGTATTTTTTTTAGAATGCAGAATTTTATACTTTTCTCACAATCTTCGTCGGAAATACAGTATCTGCTCCAAGCGGAACAAAAGAGGTTGTGTTTTTTTGGGTACTCACCGCATAGGTGCACCATAAGGCACGCAAGTATATGCGCGTCTGACACGGAGCACGCTGAGTACGCGTAACTAATTTATTGCCGCATGTATGGTCTCTGTACATGAGGAATGCTTGCAAGAACCCGCTTGTAACCACTTGTCTGTCTTTCGCCAATTGATGGCGCACTTGAGCTTGCGGCGGACGGAATTATGTCTTCAAAGCCTTTATGAAAAGGACATCTATTCTGCCCCATAACAGCTCACATGTTGTGATCCTTCTGTAATTTAAAACAAAAAGTGCTGTTGTATCTTCTTTTTTATTTTGCATCTGATGTAAATAAATGTTACGTCAAATATTGCAGTGTTTTTGTACTAAATAAATATTAAAATATCAATCTTGCGTCAAGGTTGTCAATTTAACCATGTCAATAGAATGACTCATATGCATTTCTGGTGAATCATACTCAAATGTTAATAGAACCGTACACCAGAATTTAAATTCTTTACATACATTTCAATGCCATTCTTAAAATAAGCGTTGACCCAAAATATACAAATAATGATTGCATGGCTTCAAACAAATCCAAAAATCAAGTTACAATGTAACGGTTATCCATCCAAGAATTCAACGCTCATAATGACCTTTTAGTTAATGGGTGATGTGTACTTGCTATACGTCTTAAGAAGAAATTGGTATGTTGCAAGTTCCCATCCGATCAAGATCAACAAAACCCCTCAATTTCAATAAAGGTGAAGTAAGTACATGCTGCATACATTGGGCTTTTGAAGAAGGTTCACATTCAATATACATCATATGGAGAACAATTTGATTCTTAAACCACATCTGGAATGAATGTGACCATTAGGAGAGTGGACATCATGACCGTTAGGAGAGTGGACGTCACACCACAATTCTCAGGTTGCTTTAATTGGACCCACTGTCTGACATACTCTGGAAGTGCTGCTTCATAAGAGATGCCTGTAGAATGGGTTGACATCCAACTTGCAATGAGCACATGGAAATTCTTTGGTAAGAAATGGCTCATACCTGGCAGATAAAATAACAGAAAATGACCAAAGGGACACAGTTCAAAAAATGAAGGCACACTGTCACAAAAGAAAAACAAGAGTTTAATGGCAATAGTATAGTGATGCCACTGGCACTCTAAGAAGGAGTAGTTCGGACAAGAAGCCCAGGTGAGACACCACAAGCGCTTGGCATATCCCTTCTTTTGGCAACCATTTACAAACCAAACCTGCAACTATTCTGTTTTGTTAGAACAGTTATATGTACATTAATATAAAGATAAAACTTACCAAAAGTTTACAGCTAGGTTCCTGCCTTCAGTGACATTTGGATATGATTGTACCTCATGCCACCAGAACGCTGGCATAAATAATACATCTCCTTCATTTATGGTGCAGTTCAGTGGACGAGCTTCAGCAAATGCTGGGAATCTCTGTATGGTAAAAAGGCAAACGTTTTATCATGTCAAGTCATTACTTTACACACAAGTTCTATGGCCACAGTCATGACTCAACTCAATAGTCATAATGTCCACTCTTCTTCAGGACAAGAGTGCAGATTCTGGAGAGAAGCAATTACAATTATGAACTTCCTTTGGGAAATTGTGAACCAGAATTTTCTGGCAGCTTTATTTGGATGCACAGTTTGATGAATTCACCGTCATCCAAATTGGATCTGGAACACGTGTAGGATTTGTAATTAAAACTGGGTGATCTTTATAAGCTTTTACATGTACATGTACCTCAAAATCTGGATCAACGATATCAACAGGAGCCATGACCATAGCAGTACTGTCTTGGAGTTTCTTGCGACGAAACTGCCCACTCACTCGATTGTAACCTAGCTCAGCTTCAGGAATATGGCCCTCATACATTTTGCTGTTGTCATGAGGATCAAAAAGGGTCAATTGTTTTTTACCTCGGATCTAAAGAAATAAGGAAACATACATGTTAAATGTATTTCAAGACATGATTTTTTTAAAAGAATTGGGCTTCTCTTTGAGAGGATGGGTACCATTCTGTAAAAAACTACCTGAATTACAAACTTAACTGTGACTTTTTTGGAAATGAAAAACAGTCACCTGGCACAAGAAGTTATCAAAGGGATCAAAATGCAGCTTTCCTAGAGTGTTCCCGTCACCCAGCCAGATGTTCAAATGACGTCTTGTCAACAAATCCTGGGCAAAAGGGAATTCTGGAATATCTTCCTCAAGCTCGGGAAGATAATCAGGAATGGACGAGTATTCAAGGTAGGCAGAGGCTCTAGATTGGCAAAGAAAAACATTACTGTTAGCAAAATGGATATTCTGCTAAATACTGACAAAACTAAGGATTTTCATTGGAATATTTTTTATAGTCCATGGCAACATTGCCAATTTTCATTCGCAAAATTATCAAAATAAACAAATGATGATATAAGTAGGCAGGAATGAATGTTCAGTAATCATTTTTTTTACTACCTTGGCTTTGCTTTGTGTGAAACATTGCTTATCATGTCCAAAAACTCAGCAAACTTCAAGTTCATCGTTGCTGGTCTGACAACAACCAAATCTGGAAAGGGTAATTTGTCCAGGACAGTTGCTGGTATTTTGAACGTTCCATAATCCTCCCAATTGGAAGAACTATCAATTCCTTCAAAGAGTCCATCCGGAGCAAGCTTGATATGAACTTCTTTATCACTGTAGTGCTCTCGTAAGAATTCCATTGTCCATTTGTGAAAGGCATCCCAATGTAATGCAGCTCCTTCTAAGATGACTGGTTTGGATATCTTTAAGAATTCATGAAAGAACTGTCCTTTGGTGGGCAGTACAGACAAACGTTCACACTGTGGAAAAACTTTCCCAGGCCCAGGATTTTTTCCACCACTTTCATGACAGCTATCAGGAAATTCCTCTGCAACGTCTTTCAACTTATCTTTTGCCAACTTTGCACTTCTGAAATCAGTAGTAGAAACCAACCTTGCATGTTTATTGGAAGTCTTTCTTTCTGACTCATTACAGAATCCCTCTTCATAATCGTTGCTGTGTTCACAATTCCATATCATTTCATCTTCCTTTCTAGATGCATTCGGAAACTTTGACTGTGAAATCAGATTGCCTTCTTCTGTATGCTTATGATTCAAATCCAGCATTGTAAAATCAGACACATGTGACATACTAAAAAGGTTCTGCAAGATACTTTCTCTGTGCAGTCCCTGATATGTGAGTCCTCCATTTAGACTGATATATGTATCACATTTATCATTTACCCAGTTGAGAACTGTTTTCATAATCAAAGGTTCAGTGAAGAGTTCTGCTTTGGGATTTCTCCTTGGACCTGTGATGAGACATTTCCGATCTTTCTTCTGCTTTGGAAAAACAACTAAACTTCCATCACTATCTCGCGACACTGGAACTCTTGTGTTTCCATTAACCAACTGCAGAGGTTGACCATCAGGCCAAACAAATTCATGGTTTAAGACAAGCCCTGATGTGCCGAAAGTGACTTCGCTTCTCGTCATGATAATCTGATGCAGCGCATTTGCAAAAGAAGTTTCCACGCTGGCAAAATTCCGATTAAAAAGCACCAAAACACAGCTCTTTTCTACCTCTGAAAGAATTCTGCTGGGACTCATGATTTCCAGCTGACAATGGCTGGGTTTAAAATAAACTAAAAGCATAAATATCACGACAAGTACAGAAAAATTCAGAACTTGCAGTCGACGTCTGAAGTCCACGGTGGCTGCCATCTTTGGAAAAGCGCCCCCTACTGGCATTAAATGACCACTGATTACGTGTACTTAAAAATTCGTATCTTCTGGGGTAAATAATTATAAGAAAGGCATACCAAAACAAACACAGGATTACAAAACAAATGAACTTCAGACACATGTTGTTTCTTCCACGTTTCTACCATTTACTCAACGTGTTTTAGAAAGTCTGTAGTCTGTCAAGAATGGGCGTGGCACTGTCAGCTGTTTGTAGGCGGCATTTGATCCTCGCGATGCCCAGGTGCGGACACGCCCCCTGCAAAAGTAATACCACTCTTTGCTCAATATATTCATTATTTTCATATGTGGTCCCTTTGGGAAATAAATGCCTTGTAACTTGACAGTTCTTGAGAAAAAGAGCTATTTTATCAAATTCAACGAGGCCTCGATGAATTGTTGGTTGGGGGATCGACATATAAACCGTTTTTTTTTTCGTTTTTTGGAGCCGGCAAATTTCGAGCTATTCGGATCCAGAACAAACTTTTCGGGGTGTGTTGGGATGCGGTAAGGTTGTATATAAGGGGATCAAAGAAACTGAGATTTTTTAATGTAATATATTCTGGCCTCTCCAAGTGGTGATGATTTTCTAAGGATTTTTACAGGCTTTTGGAGGAAAGGAGGATGAAAGACACTCCCGTCTCTCTTAAGAAAAAGCAATGCTTGTCTCTCATTTGAAAATAATAAAATAAATTTGGAGCCCCTTTCTTAGGGAGGGCATTGCCCCCTGGATCTGATCTTTATTTTAGGGCGACACACGATGCACCTTCCCACTACAAGACATCCGTATTTCTAGGGAATTCCGGTCGTCTCGTCTCATTTGTTATATGTACTCCATAAAAAATTCGCGAGACCGTTATTTTTGTAATAGTCATCTCAACTTTCAAATTCAAAGACACACTTCAGGCAACCTTTTGGTTTATTTCTAAATTCTACAGGTTAGATGATGATATAAACATAATTCTTTTATCAATCCCAATAATATACAATGTAAAACAATAAAAGTAGTCGATCCATTTTATTCATGGAAAAAGCCAAGCTATCATCTCTTTCTCATGTTAGGTGCATTCATAATTGTTAATTACAATTGGAAATTTTACTTTTATCTCCTTTGATTAGCAGCTTAAATGGCTACAGGAATTATCACAAACTATTAAACTTTGTTGAATTGAATTGCTGATTTCATGCAAACTTACCAACCTTGGTAATTAGGCAGATTGCAATTAACACCATTTCAAAAAGATTTCAAAATCTCCATGATTTCAGAATTAACATTACTGATAAAATAATTTCCTCTCAATCTGGATAATTCATTTCAGATTATTCATTGTGATTCTTTCAACTATCTCCTTAGTGCTCCAAACAAACAAATCCCAATAGCAATCAATCAACTTCTCAAGTTTTCACAGGTTGGAGATCTTTGAATCACACAGTTATAATTTATCATCACAGTTTCAATATATCAAGATATAAAAACTTCAAAAGAATCTTTTCGCATTCACTTTTTTCCAAATTCGGTCACAAAGGCTGTGAAAAGTTACATTGTTAACTCAATGTTCATATCATCAACTTATGACAATGTTTTGGGAAAAACAAATCCAAATATGGAGAAAAGGTTTTCATTTCCTGCAAAGAATGCAGAGTTCACGAGCACGAGTGTTCAGTGCAAATAAAGAAGTGCTGAATGCAGAAAAATAAAACTCTGTGGGATTTGATCTGATATAAACACATCTAAAGATGTTCTGTCAAACATGGAGAACGGGGCAATGTTGTAACATCCAAATGGACCAGGATCAACTTACAGGACATGTAAGGATTCAGTTCACCAAAAGCACAGAAATGTTTGTATGCTCCAGTATACATTGTAAAAAAAAAGGTTAATGTCCATTTGAAACCAAAATTTAATTATCTATCATAATTGTCCAAACACCTCAAACACTTTTGGCATATACAGTATCAGACTGACAAATATCTGACTCTATTGTGAGCCTGAGTTGCTTTCATTCATAAATGAGTGTGTTTCCTATGAGACAACGTTTAGCGTAGAGATATGAGAATAGCTCATTTTGTGAAATGCTTTGTGAAGTTCATGTTGATTAAATTCTCAGTAACTCTCATTGATATAACTGGTTTTCCTTCAATTAAGCAAGCATAATCCCCATATCCTAATGCCATGTGAATCTAACCCCCCCCCAAAAAAAACCCAGAGAAACCAAACAGCTGAAGTTGCTCTGTGAGCTACAAAAGTGACGTATATACTAATGGCTACATATAATGCTATAGAGAACCAGGATGGCTCAGCCCATTGGGTTGCCGTGGTGATGAGCTCTCTTGTGATTGGCTATCCTCAGTGAGAGACATCTGCTGGTACGCAGAGCTTAAAGGTTGCTCCATAGAATATTGCTGCGAGGTATAATGTTGGTGTGGTACACTAGTGAATATTGCAGGAGAAGAAATACACTGAGAAGGACTACTGCTGTCAAAATGGTTGACCTGAACAGATGAAAAAACAAATTCCTATTGCTTAACAAATCCTCAAAACTATTGGTTGAGTGATATACTTTGCTTTTCAGCATTTAGCAACAACCCTGTAGACTCTTTCAAGAAAGTTGGCTCAACTGTATGAGGAAGGCAAGATGCTGCTCTGGTAATTTCATTGGTCCCAATAAGTCACACGTACAGTTCTGAAATGTAGTAAGCCACAGAACAGGGCACCATTCAGGACTCGCCTATTACAATAATCCTGAAGTCCATTTTTTTTCTGTATAAAAAGTAGGTCTACTTGAACAAAAGTTTGAGAGGCAATTACAATACTAGGTACCCCCCAAAACCACAACTCAAAGTATTAAAGTGTATATTTTGTGTTCAAACTAGGAATAAACTATTCACCAACAATCCTACAATAGCCATAGCCATAGCCAATTTCTTCTAAAATCTGCCTGGAGAGTAGAGAAAAGGACGACCAATAGGCTATTTCTGACCTGGAATTGTGGAGGTCTTAACTGAAGGCTGGTGGTTGAATCTGAGGGTCTTCCAGGAGAACTAGGATGACCACCAAAGGGGAGTGGCATGGAGTTGTGGGGGATATCTGTGTGATCTATCAATGCATGTAACAAGCAATATATTTAACGATTCTTCACTTTATCACTTGACAAGACATCAAATAGCCAAATTTCATCAAAAAAGTGATGTCATTCAGTAGTTTGGTGGGCTACAAAATTGTGTATAAAATAGTTTCATAGAATTTTCCTAATGGGATGAGTGTTGGTGAAATTACACAATGCTGTCCAGCAGTACACTCACCGGTTGCCAATGACGACATCTGCTGAGTTAATCCAAGCATTCCATCTGTCCTGACATCAAGTATCACCCATATGGTTTCTAAGGTCAAAGGTTAACAGTAGATGAAATCAGTCTCTGTTATCATTGGTCTGTTTTAAATGATGCATTGGAGAATATGTCAGGTTAGTAACCAACTAAATACTTTTCTGCACTACTGTGATTGCTGACAAGGAGAGAAACTGCCATGCCCCTTTAAATGTTGCACGCACCTTTAATTTCCAGAGAGTACTTCCTACATGCCTTACCTCCAAAGAAGAATCCCGTTGTTGTGCACATTCGCCATTGTCCTTGATAAAGGCCACATTTGGATGGACTCTTCATGCGTATACTGATGTCTAAGGTTTGCTGTGGTTCTAGATTCTCCAAGAAAATGTGATCATGAGGTCCAAGTTGATGACCACTCGTGAAACGTAGAGATATGCCGGGAGGCCAAGGCTCCTCACCTACAGGGAGAAAAAAAAAAGGGCATGTGACAATGTCCTGAAATGTGAATGTCGGTGGGCAAAATGGGATTCGTTTTACAATTTAACTCAAGCTGTGGCAGTCAAGTTATCATTTGAGAAATAAAAAGAAAGACAAATACTTTGGGTCTGACTTGAAGTGAAACATCCACATAAACTAAAAGATGTTCAAAATTAGCTTTTCCTAATTTACTACATAATGCCACTTCCTGTATAAAGACTCTTACTGTCCAGGAAGGAAACAAGTTTTCTGTTTTGAATAAACTGCACCTTGTATTTGTTTCCTCAGATCAGGAGAGACATTTTGTCTTACATAATCAGGAAACAATGCTGTGGGTAACAGGAAACCACAAAATGTTTCTGGACTAGGGAGAAACAGAAGCTAATGTATCATAATTGTGAAAACGGGTCAAAATGAGGAAGTTGTAACTACGCTCTGTTGGGTTTCATTCATGTAAACAGAAACACTGGAGTAATATCACAAGCGAAATGTCTGATGGAATATAGATTCCATTGTCAATGGGTGACCAATGAAAAAACCTGTCTACCTTTCAGCAAAAATACAGAATGCCCTTTTTGCATATTCATCCCATCCCAAATGAAATGACCTAGCCGAGGTGCTTCTCTAGCACAAAGTTTTTGTGAATTCTTTGCTTTGTGCAACCATACAGTGGAACAAGGTTTTTAGGCTGCACAACACAAGATATTCTGAACTTACCATTGTTTTTAACTCGCCACGTTTTTGTGAACTCCGTATCTGGTGTTATGGATTCACCTTCTCCTATTGTGACATCTTTGATTAAGGTCATCCTTGGAAGCTTTGTCTGGGGGGCGGAGTTTTCAATGTCATAGTAGGAACCAATAGCTGCTTGTAAATTCCTGTAAAATCACGGAAATTGCCACGGATGACTTTCGACAATTGTGCCTGTATTTAGGAGCAGATATGGGGTGGTGATAAACCACGCCCACACCTTGTAAATCAGATCAACGCCTACAAAACAAAAGCCATGATAAGCATAGTAACTTAAATATTATTACTTCAAAATTAAATTTCCTACCCACAACAAACTCATACAATGATGCAGCCCACATGATGTATACCCCAGAACTATGAGGTTCGTCATCTGCTGCACTCCTTCATGGGAAGGGCGATACATGACAAATCTCACAGTTCTAGGGTAAAGTCTGCCAGCTCATTTGCTTGAAAAACATGACATGCATGAACATTTCCCATCAAAACAATGTCAAAGATCAATGTCAACATGGTCAACAGGAGAAGAAATCGTTTACGAAAAGTTACACCTTGTTTTGGTAATTTCTTTGATTTTTATATTGAAAGAGTAACAAACATAAAACCAACCAGTTATTCATATCCAGGAAGAATGCACACGCTGTCGGATTCAGATTGTTGCCGGCTAGTTTTTGAAATTCCCCAATCAAAACATCGCGATCCGTCGTTCCCAGACTACTAAACTTCGCCATCAAATCTGTGTCCAATTCCATATCCACGTCCATGGTTCACCTGATAAAAGTCTATTTACATATAAAACGACGCAACAGTTGACATTTTCTGTCAGGTTTGTGGGTTTTAATCTAAAGATTTCTTTGCGTTGCTGTTAACACACATTGTAACTTGTGAGCACCAACACTGCAACATGACGAACAACTACGCGAAATCGCGGCGATATTGAATGCGCTTTCTACGTACAGTACGCTAAACTGATGACACGAATTTCACTGGTGTTCATGACTGATCTTGCATTACATGAAATTGTAACATTCCAGGCAGGATACCAACTAAAGTGACCTCTGACACTGACGTTATTAAATGCTCCTCCAAAATATTTAAATGAGATCAAAAATTAGTTTGCACGAAGTAGCCCGGCTCTTACGGTTCAGACTACATGTACTCTTATTTCCAACATTCACCGGTCATCTGGTCGTGCATGTTGGCTTCCACAGGAACTGAATTCAACTCGAAAGTTGTGACTGATATTCGAGATCTTAACACTTGGCTGCGAGCCCTACTGTCGCGAGGAGAGTTTATGGTCATCTATTTGAGTATTTCTACCTCCATGTTCAAACTGACCAGAGAGATATTGAGTTGGCCATCACAAAGCATCATGGGAAATGGTTTTCTGATTTATAGGACAGTTTGTAAGGGAAGACCTCTTCTATTAGCTAAGCTGCCTCTGGGCCAGAGAGGAATTCTGCTCATCAACATGTCCTCTTCAGGCTCTTGCAAGAAAAGTTTGAATTGTATAATGGTGCACCATCAGGCTTTCTCATCATCACCTCGATTTAGAAGCATCAGTTTTGTCCGATCCTTCTCGAGTCTGAATGATTCTGGAACAACAATGTTGGCATGGCAGATTGAGAGCTATGGTGGCAATGATAAACTGAAGCTGGTAGAGAAACCAATTCCGATAATTACCCAACCCAATCAGGTGCTTATCAAAGTCCATGCTAGCAGTGTTAATCCCTTGGATGTGCGAATGCGAAAAGGGTATGCAGCCACATTTCTGAACACAGGTCGTAAGGTCAAACCTGGAGGGGAATTCCCCTTGACCCTTGGCCGTGATTGCTCAGGGGTCATTGTTGGAACGGGGAAGGCAGTTAAAAAGTTTGAGCTTGGACAGGATGTCTGGGGGACAGTGAATCAAATCAGTCAGGGTGCACATGCTCAGTATGTCTTGACGACGGAGGCAGAGATCAGCCTCAAACCCAAGAACCTATCCCATGTTGAAGCTGCATCAATGCCATATGTTGCAATCACAACATGGAGTGCAACATATGCAATAGCAAGGTTCCGTCCAGAAAATGCGCTTGGTCGGTTTGCCCTTGTTCACGGTGGGGCTGGTGGCATTGGATCCTTTGCAATACAGCTCCTGAAAGCTTGGAATGCTCGAGTTGCAAGCACCTGTAGTACCGATTCTGTAGATTTTGTACGAGGTCTAGGAGCTGATCATGTTGTTGACTACAGAACCACTGATCCTGAAAAAGAACTCAGGAAGCTGGGTCGCTTTGACTACATCCTGGACACAGTCGGTGGCAAAGTGGAGGATTACTCCATCAATTTGCTGAATGGTGCCAAGGGGGCTAATTACGTCACGCTAGTGACACCAATCATGGAATCCATCGAAGCTCAGGGAGCAGTTGTAGGAAGTCTTGCAGCTAGCTTTTCCCTCATTAAGAAAGCTCTCCAAACTGCTAAGATTGGAGGGAAGTATCGTTGGGCCTTTGCAACTGGAAATGGGGCAGCACTTAAAAAGATTGCAACTCTTGTTGAGGAGGGGAAGATAAGACCTGTAGTCAATAAAGTGTTTCCTTTCACAGAAGCCCCAGAAGCTTTGAAGGCAGTGGAGCTTGGACGTGCCAAGGGAAAGATAGTCATCGGTGTTATAAAGGGGAAAGAACAGCAGCCAAAGAAAGTAGACATCTTCAAGGAATCTTGAACAGAGACATCTCCAACAATTCTTGTACAGTGACATCCAAGCTTCAGTCATCCATCTAGTGCTTTATGTACATGTATGCACATTTCAAGCTTTAGACGTTTTGTACACCACAAATCTAGTTCTAAAATTGTTATGACAGATGCTTGCATCTTTACTTTTGATGGAAGTAGAATGGACAAAAAGGTTTGAAGAATGACAGAGAATCTCACAAGTGTTTGAAATCTAGTAGAGGAATGTCTATCAAGTCGAGGACTTTAAGAAGTAGAGTAAAAGAAATGAAAATAGTTGTTCACCACCTAGTGGGAAAAAACCAAATTTTATATTTCAAAGCACTGATGTGTAGGTTACAATTTGTTTCAGAAAAACTGTATAGTTATGGACAAGACATCCGTGTAAATTTTATAACTGCATTACATTTGAATAGATCTTGCTATTTTCAGAATGTGACTGATTAAATTTCTTTTGAGATCTAAAAGGTTTCAGTTGCACTAATAAGAAACCCGAGTCTCAAAAAATCATTCACAAAATGTTTCAGTTTTCTGGTATTCATATGGCTTTATTTAAGTGATGCACTTTTGGAGACTATGTACATGTACAATGGTGTGATAGGCATACATTTAAATTAGCTTCTGCACAAAACTGTGGCATATACATGTATAAATTTTTAAATGAAGCCATTTCAATGCAAAATGGCTCATCTTCCAAATGGGTTAAATTGAAAGCAGGTAAAAACTTGTCTTCTGTTGTACATCTACGTGTAATTACTGTTTTTCTTGTATTTGCAGCTCAAGAAATATTGCTGTACACTAAACTGTTAGCATACTGTTCATTTATAATCCTTTATATTTGAACATAGAAGGATTCCTCACTGCATTGCATTATTCGGATTACATAATGCTGTATGTATATACGGTTGTTGTTCATTAACGTGTAGCCTCACTATCCCAAACGCATCATTAAAATCCAAGAAGTGATATAGGCTTATAGATACAGGTACAAGCTACAAGATCACAAAAGAAGAAATGGGCCACTTGGTTACTTTGGAGTGGAATTGACTTGTCATTTAGAGTTATAAATTTAGTTCCATTCTACGACTTGAAAACAAATACAGGATTACCAGACTTCATATTTCTTGTTGTGTACTGCAAATCTGCAGATGATACTGAAATTAAGTTGTAAATTATTTTTTTGGTCTTAAAGACTTTAAGATGAAAGTTACCAAAAGTGGCCATAATTGTGAGTTTTTAAGAACTACATTAAAGTTTATCAAGGCTGATACATGTACATGAACAGTGTTTTCCTTAACTTCAGGAATGGAAGTTGTATTAAAAATTACACCCCATTCTTGACCAACCCATCACGGTGTGAATGATCCCTCTGAGCAAGCGTGTCCATTTATAACTTTATATCCTTGACAATAATTCCAAATGCATCATTAGGAAGATGCATTCTTCCACACATCTGTCTACAAAGTTAGAACTCGTCATCATCCCCTATTTCCAAATATTCATCATAAGACTCCCGGTTGCAGTTGCCATCGGGAGTGAAGACGTACTTGTGAAAGGTTCCATCCACGCAGACAGCAATAACGGATGTCTGTTGTCCAAAGGCACACGCACAAGCCGATTCAGCAGGAACGGTAAAATTAGCAAGACCCCACTGGGACTCCACATATTGGCCCAAGAAACCCATCTTGGAAAAGCTAAAATTGAGAAAGGTCAAGTTGCAGAAATTTAAGTTGCATTCTGAAGTAAAATGTAATACGGAAATGAAAACAGTCACATAAACATACATGTATCGATTGATTAATTTTCAGGAAATATGACTTGGTGACCTTCACTTGCCACAGATGATTTAAGAAAAGGCCATTAATTTAGTAAGAAATTTTCAGACCACTCACGTTGATCGACGGTTTAATGAAGTGTCTTTCAGGGCAAATATGTGGACTGTTCCTTTATCACTTGAGGCACACAGGTACGCCGAGTCATTGCTGAAATTGATGCTGGGGACAAATGTTACATAAAATATTACTTTGAAAAGAAAACATTTAATCCTTGCCAACCAACCCAAGCCTAACCTCACCAATGCCACACCTCACCCAACCCTAAGTAATCAAACTCCATCCCTCACAAATGAACCCACCCAACCTATTCCAATCCAATCCAACTCCTCCCACTCCAACCAACCCCTTCTTCTTCATCAATCTCTCCAAACTCAGTCCCCCAACCTAATACTGCCCACCCCAATCTAACCAACCCCTACCCAAACTCACCCACCCCCATCTAACCCACTCTCCTACCCAGCCCAGCCAATTCCAATACCTACCAATACAGTGTTGCAGGGTCCGCCCCTCTTCGTAGCTCAACCAGTAGCTTCCTTGAGGATGTGTCAAATACTCGGATCAGAGTTCCCTGCAAAACAAAAAGCAAACCCCAGAACCTCTCATGATAAAAAAAACGTGTTAAGGTTACACTAAACAGCACTTGGCAGACGGTAATAAAATTCAAGTTAAGGTTACCATTTGATTCATACACTTGGCTATCCCCCTTAGCTGCATCAGCTCTAAACCACTGCATGCTTTGTTTTGGGGTAAAAATACCTTAACAGATGCTGTGGCTACCAGTGTTCCCTCCTGGTTCACGGCAAGGCAGGCAATGTCAGTCTGATGTGCATTGATGGTTACCGGTGAACTTGATGTCCCTGGTTCCGTGTTTGCAAGATCAGCTAGCTGTATGCTGCCTTGCTTGTGACCAGGAAAGATCAAGAGTTGTTTGTCACTACTGGGACTGACCTCACAAAGACCTGCTTAAAACAAGTAAATGCACATTCACTTAGCAACTGACATAAGTAAATAGCAGCGCTAAGCACTGAAACTTTGTTATCCCCAATCTCCCTGCCACTAGACCATCTACACGATGATAGTTTCTTTAATAACTTCATGGCATACTTACATCTTGGATTTGGCTTTGTGTCAAACGAGAACAATTTCTGTGGATTTTGTGGGAAGCTGTACACAAATATTCTAGTTCTCAGGACGACTATAATCCTAAAGAAGAAAAATAAACATAAAGAGCCATATTCATGTCTGTATTAAACATTTACAACAATTACAATGGAAACATTTTTATTATGAACATTTTACACTCCTAAAGATTAAATATTGTAAATGTAGTTTCTCCAATTAGCTCTAACAAATATCTAAAAAGAAGAAAAAAATTGCTTAGCATACTTGTCTCTTCGAAGTCTAACAGCAAGTACGATGGAGGGAAATGTCAACTCCAAGACAAACTTCTTTTTAGCGTCATCCCAAATGAGGATGGTATTCTCAGCAAACTTGGGCATAGCACCTCCACCTATGACAAACAAAACGAGGCAAAGAAAGGACAACATTTGAAATAACTGAGCAATATACCTCCACACTGACAGCAATTGTTAACCGATATTTCTTATCAAATTTCTGTGGTGCACCGTGTTGTCCATAAAATATAGCTCTAAATATTAAAATAAAATCACACATCCTCTTTTTCAAGCAAACCCTTTTTCAGACATTTAAAAATAAAATCTCTCCACAGAAAAGAGGCAGGAAAGAGAGAGAAAGAACATCCCTACCTACAACGGCAATCAGATTGGTCCTGTGCAGCATCTCAACCTGTGCAACACTACCAACTTCATCTTTGTCTGGAAATAATTAAAAGGCAAACAAAAAAATCATAAAATAAAGAATGGGAAATCGAGCCTTACAGCCACATTTTGACACACTGTCTGATAACATCCTCATATTTGCCTAGCAATCAATATCATCAATGAAGTTGATTACAATAGTACTCACCCAATCTTAATTTCTCTGCCAAGGGTTCTATGTTATAAATTCGCAGGCCTCCTTCCATTGCACAGGAAAAGCAACCTTAAAAAAAACCCCAAGAATTTGACCGTTATGCATGTAACTGACCTGGAAGGGGTACTTGAGAGTTACATTTTAAAGAAATAATCTGAATTGTGCCATAAGTGGTATGCCATCATCACTGCACTGCAGACCGCCATTTTCGAGTGACTGTTGTTGGCAGTTAAGGTTGCCCCTTGTCCTTTACTTTTTAGTGAATGAATCCCACGTCCATTTCCAAAGCTTAAAAAATTAATTTGGAACATCAAAATATAAATTACCCTTGCAACAAGCAAATCTCACCATGATCTTGATTAAAACGAAGGCTCAGTATCCCTCTTGTTGCCATGGCAAAGCAAAAAACCGATGTGCACTGGTAAAAAAAAAGACCAGGTAAGTGACTTTATCAATTTATGCTGCATGAAAACAGTGGCCCTGATCTCTCACTACTTCATGAACTATTGGGCTCATAATGTTCTGCCTTTCCGAATTTGGAACAAACCAATAGTTCTAGAAGTACTCACAAGTGAAGCAAAGGAGGGTGGATATCCCCTACCCCATGGGAACTTATGCCCTGTCTGAGAAGATCCTGGCTACTGTATGAAACCAAGTGGGACAAGGGAGACAACTACCTTGCCCCTTCCCTCCCCACCTCCTCCCCCCTCCCCATCAAACAGTGCCTGGCAATGCTACTGACACTGATAACACAGCATGGGTTTCAACTTACCCAATAGCCCCACAACAGTATGCCAGTGATACCACATCATGCCATCCATTAGGCCATGAGAATAGTAGTTATAGATTTGTGTCCAGTGACGGCCACTGCCACCCCAAAAAACATTATTTACAAAATGTCATTATTGTCTGCTTCAGCTATGGCCGAGCATGTGCATCAGATCGGCTTGCACATTTATTAAGTACGCTTTACTGCCCATCCTTTTTGTTGTGATGATCCCTATTTGACCTGATCCCTAAACTGATGAAAGGCCAACATGTAGCTCATCCCTCAGCAAGACTTTTGGTTGTAGTTTGGCAGTATTATACTTGAAAAGTGTCTGTTCTTGGAGGTTGAAATAAACTAATGAATAATGAGAAAATGCCTCATGTGTTTTTTAAATTATTAGGATGCAAATCTACAACTTTTGTTCTCATGGCCTCATCAGGACTATACCCATGGTCCATGTTGTATTAACGTACATGTACATGCACAATACATGTACATGCACAATACATGTACATGCACAATACATGTACATGCACAATACATGTACATGCACAATACATGTACATGTATATCGAAAAATTGCTTTAGGCCTGCCTTATTCTGCTTGGTGTGAGCACAGACCCGATAACAGGGCCCATATATGCTTCCACGATACTCATGTTGACGGAGGGGTACGGGTATATACCCCAGAACTGTGGGGTCCGACGTCCACTCCTCTCTCCACGTAGGAGAGGAGCGGACGTCGGACCCCACAGTTCTGGGGGTAAGGGGTGTACAAAGGGCCCTGTCAATGGGTTTAACCCTAACCCTCCTCAATCCTTCACCTGTTGGAGGACTGAGGAGTGTTAGGGTTTAATGTTAATTCATTACTTATCATGCCTTTTCAGCAGTCAATTTATCAATCCAGCCTTAAGTTATACCACATGGGTGATTTTGCATGCTGCTGGTGGTAGAAGAAAGGCATGGTAGGAACGAGAAAGGAGCAAACACTGCCCTGTTTAACGTTTTCCTTCACATGGTGCCTTTCTAACATTGTGCAAAATCACCTGCGGTATAACAAGGCTTAACATTAATCATGTTTGACCGGAGGCCTAGAACTAGTATCTGGGGCCTACATGGCCAGCCTATACCCCCAGAACTGTGGGTAGAGGAGCGAACATTGAACCCCAAAGTTCTCGGGGTGGCCGGCCTAGGCATACTACTAAAATAAGGTTTTTTATATTCAAACCATTCATTTACAATTAATTAAACATGTGCATAAAATTACGCATAAACAAGTAGACGTCACGTTGGGCATAAAAAATATTTAACATTTCCAGTCAACAGTATCCTTTCAATAAGCGAAATTACTTACACTGGTAAAGGGTTGTTTGACCAACTTTGTCCGCAGTGTTTTTAAGACAAGTCGAAGGTTAAAAAGCCTGAATAGTCAGCCTGCTGATAAGGGCAATAACCCAGAACGAAAAATGACTACATCTTCTTTCCAAACCTGAACGTTTCGTGCCCTCAACAGAACGTTACATACGTCGATAATGTACACGTATGCCCGGCCCCTCCAGTACCAGAACTTTGCAGCAAATTTTTCGAAATAATTGTGTAGAAGTCCAAATTTCAGAAGATGGACTGTGGGCTAGTTTAGGAGTAAGAATAACATTGGCAAAATTTCAACTGTAGAGGGAGTGCTTTTACTTTATTTGGGCGCGGTGCAGTCAACTGTGACCACCATACTGCAGCTGACTGAGCTTCACGCACGAGCAACCGATGTCGTAGCCTTTGTGTACATGTACATTGTAAGCTTTAATATCAAGCCGGCGACAGGCGCTTCGCCATTGTGTTGCTAGCTTTGCCCTTATTTAGCGTAGGTATTTGTACACGTCGTGAGTCGTTAGATGGTTTCGGAAGAAAGGTCTTTATACGGAGGGGTGGACAGGTCCCGGTGGTAAGTTAATACTGAATTCACGCATGCAATTAATTTAGGCTTGCCCGACAGGTGTTACGCACTCTTTTCACGTGCGGATTGCACTACAACAGCAGAATTCACGTGGTCATCTTAGGCCTATTCATGTTGTGCTGAGCAAGCGTGCGTTAAGTACGTGAGGCATGGAGGATCTTAGCATGCTTAGGAAGGAACGTTCCTCAGAGTCAGAAGACAGCGGGTGCGGGTAGGCCTAGACTATTTTAAGTATTTGTAAAATGGTACTTGGTAATTTTGGTAAATATGTAGGTTAGAACATGACCAATCAAATGCTTGCTGGGATATGTAATTGTCATGACTGTGGTAGTGGGGTAAACATGATGAAAATGATCAGTTAAGTTCATGTTGTATTTTTTTTATTTTGAGTTAATGCACTTTTTGTGTATGATGATCATTTGTAATCCGTATGAGTGTTGTAAAAGAACCAAAACAAAAACAAAGCTCAATTATATGGTCAATGAGTTTTGATTAATTCTGCCTTGGAGCTCCGTAGTTAATTCTGCTTTTAGAAACTAAAAGACATCCCAATGGCTGTGCCCATGGAGGTAGAAACATGCTATACCTAACATGGTTAAGTTTTATCACCCTTCTCTATCATGTTTTAGTGAGGTTATGATGCTATAGGTCTACTTTGAATCCAGCCTTTATAGACATGTATATGAATTACTTGACTTTGTGCAAGAATTCCACTTTCTCAATTAAATCTTCCCCAAAATGCTTTAACAACAGATCAATGTGGCAGCCTACCTCTAAAGTTCACGAGAGTAGTTTTTCAATTATGACTAACTATTTTTTGAAAACTTGCCATCCTTTAATTTGCCACAAGTTTCTAGAAGCCCAATGATTCCACCTTTAGGATGACCTCATTAAATCTAGGCCGAGGCCTAATTTTTATTTTACTGTATTTGTGTTCAGTTAAGTTGTTGCAAGTTCAAGCTGAAAATTGGTCAAGATGGCAACAAAATATACTAGGGAGTCTGGACAACCGGTGCCCCGTAATGGGAACCAGCCATCAAGGCCGTCGTTTTCTTCATTCTTGACGAATGTGGAGGATGATGGCACCATGACATACTTCTGGTGAGTCAGTAACGGGCTTACTTTCTATGAGCTGGAGCAAAAACAGTTTGTAGTGTGTTTTGTACAAAGAAAGGAGGAAGATTTTTGAATGATTCTGTACATGTAACCTAAAGGAGGGGATTATGCACACATCATGTGGTTTATTGCTCCGGGGGAGTTACTCCATTTAAAGCAAATCTGTACAGGACAGCTACAGTGAATACAATAAAAAAGGAAGTACAGGAGAACTTCTCCTATAAAGCAGAATATTAGAAAATGCAAAATAATAACTAAAATAAATTAACCCTACCACACTTGCACAAAGATTTTCTTGACCTTTCTGTTGAAAGTTTTGTGTTAAAAGGAACACTCGCCCCATGTAGTTCTAATAGGTTTAAAATTTGCATTTATAGCTACACATAAAAGCAAGTAAAAATTTGAAATATATTGTAAATTTGACTGAAACAGAAAAATTTAAATTAACAGAAAAGTAGATTGGGAAAAGAAGTTGACAGAGACTCGAAACTAGTTTTTTTTCATGATATCAAAATAGAATTGGTTAAACATGCTTGCCTTTCTTCCAACTGTTCAACCATATTTGGCTCTCCTCAAGACTTTTCTATGAAAGAAGGTATTTCTTTCCAACATCTTAACTTAAGGTTGAGGAAAGTTGACCTGATGTGTTAATTTTTTTTACCAGAGGTTCTCATATTTGCCTTGCTTATTTTATTTTATTTTAAGGAGAGCTCATTCCATCACAGCATTAATCTGTATGATTGGATCTCTGTTGTATGTGACGCTCTTTGAGGATCAAACTAATGACGTCACTTGGAATGTCAAAAGGTGAGAAAGTACAACGCAAAGTTTCAAATACACAGCCAATTTAAAATTTTAAAAGAGACATATCTTACAGAGATAGTCCAACCTGTGATTTTTCTGCTTCCAGGGGCATTGTGGCTTGTGTTGTAGTGTTCTGCGTTTTCGGAATGACTCAGGTGCGAGATGGTCCCTTCAAACGACCACACCCTGCCTTATGGAGACTGGTTGTCTGTCTGAGTGTAGTCTATGAGTTGGCCCTGGTCTTTCTGCTTTTCCAGGTATTACTTCCCAACTTGACAAAACCAGTTTTGTGTTTTGGTCTTTAACTACGAACTAATTCTGAACAGTCTCTTACATACAGTAACTTTCCGATGGTTTGTGGTCCTGTGTGGGTCTTTGTGTAGACTGTAGACAATGCTCGTCAACTTGTAGCTTACTTGGATCCAGAACTGGGGAAGCCTCTTCCAGAGCAATCATACGCGGAAGACTGCAGGATCTATGATCCAGACGGTCATCCTGGAGGACCCTGGCACAATTTGTGGGTGAGTCTTTTCTTTTACTTAATTGACACTGAGCAGAATAACGTTTTGATACATGCATTTGTTCCTGACAGTGCTAAATGATTATAAGAGGCCATGTTAATGGCTGGTTAGATTATTGACTTGCAGGTTGGCTTAGCAGTTTACTGACTGATTGTATATCAAAATGGCTAAATGAGCAGATGGCTAGTTGGTTGGTTGGTTATATGACTGGCTGGCTAGTTGGTTGGCTGGTTGAATGTTCGGGTGGCTAGCTTGTGGCCTGTGTATTTTGAGCAAGTTTGTTTTCTACTGACATTGTGATCTTTTAACTTTCTACAGGAAAAGGTGGATGTCTTTGTTGTGGGTCATCTATTGGGCTGGTTCTTCAAGGTAAGAGAAGACACCTGGTGAAGAATTCTACTAAAAAGGTTAAATTTGAGACTTACGATATTTTGTAAGTCACAGCTCATTATTGTGCTTTGCCTGCATGTTTATTCGTGGAAAACCCACTTTGTAAGAAGCATTGACTGTGGGGTGATATTGATTAGACTCTATTTGCAGCCCTCAAGTCTTTTTCTTTTTTCATTGTAACAAGTAATGAGATAACATTAATACATGTATAGTGATCAGAGGCACCTGAACTCTGGGATTGAATTTGGAATTCATAAGCCCCACCTCTTTTGACCATATATGGCTATTTCTTTCACAGATGTTAATGATTAGGGACTATTGGGTATGTTGGGTCATCAGCATCATGTTTGAAGTCTTGGAGTACTCTCTGGAGCATCAACTGCCCAACTTTGCTGAGTGTTGGTGGGATCACGTGAGTATGTTTCCATGAGTTACTAACCATAGTGTATTTATTTGCTGTGATGTCCTTTGGCCAAAAGGTAGAAATGTCACATTTTAAACCACAAAGTAATATTTCCTTCATTCAATGAGTCATTGTGTTTGACATCTGTTGTAGTGGGTTCTTGATGTCATTGTTTGTAACGGAGCTGGTATTTGGCTAGGGATGAAGACTCTCAACTATCTGAACATGAAGACGTACCAGTGGCGAGGCCTATGGAAGATACCTACCTACCGGTGAGACAGCCAATAACAAGTTAGACCCGATGTCGTGTCAACTGTGCAGAGTTGAAAGTCTTGTCAGAAATATGTTTATGCCTCCACATTGAGTTTTCTTAAATTTTCCAGATATCCAAGTGTGCTTAAAGTATTTTTGAGAAATAGATATCTGTCATGAGCACCCCGCATTGGTTGAAAAATGCCATGGTGGTTAGGAGTGCTCATTTTGTTGGTAGTGATGCGACTGTAGCACTTGCTTAGCACTTAGCACGTTACTACTAAAGGAGCCTCTGTTGCTAGGAAAATTGCACCCTCTCTTGGTCCAGCGCGGAGCCCATGGTAATTGGAAGCAACCAGCCAAAATGGAAAAACAAACATTAAAATCTTGACAAATTGATGATTTTATTATTGGTTGTGTTTATTGTTTTAGTGGAAAATTGAAGAGGATCTTCCTCCAGTTCACGCCATACAGCTGGACTCGGTTTGAGTGGCAACCAACTGCTAACTTAACACGTTGGCTTGCTGTACTTGGCATTATTTCATTGGTGAGTTGATTATTTGTTGTTGAAGTCATTCAATGTAATTTGCTGGTTGTTTTAAAGCTCACCTGTTGTTGAAATTGTGGATTGTGTAACCCTATTGTTACTGTGCTTTATGAAATATCAAGACTAATTTTTTTTCCATCACTATCACTATTTTGTAAAATTGTTGGACAGTATTTATTGGCAGAGCTGAATACATTTTATCTGAAGTACATCTTATGGATTCCCCCTCCACATCACCTCAACTGGCTACGTTTGGCCCTGTATGTCCTTGTTGGTTCCTGTGCCCTGAGGGAGACATTTCAGTACATGAGTGATCCGTAAGTAGTCACACACAAATATTACTTTATTGTCTGACTCAGAATATTATTTTTCTTTTGAAAATTGATCAACCACTGACTGTGAGGCTTTTTGGCATTGTACTGTGCTTCCAGGTTACCCACAATGCAATAGTCCCCACCTGGTGCCCGGATTACCCAGAAAGCAGCCCCATTGCATTCTGGGTAACCCCAGCTGTAGTTTCACACTTACCAAAGGTTTTGACATGACCACTGTGTGTGTTGGGCCCCATTTGAGACAACATGCAGACATCCATTGTGACACTTCTGTAACTTTTGGCCTTTAATTCCATTTGGCTGTTTGGATGCAGGGAGTGTAAGACGTTGGGTCAGCAGTCATGGGTGATGGTGGCCATCATCCTCACTGAGCTTCTTATTGCTCTCAAGTTTGACCTTCAACTGATCCTCAAACCATTTCCTCGGCACATCGCCATCTGTTGGCTCCTGGGCATCCTAGCCATACTGTCTTGGACAGTGTGGAATTTCTGCATTCACCGCATCTCATTTCGCTTTTTGAACTGGAAGATGAAGAAACCTAAGAGTGGGAACAAAAAGAAGGAAACCGTGGCAATCAATTCTGATTCTGACGAGATCAAAAATCAGTTAGTGTCAAAGTACACTAATGACTTCCCACCTACTTTGAAAAAGCAAACAGACCCTCCCTATGTGACAAGACTCCGCCCACGAACTAATGAAAATGCTTAATATTGAATCATCATTTGCACAGATAGGGATTACTTACCCCAGGTAAATGTGGAATACTGAAATGGTCCATAAAGGGAAACTGCAGTGAATGTGGTGATTTACTTGTGTTCTTTGTCTTATTGGAAAGTGTTGATTGAAATCTTACAAATACTGTTGATTTCCAACATGATTAATTATCGTAAAGAGGAAATGCCGTGCTTAGGGTGTGTGTTTATATATGCGTTTTCCAAAGTGGATATTATTTTGTTAGCATATGCATGAAGGATTTCTGTTGGTAATGTACCAAGGTTGTACTTTGTCCTGACTAAGTATGCCACCACTTTTTATTCCTAATTGCACGATTTCAGTTTCTTATCAAGATGTGTGCCTTTTATAGTTTTAAAAGTTTATATTGGAGGAATACACACTCTGTGTTTCAACATCATGACAAGCAGTTTTCTCATAGCAAGGATGCTTTGCAAGTGAAATCACTGTGCTGAGCCACATTATTTCCTTTCAGGAAATATTTTAATTCTTGCAGCCGGTTGATTTTGTGGATGGTCCAACTTTTCAGCTTCCTGACAAACAAAGAACCACTAAAACTCAACTTGCTAAAATATTAAGATCGATTGACCTTTGACCTTACATGGTTTCATTTGGGATTGTTTATTGAAGCCATGTCTAGAACTTGTAAGGGACTGTGCACATTTCAGCTTTTTATATAGGAATTCAGGATTGTGGATAACTGTTAATTTACTGGTTCTTTTATTTAAAATATGGAGCATTTTGGTGCTTCACTTTGTGGCTGTTGTAAGAAGACTTTTGTCTTGTGCACTTGTAATGTTAACAGCATTTCTGGCATGGAATATAGCATTTTTGTTTTGCAAATTTCACTGTCAATGCCTGCTGTTCACATTGTACCACAAAGATGAATGTTTGACAGGAATGTCAATGACAGTTGCATTACGTTTGTGATTTGGAAATGGACGAATTCCAAGATTGCTTTGAGGGACTTTTTTCACCTAGCCAAGATCTAACCACTTGTTTAAACTGAATAAACTGAATACCTAGAGTCTAACAATGCAAGCTCAACTCAACCAGACACACAATTATATAAAAATTTTAAGCTTCTATGTTAATCAAATGTTTAAAACACACAACTTTAATTTGAGAAATATATATTTTAGATGTCTTAAAGAGGCATGAAAGATTACAGCTGATGAAAACCGACAGTAACTAATCAAAATATTTAATGGAATGTTAATTTATTAGGCTGCATTTGCTTTGCCATTTAATTTTCTAATGAACTAAAAGTTCACTGAGTGTTGTATTCTGCATGTTTTGACCAAGGTTAATTTAAGTAGGAGATTATCAATCATTAAATTGCCTTAAAAAGGAAAAAGGTTTCATGTATGCTTATCATGTTAAAATTCAATGATTGTACTTTGATTTTTCATGTAAAACAGTAACCAGTACTGTTTATAAATTCCTTGCTTGCTTGGCAGAGTAAAAAAGCCTGTAATCTTGTAATTAAATTGAACTTGAAGCTTATAGATATTTGCTGCAGTAAAAACTTATTTGATTGTATTGTTTGCCAAAATTTAATCAACTTAACAGTCCATTTTTATTTTTGCTAGAAATTGTCAGTCAATGCTTACTGATTGTTTGGACATTTTTTAGATTTCTTGTTTTTGTTTCGTTTTAATGATGGGGTATGTTTTCAAGTTGTTTGATCGGCTAGGTTTGCAGTTTGTAATTATGATTCTGAAAGAGTGGAGAGAGTGTTTGATTTTTGCATAACGAGTGCCTCTGACAGCATGGTTAGACTGAAATAATAATTTCATGTGATGTGATATTTGTAAAAATGTGATGGTGTATGTTTAATAGGTACGTGATTGAAGAATTGACTGATGCAAGTTTATAAATGACTATAAATAGCCTACGACACCATGGAATAAAGTGCATGAGTTTAAAAATATGGTGAAACCATTATTATATGCCCCCAAATAATGTGTTGAGTAAGGAAATAAAACGTGAATTCTTGCAAAGTGCCTCTCTTGCCTTTTTAAAATGCTTTTGGATATTTTTTTGGGTAGGGGTATGATGATGTTCCGCTTATATAGGAACATGGAGGAATTATGGGAATGGTGGTGACACTGTCGGGTGTTATGATGTACATGTGGGATGTCGGACAACTCGACCGTTTGCCAACTCGACCGTTGAGACAACTCGACCGTTTGCCAAGTCGTCCGTTAGGACAACTCGACCAGTGAGATCTCTTCACATAATACAGTCGTTTTCCCAGTTCAAGATAGCGAAATTATTTAGTCAGATTGCAGCTCCACAAAGATCCTCAAATTCCAGTGAAATGTGGTCACCATCCATGCACCTTGTGTGATAGAGATACCACGGTTACCACCGAATCAGTTTCAAATCTTAAACTTTTAATTTGGACGCACGGGATCGACGAAAGTGGTGACAGTTTTTCTCGCTCTGAATCTGTTTGTAGAAAGTAACCACGCGAGCGGCAAACCTATTTTCAGCCAGAACCATTGTAAAAAGCTTATTTTCTAATGAAAAATTCCTCAATTTAGAAAACTTGGTTCATAAATAAGAATTCCGATGATTTTTTTAAAAATTGGAATTTGTGTGAATTTCGACTCAACTTTTTCAGCTGTACAATCAGCGTGAGCCATCAACAATACTACTCCGTGCCGCACAGCTGACGAACCTATTACGTAACGTACATTTCTGCAACGTACGAGATGAGTTTGCAAAGTACATGTATATTGTGTACATGAACTTAATGCCTGATCTAAAACTAGGAAGCAATATGCGTTCAGTTTTTGGCCAGTTTTAATAAAACGCAACTTTGAAAAGTCATTTTGATTAAACAGACATTAGATGCACAAGTTTATATGACTGCTGAGTCATATAATTGAAACGTCAGGACCTCCATATTCTGTGAGTTAAAAGTCGTCAGAGCCACTTTTCGAGCCGAAAGCCCAAAAATCTCGCAAAATGTAAATGAGTAGGACCACGAACGTCAACATGTACATCATGGCAAGACCTCTGTTTGCTTTTCGCAAACTAAAACTCACTGGGGAAAATGGCCGTAGGACTCATTTGGTGGGATCCGCTGGCAATTTATGTGAATATTTATTCAAATGATCAAATCTTGACAATTACCTCAAAAAATTGGAATTTAACTTTCTGAAATTTCTAAGCGAAGCTACAAAGTTTCCTCTTCATCGCAAAATGGATTCTTCCACTTTCATGTTGAGGCTTCGCGGCGCTTGGTTCTAACCATACCATTGTACCATTGTCCATGATGTCCGATGAACAATGTAGGGACTGAGAACCAGTCTACTCAGCTCACGGAGGTCGCCATGTTTATTAGGTATCAACGTAATTGAATGAAATTCCTTACTGTCTCCGCCAATCTCCGGAGAAATCTACCGTTTCCAAGTAATCAAGTGTTCTAATATTTTACCCCTCTGAAGTATAAGAAACAAAGATCCATACAGATGCACCATGCTTAAGCTATTTTCCTTGAAACAAGAGAAAAAAGACGGAGAAGCAGCCGGAAAGAATGCGGGTGTCAATCAAAAAAGAGCTTCAGCAGCACAGTTAAGATTCACGAAAGGTAATACGCATGTCACTAGTTCGTCACTTGTGTAGGCCTACCACACACGGCATATTAATGTACATTTAGAAGTTGTGTCATGTATGTAATGCAGTTCTTTCGTGTTAGTCAGTTGTATTGACGGTTGATCCACGGAGGAACTTCCTCTATGGTTGATCTTGATCCCTTTCCTACAATGCTACATCATCATGTTTGAAATGTTTGGATGTTTGACTTTTGAGTATCCCCTGTCATGCTTGTCACAGAGAAATATGCAACCATATGTATGAAGACAAAGCACGGTGGTTGTGTTTTTATTGCCATGCTCACTGTGTATTAGACTTGCGTTGCAGCCGTTTATTGGTATATCAACAGTAAAAACGCGTCAACCTGTGTGAATTGCAGTAGTCAAGCGGTTACAGCATAGCATAATGGTTTGTGATGCATGGGGCGTGGGTTCGAATCCTGGGTGGAAATTGGGGGCAAGGAGTTTTTTAAGTGAAGTGGCTATTGTTACGGCAGCCGTAACTTATCTCCCATTTTCTATTGCTATGGCACTGAACTGCGCAAGTGCGATGACGTAGCTGATCATGTGACGGTTTATATATTTTAAAATTACCTGGATCGCTGAATGCTTGAGGCGGAGTGGTCAAGGTGGCAGGTTTGGAACCACTGGTGTGAGTTTGAATCTGCGCTTGGGCCATTTTATTATACCATAGTTGTTTATTTATGTTGGTTTCTAATTGTATAGGCCTAAGCAGGAATCTTTTTCTTTTCTCATCGGAGGCTTCGGAGGATTTTTTTAAAAGGGAAATAAAGTCCGAAATCTGCACTTAAGTTGGCGCGCTTGGCAGTTGCAGTGCCGCAACGATAGATAATGGGAGATGCGTTATGGTTGGCGTAACACTAGCCATGCCGTTTTTTAAAAGGAAAATAAAGCCCAAATGTTATTGGAGCCTAATTTCACACGTGAAGTTTTTATGCTTGGTTGAGTATCTAGATGTCATGCATTGTGCATGGTTGTGAACCGTGGTTTGGCTTCATATACGTGTGATTGCATATATATAGCTCCTGTCACAGGGTCATGCCTGTGCAATCTTGGCCCTATAAAACTCGCTTTAATATTGTCAAAATTTACCTAAACTAGGCCTATCAGGATTGAGTTATGGTTCCTTAAGATCAAAATGTTAGTTAGTTTAAGAACATGGACTTTGTTTCTTTATGATAGGAACAGGATGCTAATGGTAATGAACCCCTTCATTTCTACCACTCCCGTTTCTACCATAGTACCAACTACAACAGCGTGCCCAATTTTTCTTTGACCTTTCCAGATATCAACGATCTCAATCTTCCCAAAACCTGTCGGATAGAATACCCAGATCCCGATGACATACTCAACTTTAAACTTGTAATCACGCCAGATGAGGTAAAATGAAAAGAAGAACCAGATTAACAGGATTAATCAAGCTGTGCCACGAGTGGTCAATCCTTCTGGAAATATCTGACTTTACATCACCTTATCAAGAAGGTACACAAGATTTGTGACTCTGAAAGAAAATTTGCTTGGCTAATGGTGAAAACATTGAAAGATACGTCAAAATGGTTCACAAACTGTTGATGGACCATCAAGTCCAACATTTAAGTAGTTTTATGTACATTTATAACATTTAGAAAATGGAATATAGATTTAAATATCTGCAAAGATCCACAAACATCAAGACCTTTCGAGCAGTAAGAAAAAAAGTTAGTTTCTAAACAAAAACACCATTGACCATGACAAAGAAATGCAACTAGGTATTCATATGTTGATATTTCTGGAACTAATGTCATCTTTAAACACCCTCTGCCTTGCTTTGGCTGATGTTCTGCCTATGATTCTCAGATAAATGTAAATTCTAAAATCTTTTGTTTAGACATTTTACTGATTTCTATTTCAGGGTTTCTACAAAAATGGAAGATTCTGTTTCAGCTTTAAGGTGAGCTTCAGTGTGTGATTAACACTGAAATGCTGAGCAACATTTGAAAGTTAACCAAACCTGATGTGTTGTCATAAGAGCTTGGGGACTTAGAACAACTACAAGTGAATATATTTCTGAAGGTTCTCACTGTCAAAGAAGCTTGACAGCGAGATTTTTTAAAACAAGATCATATGAATACAATGTATGTAATGAAAGCTTAATTTTAGTGTAGAGTTTTGTCTTCTCAAACGTAGCTGTGAGTGATATAGGTTACATGTAATGTCATGATATCCAAGCAAACATTTTGTAAGAAGGATTTCAGAAAGATGAACTGACGCTGTACTACATGTATCATTTACATGTATTTATTTTTGATTTGTGACACTCTGTTTGGAGGATAGCAGTGCCTTGGATAAGCACAACTTGGGATTTGTTCAAGTTAAAAAGAGACAGGCCAACTAAGGAAAGAATTCTTGACAATTTTGACACAGATTGGGCCAGGCTACCCTCATGATGCACCCAAGGTGAAATGTGAAACAATGGTTTACCACCCAAACATCGACCTTGAAGGAAATGTCTGTTTAAATATACTAAGGTAAGAAATGTTTCTGATAAAAAAAGTGTCATTGTGAATAGAAAAACATCAGGAAAGTGCTTTGTACACTTCCTTTGTTTTCTGTAACTTGACTAATTAGAGTGCAGTCCTTTTGAGAAATCTTAGAATTAAATATAAATATTCTTTTCTTTTTTTTTCAGGGAAGACTGGAAACCTGTCCTGACAATCAATTCAATCATTTATGGACTGCAATTTCTTCTGTTGGTGAGTAGACAGAGTGGATCATACGAGGGAGACTCATTTGACCTCTGTTAGACCTCAAGTGGAACAGTTCACCTTGGATAACATTTTCTTAATGGGCTCCCACATGGCAATACTTCTGTGTGCTTTAGTTTTTAGTTAAAATTGTCTCACAAAGTTGCCATTACCAACCATAGTAAAATTACTAATAATAGTTTGACTATGATATTGATTTGTAATGTTTCAGCCACCCTTTATTGACAAAAAGCAGTACATTGATTTCCCAAGCAATGACCAGTGGACTTATTCACTGCGATACTGATTTTTTATATATCAGCCACCCCTTATCGACAAAAAGCAGTACATTGATATTTCCTGTGCAATGACCAGTAGATTTATCCACTCTGAGCAGGAAAAAAAGAGGGCAGGTTTTTTAATGAAATTGACAGCCCTTTGGTATGACATCACTGCATAGGTGCGTAAGATTATGTGTGTTTGACGCCGAGAGCGAGTACACGCAACAAATTATTCTGGAATGTATGGTTTTCGTTTGCACGCCAAAAACGTTGGAAATCTTTGTACTTGTCGGTTTTTCTTTTGTCAGTGAGGGGGCACTTCAACTTGGGGCGGATAGCTTATCACCCTTGCATCGTAATTGACCAGTATCTTGTTGGTCATTTTCTCCAGGAACCCAACCCAGACGATCCTCTTAACAAAGAAGCCGCAGATGTCCTCCAGAACAACAGAAGGTTGTTTGAGCAGAATGTGAGGTCATCGATGCGGGGAGGTTATGTCGGTAGCCAATACTTTGAAAGATGCCTTCAAGTATGATGGTATCAATCTATCTGTCTACTTCCATGTCTGTGTGTGTATGTCTCTCTCCCATTGAATCATTTAATTCAGATGCCACACCCACTTCTGCATCATGTGGTTGATTCGCTGACATTATTTGCTAATTTCTTCCACCATAAACGCATTTCAAGGAACACCCGAAAGCACTCCAAAGACAACATCTCAGCTTTTTCTTTTGAGGTTTATCTAAAGGGCAAGTTTCTTGGGGACCAGTTTGTGGCTGATGGCGAAGTGTAGTTGTGGCTGTTATTTGGGTGTGGCTGTGCAGTAGGCGGAGTTACTTTATGGGTGTGGCCTCTGAATCATTTGTTAGCTCTGTGTTTATGCTGCCCCATCCTTAACCAAAAAGTCACCTATTTAAATGATTGTTTTTCTGTTCCATTGATTGTAATTATGTAAATGTTACACACGTGTGTTGAGGTTTTTTTTAACGTAACTGAGATAACGTTGAGAATTGTGGGCTGCATGTAGATACTTCATATGCCTGACAGGACTGGCTTGTAACGGAATGTGTACAAAATGTTTGGACAGATATCTATTACCTCCATCAAGCCTTCTTGCTTTATGGCATCTCAATGGGCCTGATTTCTTGAGAATACTTAATCTTGCTGTCTTCATGCTTTTACTGCAGCTATTTGGTTCTCTGCACATGCGGACAATGCTAAGTTGCCCAACAGCAAGGAGCGTTATGGAGTTAGGTATAACATAATTTTGGAAAGTCACAGCACAGTGAACTTTTACATTGACAACTTGTCACATGGAATTGATGTCTGGGTAAATATGTCGTACTCAAAACCTGGGCATTGGTTTACACAAAACATTTGGAAGATTTGAAGTCTGCAGCATACACCTGTGCTTAGCATACTTGCTGGTGATAAAAGATATCTGTTAGACTTGTCACTAGTCTATTATCATCATGAGTGTGCAGAAGGTTATGAGTAATGATCCTGTTTGTAGAGAAATAAAGGGAGCAGAGATTTGCCACAAGTATCGCTCTACAGGACCAGCCACCAGTTTAGGCCTTCCCTTTCTAATATCTCAGCCACTATTTTGCCTACCATATATTGCCAAGATATATGGGTAACTGACAAAACAAATCGTAGCAGAGTGTATTGTGATGTATCATTCATACACCTGCTACCAAAATTACAGATATAAATGAACCTTTGTCGGGGCCATTCTCGCTCCAAGACTGAACATGTAAAAGTATTGCCAGTGGTAGAAGTCTGGTCGTCCATATAAATAGGACATGGTTTATAAACGAAAGCAACATATGGACCCTGAGCAGCAGAATCTACTGGGCCAGAAATATAAATCTGTCAGTAGCTGTTAACATTATTGACCGTTGATATTTCAAAAACAGATCTACCAGTTAAAATCACTTAAAAATTAACTTACATTTTATTTGTTGGCAGTTAGGGTTGGGGAAGTTTGTTGATTTCTTTTCAAGAACATTTATAAATGTAAAACCATACGCTGATTTTCGTAGAGTGATATAAGAAATATCTCTGTACTGTTTTCCACACACTGTCCATTATTGAATTATTTGTGACAGTTGTTGACTTTTGTGACCCATGGACTAGTCAGTGCTGTCATTTATTGATAAATGCTTGTTTAACATGAATATTTTTTCATGAATATTCATAGTTGTGGAGATACCGAGGACTGAATTTTTTCAACTCATATTCTTTACTGCATCTACCTATAAACTTTTTATACAGCGGGTTTATCTAACGTGAGCAGCCAAGATGTGTTGGTGGCATCAAGTGTTTATCAATTTGACAGAAATTCTGACAATGGCCAAAAAAGTAAATAAACTTTGCAGATCCTAAATTTCCAGTAATGTTAATGTTCTACTAGTTCATCCCATAATGCATTGTGTTCCTCCATTTTTATTTATATTGTCCCGACCAGCCAACTAGACTAACAGCGAATAAAACTGCTTTGGTATTGAATTAGTCTTCATGTTTATACTGTAATTGTTTTGTTTAACCCTCCTTTTTTGTTGTAACTGTCAAAAACAGTCAAAATTCCTTCCACTTGATTTCCCCCATTACACAGACACGTACATGGGAAATTTGACTGGTTTGGACTGATAAAACAACTGGTTCAACAATGTGTCTTTGCATAGGAGGGTTATTGAATAAATGAAAAAGCCAGGTTTGTTAATTTGAAATAAAATTCTAGCGTCAGCAGTAGGTAAGCTGAATGGTGACACTGACCGTACATGTATTTCTTTGCAAATGATGCCTTCAACTTGTTCCATAACGGGACTATGCAATTATTTCCCAAGTTATGTTTTCACTGAATGAAAGTACCCAGACAAGTCTGTGTAGCAGTGTACTTCTCTTTTAAAAATCATTTTGAAATTGTAGCCTGAGTGGATTTAGAAATTGAATAACATACTGGGGCCAATTTCATAGAACTGCCTAAGCACAAAATTTGCTTAAGCGCAAAAAACCTTGCTTAAAAAACAAAGGTCACCAGCTCAAAATCTGTGTGGTTGTCATGCTAACCAAAAGACAGGTGAACACCACTCCAAAACGGTATACATCACATGGAGATTTGGCTGATAACCTGATTTGTCAAGCAAGGTTTTTTCATGCTTGACCAAATTTTGTGCTAACGCAGCTCTATGAAATTGGCTGCAGGGTGCAGTCTGGTGTTATTGTAAATTCTTATGTTAACAGTTACAGGTGATGTTGAGAAGTTCCTCAACCTCCTTGACCTGATCTCCAACTGGATTAAACAAAAGGGAACGTTAACAACATTTGATTTCAAGCATTTGTAGCATGCTCGTCTAGCTTTCTCATGGTTATTTTATCTAAGGGGCAATTAAACATTTTAACAAGAATGTTTTGAAATAAAATACTTAAACCAATCCTTGCTGTTTTGGAGTTTTCTTCCAGGTGTGCATTGAAATGATTTTGACTACTTGAAGTGACCCCTGGCCAAAAACGCTCCAACACTAAAAATGGCCCAAACGTCAAGTGTGACCACAGTGCAACTTAAACAGAAATTTTTTGTGTTTCAAAACCTATTCAATATCAGACTTTCTTCAAAATGTATAAGTGAATGCAGTCTATCTTGTTACCCAAGGGGAAATACCTTGAACCATTTGCAACTGGCTTGAAAGTAAGTGCATTCTAACTGCAGTCAGCTTCACCACATGAACTTTAATGTAACCCTTGCACCAAATGTTGGGGTTGTCATGGAAAAATTAAGGCTAGGCATGGTTTGCATGCAACAAGAACTTTGGGAAGTCCTGAAGATACAAACCAGACTGCCGTGTCAGGTACCGTGCATTATGTTGTACCAACTCTTACATGTCTGCACCAGAGGGCGCTATTGCAACAGCAATCAGTAATAATAGGTAGATGTACAGTCCGTTCTAAGAAGGTGATTACACGTACATGTGTTTCTATTTGAAAAAAAAAAACAAACTCTGTCAAGAGTTTCAATTTAACTTTGAGCACCTTAAAGGCTTTCAATGAGAATTGTCTTCTGCAGCGTACCAATCACAGGAACCAGTGAAATGGTCCTGCCACCTCTCAGGATCTATGCAGGAACCAAGAAATCATGTGTCCGGGCAAAATAAAAATAAACCAACTAGCAATTACCAATTACACTAGACAGAGTCCACAACACACAAAATAACAGAAAAATACAAGTCTATACATTTTGTCCACTTTAGTTTTATTAAGAATTACAAGTAAATAGTTGCTTCCACACTTTTTGGCCAGTGAGTGATGCTTGAAAATAAAGTTCTCACTTTCATGAAGTTGGGTTTAAAACAAACGAGTGGTTTGGAATCACATTCGTCAGGGTTCAATGGGAAAACGGAATATCGTGGCAACCCCCCATGGGCAGTTAACAACTGCTCCAGAGTATCTTGACATCTTAACGGTAAGATTTCTGGTAGCGAGCACGAGCTCCTGGTCCACCGAATTTCTTGGGCTCACATCGCCTGGGATCGGCAACCAAGAGAGATCTGTCGTACTGGATCAGGATGTCTCGTATCTCTTTCTTTGAAGCCTCGTCAACATCTGAAACAAAAAAGCACATATGCAGAAGCCTGGTACTCAATTCTGTGCTTTCCAAAAGTTTTAAACACAATGTTTCGTGTTACAAATTGTTTCAGCCATGTGTTGCTGAAGATGGACAAAAGTATAATTGAAAACACTGTTTGAATATGAGGCCAAACCAAAATTAGTTGTGTTTCCTATTACACTGAAAAATAAATTAGGGTGGTTGGTTGGGTAAAATGTTTATTTTTTACTCTAAATTTTTATAGCCCAAAATATAAGGGTCGGATGATGGTCTGTATTGTTTTTTTTTGGGGGGGGGGATTTGTAACAGGTACTAAGTCAGTGTCAGATTCATACTGTACATGTGCTCGCCAATAATACATATCAGCTCTGTGATTGAGCAGTAAAGCAGCTGGTTGTTGAAATACAAACACACAAGAGCTGTCCATCTCATGCAAAAAAAATAAATAAAAGAATACAATGAACAGGACGATGTACATAAAATTAGGCTCTGAGCATGGCACATAAGTTTTATATTTGATTGATTTGTTGAATAAAAAGATACAGGTTCCACGCGATATTCCAGGTTGGGTCGGGTAACAGGAAACACAGCTATTTTTTTGTTTGGCCTGAGTGCATGTATGCATGAGGAGGAGACTTACACTTCTGGTAGTAGGAGACCAAAGCCTTGGAGATGGCCTGTCTGATGGCATAGATCTGAGCAATACGACCTCCTCCTTTGACACGTACCCTGATGTCAACGCCTTGGAATCGTTCCTTGCCCAGTAAAAGAACAGGCTCCATCAACTGAAGAACACAAACAGAAAAGAACAATGTTAAACCCCTAGTATAATCCAAGTTAGTTTGCAGGTAGCCATTTAGAATCCTGTACAATCCACTGTAAAGAATAAACAGACACATTCTTTGTACTTCAACCTTCACTTGGCAAAAAGTTGGAATTTTGAAGGATCAGACATAAGTTGCAGTGAAACCTTCTAAAATAGCAAAATCAAGTCATCATGCTGTTTGAAATTAACAAAAATGACACTTAACTCCTCATCCTCAGATTGTTTTCAATTTTCATCTGCATAATCTTACTCAACAAGTTCACAATGATGTCAACTTGCCAGTGCACTGCAGTGAACAGCCACGACCAGAGTCAATTTACTGTCATCATAACCCAAAAGGCAGATTCCGTCCTTCCCCCCCCCGAACTGGGCTGTGCCTCCCAAATTTTTAAACTGGACATGCATGACAAGACACTACTCATCATTGCAAATGTGAAGTTTGAAGTCAATCAGATATTAGTTTTTGTTGCATTGCAGCCCGTGAGCATAAGAGCACAACTGTGGAAAAGTTTACAATTTTTGGCTGGCCCGTCTCGGAAAAATGCACTCTGCACAAGAATGTTTGATTTTCACAAAATTTGTGTCAAATTGACCGCAGACAGTTGCTCTAAAACTTCTAAAGGCTCAGCTCCTAAAAAAAAAATACACAATGGTAATATCAGAAAAAATGTTGAAGGACCAAACCAAGCTCTTTTAGGGTTAAGCTGAGACTGACCTTGTACTTGAGCACTCTTGGCTCAATCATCTCCAGTGGTTTGCCATTCACTCGTAACACACCCTTGCCTCGCTTGCAGTGGGCGACTGCTGTGGCAGTTTTCTACACAAACAAATTCAATGTGCAATTACGATGGGCTGACATCAGCTTGAGACTGAGCAGGCGGTTAATATGTCATATCAGGAACACAATGTAACACAGTCAACATGTGCACCAACACTTCCAACAGAAGTCTAGCTAGGCTTATCACCAGTGTCCTTTTTTGCCATTTAGTTTTGATTTTTTTTTCAGGTGTTAAATCACATAAACTTTGCTGGAAATCCTTACTTCTAATTTTGTTCTTTAAGTTTCAGGACTGTGCTGCCAACTAGCCATGATAGTGTGTGTCTTCAACCATCAAAATTGGAAGAAATTCAGTTTCAACTGACATCCCCAAAATGTCTCAATACTTAAGTACGTGTAGTGTTAAAACCAGAACACAGTGAAAAATATCCTACACAAATTGGCATGAAGCGGCCACAGAGGGCACAAGGATCATTTCATTACCTGACGTCATCGACCTCGCTGTGTGAGGCAGTTTTCATGAACGAAAATGCACGCGCATGCCCTCATGCTTAGCATTGGTACCTTGATTCAGTTCCGTTCCGATAGAACTGGCAACAAGCTTTCCATGGGTACCAAAATCGTACGATTTTGCGGATTCCTTCAACATAAACTGCGATTTCTTTGATGCAAAACTGAGGACCGACACCTTGCTGATTCCCTGGTGGCAAGGGAAGTTTGCCAAGTTATATTTGGAAAGCTGTTTATGTATGATACAGCACCACTGGCTGAACATGCTCGGGACAAAATAGGGAATCGTTGGTGGTACGTTTCACAGACATGAGACAAAGAGTGATGAGTGCACCGCATGAATATGCAAGATCGCTATGGGATTTCAATGCACCCTACAAGCGTGGTCATATGCACGTACATGCGTGCGGATCGACACGTAGCGGTTGTTGACTTGCTCAAACTGCTCCAGCAGTATGTGTGTAGTGCATCCATGATACGAGTGCAGACGATGAGCTTGCGTGTTATTGCCATGTGGTTGCTGTGAGTGTGATGTCACCAGCTCAGCGAGCGCGTGCAGGCTGAGCCAAACAACGATCGTCGTTCTAACGCTATGCCTAGCCATGTTACAGTACCAATGGGGAAATTTTCGCTACGAAGAACTCCAGAACATGCGAAGTTTTCATGACATGTGGAAAGCTAATTTGATTTTGGACTGAGTGAAATGCAACTTGTAAGAAGTTAAACAACCAAGTACAAAAAAATGTAGACACAGTCTCTAATGATCATGGTAGACATGACTGCTGCCACCAAGATTTGTATAAGAACTTTTCAACTAGGCCTATTTAATGTCACAATTTTTCAAAGTTATCATGGTTATTTGTTTGCTTGTTCAGCATTCATGGCAGTTTGGTCTTTACCTTTAAGTTTTCAAATTACATGCATTCGAAAATTTGCCCTGAAAAGTGAACAATTAAAAATAAAATTTAAAAACGAAGAGAACAAGAAATCCAGCTCATTAAGTTTTTCACCCACATCACAAGAGGGCGCTATATCCATTTTAACGAGTGGAATCCTTACCTTACGCCCGAAAACTTGAACCGACTCTACTGGGGCTTTCTGAGACATGGTTCTGAAAACGAATACACAAAATGAAAGGTCATTATTCCAAGTTTTATTTCACCTCATTCAAATAAAACTACGAACAACAGTTATACGATTTATGACATCTTTTACTACAGCGACATTATCACCATACATATCCAGTGTGTGTGTGAAGCCGAAAGAGGTCGACGACGTGACGGGTTTCTCTGACTTAGGTCAATGCAAGTCTTTTCTACGACATAATTGTCAAACTAAAATATGAACATATTTACTGAAATGTATATGACAAAATATATTAGAAATTAGCTATTTTAAGTTATTCAAGTGTTGGTAATGCTTTACTTATCTGTAAAACCCTTCTAAAAATGCTCCACCTCTTTAATTATCTGCAAAAACTGTTTTATTCATTTATGTCAAAGGTTGTGATTTTTGACCAATCAGAATTTTCGCTTCGCTGTCCGCGGGAATCTCGAGGTCTTAGCAAGCAGCAAGGCGCGCCGTATTTCGCGCCAGAAGACAAGTTATAAACAACGGAGATCGAGAGGTGAGTCCAACCACGGGGGAAGTTGGCGGTGCATCAGCGAGGGGTATGTAACTCTGAAAGTCTATAAATATGATTAAGAGGTAGGAGAGATCAAAAAGAAAGTACTGTAACAGAATTCACCCAGAAAACAGACGCTTTTTGATGTTGTTTATAGGCCTACTTGATAATCGTGCACAGTCACAATTGACAAACCATGACATGCATATGAGACCGTGGAGTAAGGAACCTCCACTCGACTAACAACTAAGTAAAGTAGGCCCCAAGTCTAACTTCAAGCCTCTAAGTGGTACCATGACTAGTACTAATAAGTGTTTTTAAGTGAACGATTTGGTTTTCCCCCTCCTAAATTGAACTTTTCTGAACATGCTTTTGCTTTGTGATAGCTAATATTATTATTATGATGATGTAAGGTGACCACTAGTACTACTAGCTTGACTAGGGAATAAACAGTGTCCGTATAATATATATCATATGATCAGATGATTGATTATGAAGCTCTTCCCTTCCCCAAGGACCCAAGTAATGACCGAGGGCATAGCATGTATGGGAAAGCTAGTAGTAGTAGTACTAGCATGACTAGGCCTAGTAGTTACAATATCATGGTTAGAATGGTTAGGCTTGGGGCTTTTTTCAGTTTTGTCAGCATAGTCAGTTGCCTTGCTTTTTTGACCAGGTTGAGTGACCTTTTGATTTATATTTTCTCACTCTCAACAGAATTTTGACAGAATTTTAAGAAAGACCGAATCATCAAATAGGTCTACCTACAAAATGGCAGATATAGATGCAGTGCTCAAGGAAACAGGAAAAGAAAATCTGGTCGATGCCATGACCGGTGTATGTGTAGATACCAAAGATGCCACTACCAGTCCTCAAGGGAATAAATCTAAGAAGATGCATCTTGAACCACCTCACGATGAGCTTCAATATCTTCAGTTGATTCGTCGAATCATTGATGAGGGACAAACGAAGGATGATCGTACTGGCGTTGGAACCAGATCCATCTTTGGTGTCCAGAGCAGATACAATCTCAGAGGTTGGGATTAATCAATAATTAGGCCTGATGCCGAAAGTGATAAATAAATATACTGGGAACAGTAGTTATCCAATAGGTTAAACTTGCCAATGTCATTCTCAAGTGTTTTAAAGTTCCCATTGGAAAATTGTAAACTCTCAGCTGAAATTGATGACCAAAAATTTGAATTGATGGCTTTGCTTTTCCTCAAAACACAAAGGTCAATTCCCTCTTTTGACGACAAAAAGAGTCTTCTGGCGAGGTCTTGCAGAGGAATTGCTGTGGTTCATCAGAGGATGTACTAGCGTCAAAGCCCTCACGGATAAGAATGTCCACATCTGGGATGCCAATGGCTCGCGGGAGTTTCTAAACAAACGTGGCCTGAGCCACTATGAAGAAGGTGACATTTGTGATAAAAATTCCTGAAAATATTACAACAGCCCTTAGCAAATTCCCAAATGAAATTTCAAGTCAGATTACACAATTTTAATTTCTTTTCTAGGTGATCTTGGCCCTGTTTATGGTTTCCAATGGCGTCATTTTGGTGCTGAGTACAAGACTATGCATGATGATTACACAGGACAAGGCGTAGATCAATTAGCCAATGTCATCCATCAGATTAAGACCAATCCTAACGACAGACGCATTATTATGAGTGCTTGGAATCCATGTGGTAAGAAATCAAGCTATGTACTCATAGGGATGAAAGATATTGTTATGTATCTTTCATGCTGAATTATTTCTACCATATATTAACTTACGTGCACAATAGAATCCCGGTATTTTGGGGATACGATAAACAATGCAATGTATGACATGGAAGTTTATGTAACTGTTTGGTTATTATCATGTTTTGAATTTTGATTTAATACTGAGAAGAGTGAATATATCTAAGAACATATTCCCACTACTGAGTAGAATGTGAAGCCTTTTTTGGTTTGAAATTATTCTTACTCAACTTAATCTTCAGATCTGGATAAAATGGCCCTCCCACCATGCCATGCCTTTGTGCAATTTTATGTCGTCAATAAAGAACTGTCTTGTCAGCTCTATCAACGATCTGGAGACATGGTAAGTATGCATTGTAATATCATCACAGTTTTCAGTCGGTAGGAGACTCAGTAGTTTGGAAAGCTCAATGGTCAAGCAGTTGGAATACCTTCACCTGTCAGCATGAAGTTGTGGAGTAGGGTATTAGATGAGTGTAGAAAGTTGGCTGAGATTTTCTCTAAGGTTTTGGAGGCATCAGTCATACTCCTGTATACAGTGCCTTTACCACTGCATATATACAATTGATCTGAGAAATTAAGCAAAGACATCACTTGACATGCTGTGCGCAAGCCCAATAGGACTGGTAAAAAAAAAATCCCGAATTTGTTCAAGTAAAGGCCTAACAAATTTCCCCCCACTGAATTTGACTTATTAGGAAATGCTGTTACTTTCTGGTGGCTGATAAACCACAACCAGAGCAAATGAGTAAACTTAGTGACTGTTAAATTCTTCCTGAAGTCGATGCAGAATTGACAACAAAATGAATTGTTATCTGTTGGTTCTTGCAGGGGCTTGGAGTACCTTTTAACATTGCCAGTTACTCCCTACTGACCTACATGATTGCTCATGTAACTGGCTTAACTCCAGGGGACTTTGTACATACCATTGGTGATGCACATGTTTATAAAAACCACATTGATGCTCTTGAAGAACAGGTAAGAACATTAAAGTGAAAGTTTGTTCCTTTCCAAAATTTCTGTTTTCATTTCCAGAATTTATTGTATTCTTTCTTCCAACTTGTTAATTTTTGAACATTTCTCATAACTTCACTCAACTATACTCTTGGTTCAACCAATTTCATTTTCAAAAACTTTAAAATCAAGAGAAAACTGATTGTTTTTGACATTTAATGCTTGTCACATGACTCCAACTCCCCTTGTCCTCAATGAATAATTATTCATATATGCATAAATCTGTTGTCTCCATTTGTAGCTTAAACGTCAGCCTCGCCCGTTCCCCACCCTTAACATCAAGAGGAAAGTGGAAAACATTGATGACTTCACCATGGAAGATTTTGAGATCTGTGACTACAAACCACATCCTAAGATTACCATGGAAATGGCTGTTTAAGACTGGTTGAAATTTTCAAAATGAATAATTTGGTTGATTTTCATATTTTGAATACATGGACTATGCAAACTTCCTATGACAAACCAAATTGCTGAATCAGGATTACGTCTTTAAGCTGGACCCTACTAAACTAAACTTGGACTTAGAGCTACTAAAACACGCTAACATTCCTATGCAACATGCTTGAATGCTCTCGGCAAAATATGCTCAGGGTGAAGGGAATTTACTTAGATATTTGGTTTGTGACCAATGCCAGTGTGCTCAGCAATCAACATTAGATCTTTGAAATCAGATCTTTTGTAAGAACTGCGTGTATTCTAAGGGCTGCAGCCTCTTTAATGCACAACAAAAGCAAAATGTCTTCCAGTGAAGTGATGTTCTTCAACTTCACATTGTCTTTTTAATGTACAGCACAAGGATGACATTTCTCCAAAGTATATATGAAACCTGTGAGCAGTATCATAGATTTTTTGTAATTTCATACATTATGTTCATATTTTGTGATATTTTCTAGGCTTTCTGGACGTTCTAGTTGTGAGAAGTATACGTGGTCTCAGCAAGTACATCTTGATATTGAAAGTATTTACAGTCCATTGCACACGGCAAGTTTGATCAAAGACTGCAGTTAACCATAGTTGGACTAACTTTGAATGCATGCTAGTCAATGGTTTGACTAGTCTAGTCAGCTATTCGTGACCAGCCTATCGAGATTGGTCGCATCATTGGTTGCTATAAAGAGAGGACCAGTGATAAGAAAAATGCACATGCTTGTCACCAGTAAACGACCATTTTCACTTGTATTTCTGCCAGTTTGCCCTTGGGCTTCGTGCGGCCAACCTTTCTCCCCTTCTGCCTGGAGACCTGACAGTGGCTGACAAGGGTCGCTCACACTTCAACTTTACCACACATGCGCTAGGTATGTCACAAACTGACGTCTAGTCAACTGGTGGTCCCTGATCAAACTTGGCCATTGTTGCTAATCTACACAGGTATATTTACACTGTCTGATTTTCACATGAAATATGGATGGTTTTTCCCAGCAAAATTTCATGTTATGAAGGTGAACCAAAATGTTAAACCATTAGAGAAGGTTTTTGCTGTTCATATCTATGACAATACTAATGTACATCCACTTTTATGCATAAACCCTGATAGTTCTCAATCCTTGGCCAGTGGAGAATTGAAAACTATTGGGGATGAGGTAGATTAGTAGATTTGCTTTATTTGAATACTTTTTGTACTTCTGTAGTCCTTTAAGGTTTTGGACAATTTGATCATCAAATGACATTTGAAATCTATGCAGTCTGTTCTCAAGAGTGCATGTGGGCGTTGTTACACTCTGCAATAATGGCAATACATTTTAAATGGGTCGAGCTTAATCTGGGGAAAGTTCATTTTAAAGTTCGGTGCTGCTCACAAACTAACAGAAACCAAATACATGCACATGTAAATCGTTTTTGACATCGAGAAGTTCATTTTATTCTCCACAGGAGAAATTTGTACATACATATATTTGTACCGTTACAGGTTTTGCTGTTTCACCTGTCTCACATAGTTTAAAACTCTCCCTATCTTTATAGTTGTGAATATTAAAAGAAACGGTGCTAAACGTTCACATTCTTGGTGTCTCTGATCAGAATCAAAATGTCATGAAAATGTTCAAATATTAGGCAAACCAAAGTTGGTAACTTAAATTTATGACTTCTACCACACGACCACTTTTAATATCTTCTGAACTCTAAAAACACAAAATCACAACTGACATAATCTTGGGCCATAAAATGCATTCATTCATTTAAATAAAAATCAGACCCACAAATAAATGAGGAATGTTTTGTTTATATTTGAAACCCTTCAGATACATTGTATTTAAAACGAAAGTAAAAACATCTAATGTCGGCATTTCACACTTTCCCAAGAACTGTTGAAAACGTGAAGCATATACATGTACAACATAGAGCTATATATAGAAACTAGAGCGTTAAACTTCTCATTCTCTGTGCGGAGAAAATTTGACATTGTCTTGGGCGCAGACATTTTGAATCCATGTGTATGCTTGTAGAACATTAAAAATCAGATAGAATGGATATTGAATTGTGTATTCTAAATGCGATGCACAATTACAAAACATGCTAATGTCAGCGTGTCTTTTATATAAAGACGCACATGTACAGAGCAATAGCACATGTTTATTTACATCCATAGCTGATTATATTAAAATGAATGTTTCCCTAACATTCAAGCAAGGTTTTCCGATTCTGTATGTCTTTCGATGAATAAGTTCAGGAAAAAGTTATTCCCTTAATTCAGAGTTGACGGCTCTGGAGTGGCAGCTGTCGTGCGCATAGGGTATCAGATTAAAAAAACATCAAGGCAAAACGTGCAGCGCATACACACACGTATATGTGTTTTGACGCAGAGCAAAATGAAATGCTCATTTACTGATTGTACGTTCAGGTCGTTTGCATATCTTTTTTGTTGACATATCATTTTAGAATACAGACACAGATGTGCAATTAGCCATACAAAATTTCGAGTTTTCCATAAGTTTGTGGACAAACACGGATGCGCCCAGCAGGCATCACTTTGTACATGAGTCTGCACTGTCGTTTTCATATATTGCTCTATGGTATACATGCAGTTAGTGTTGTCCATTCAGCTCCTTTAATACCAGATGGTCCAAGTGTAAACAGGGATTGTGTAATACTCAGAAACATCTCAGCTCCAAGAAATAATGCCCATCTTAAAGCATACTTCAACTTGAAATGTCAGCCAGGACAATAATTGTTTGTGTACTTTCCATACGCAGGAAAAATAAGAGACAGTAATACTAAACAAAAATTATTTATCAAAGCAGAAGTAGTTTCTCTGAAGATATGACCCTTTCATTCTCCTACCCTCTGAGCTCTTGCAACTAATCCCACATCCAGACCTTACCTCAATCATTGTTGAGGACCCTCCTGCATTGAATGTTGATGCTTAGCCCTTCATCAAACTTAATAACACCACTACCATCGATCTTTTGAGCTAACGAACATGCTTATCACTCAACCACACAAACAGTGCCCTCTTCTGTACGTGCACAGCGCCCTCTTTTGTATGTGCACGATACAATTCTTATATAAACCCTTTTCAGATCTCTAATGTACACTTGTTCTAAGATCCATCTTCTTGTACATGCAATATACATCAAAATTTCCCATAATCTCCTTAAAAACCATGTGATCTACATCCAGCCTTTCACCGTTGGCTGTCATCAGAGGGAACAGTGTCCTCTGAGTCCGTCACTGACAGCAAATGACAGGATTACCTATCCTTGCTGCTGTTCCTCAGTCTGTGTCGCTGTGCTGCTAAACAGCGCCCTCTGTGGTGTCTGAGTCCCCCTGGCCCTCCTATCTGGTGTGGAAGCTCCACCTCCAGATGAGGAGGGATGATGTAGGCCTAAGTTCCTCAGACCAAATTCCTGATACATATAGGTGTAGCTACGTCTGCGATGGACCAGATCATGACGTGGGTAGTCATCTACGGACAAGTAGTCTGACCGGTAACTTTGGTCAGTACTAGAGTCATCTGGTGCTGTAAAATTCCTGAGAAAAGCAAACACAATTCAAAATAAAACCAACAAATATGCAGTTTAACACAATTTGAGTTCAAAACCTAGACAGACACCTGCACGAGTGCTTGGTAAATGTAGAATAAATTAATAGGCCAATGTATTCTTAATACCAAGCCTGGCTTTATGTATGCTTCCCTATGGAACTTTAAATCTGTTGTCCTCATGAAGCTCTCATAGGAAAGTACACAAGTAAAGGGTGACATCATAAGTCCATGAACCAATTTCTCCACAACTTACGCTGGTGAGCATATTCTAAGATCACCCCTGTTTGTCCCGTAGACAAGTCCAACCCCAGGCTGTGGTATCCACTTAACGGTATTCACACTGACGTGGTGACGCCTCTCCTGATCATTACAGCTATGATCCACATCACAGACATACAGTAAGGAGTCCTCTGATGCACCTTCTTTATGCAACTTGTAGATCATTCCAATCAACTACAAGAATAATCACAAGTTGGAATTACTGCTTAAGGTCTGTGAATAGACAGACGACGCTGTTTGGATTATCGCTATGTGATGCATTTATGACATGAACATTCTCATATTGAAGCTCAGGCCAAGGTGGCAGTATCTAATGACAGCTTACCTGTTTGGATGCCATGTGGAGATGTAGTTTGCGAGAAGCTAAACCAACAATGACAAAACCACTCAAAGGGGAAATATTGACTGTGATGGCATTGGGACCTGGAACACAAAACACAGGGACAACACTGAACATATGAACCATCACATGAGCGCCCGAGGGCGCTATTACAGACCATTATTTTCCCAACATAAATGTGCTTATGAAAGGTCCAATAATGTTGTAAGTATAAGGAGTAAATCTTGCCTTGTATTTAAATATAAACTCACCAAAACTCCTGGTGTAGAGCACATCACCAAAGTTGTGGGGCATGAGGGAATAGATGGCAAGCACACCGTCCTCAGGGAAACCAAGAGGGCTAGGTACAAAGGCTGCCAAGTAACGGCCATCTTGAGAAATGTCACAGCTGGCATCATTGTGAAGTTTGCAATGGGGAACAATGACATTATGATCCGCTGTGTATTAAATGACATCAAAAAGATGTTATCATATGCACATGTGTAAGTCTGTATCTATCACAAGTGTGTTGCGTATGATGACTTTTCTACAGAATGTGTACAAAACTAACATTTCATGAGAGAGAAAGGCACATGATTACGGGTGCTTGATAGAGACATAACTGGAACAGGCACTATTTTGAAAAATTACTTTGAGCGTACATGTAGATGAATGGCGTCTATAAATAGAGCTAACAGAGAAGGGAACCGAAGGTAAATGAGGGGAGGGAGGATGACTTGCTGGGCTTACCATCACTGATATCTGGCAGCTCAAACTCAGAGAAATCCCACCACTGCAACCTGTAGGTTGTATTGCTGATGTTATTCGCAACAGCTGTCTCTCCGCGACCAGCAAAAGCACCTGGAATTGAAGAGATTGAAACTAAATATCAACCTTGATGTAGGGAACTCCCCCCAGGATGTATGTAAAATTATATTGAAATCAGAGGATTTGGGACTGCTAACGCTATTGTATGTTAACACAAGTAATAACGCATTCTTCTCTTTGCACAGAGACAATAGTGACACAGCAGTGTACTTACTCGCAATAGCTCGGTTGATGGTAGCATGGATCATGGGAGGTGGTGGTTGGTACGTCTCATCAAAGATACTGTTCCTTGGATGATGAAGATGACCAGAAAACTGACCAGATAATCTACTGCAAGGGTAGACAAGTATCATACAGAATATGCATGAAGTCAGATGGGAAGCAAGTCTTAGAAAATAGTCTAATTGATGAGCGACAAGAATGGCAGGCAGTTAAAATGTTTTTGGTCTGTGTTTACTCTTCTTCCAAATCTATTTAACGTATCCTAGGGTTGAGTCAATTCATATAATTCAGTATTCGAAAATTTGACCTTCAATTCGACGGAATATCCGAATATTCGGTCCTACCGACCGGCAGATTGTTTATGAACAAACCAATGTATAAAAATCAGTTGCAATACTACACATAATTGTACATTATAATCAATATAATAACTTCTAACATCTAGGAGTATCTCCAGCCACGATTTACATGTAGCAAGATTTTAGAGATGAACAAGACTTCTGGCCCTGTTAAAAATTTCTATTCCTTTTAAATTGTTTAATGAATAGTTTACTTTTTGAATCATTGAAAGATTCCTGTCACTTTTCATTTAATGTGCTTGAAACAAGCCTTCATAGTGCCATTTTTCTCATTTAAAACAAAAGAAAATATTCCAGTCCTTTTCATGGATTTGCATTCGAATATTCAAATTTGGAAAATAATATTCAAATATTCGATAATCAATCAAATATTTGGTTAATCAGATATTCGGCACAGCCCTAATGCATCCTGTGGCTTTGGTTTGTCCCCCCCAATGTCATCATGTGCCAGTTGGAGAGAGTACGCAGTCTTACCCAAGCTGTGCACGTAGAGGTCCTTGACGAGATTGTCTCAGTAAGCGACGTTGTACCCTAGCTGCCATGTCCATTCTTTCTACATCTGTCATCTGACGCGAAGGTTGGTTCAAGAGGGCTAGGTGAAGCTGTCTACGTGTGTGTAGAGGAGCAACGCGACGAGCACCATATATCACTCCAGCTGAAAAAGAATTACTCTGGGTAGTTAGATATAGGAGCATTAATATAAAAACTCAGAAACTGGATATCAGATTTCATTTTGTTAAACATAGTGCTACTTTTGAGGAAAAATTGACCAAGTCCTTCAAGAACGAAATTATTCATTCATCATTATTCGAGTTCATAAGTTTGCTATGATGCTTGTATTAGCTCTGCATAACTTTTGGAACAGTTCCAAGAGGTCATGATGGTGTCACAAAAAATGGACACTAAACTCACCACGTGGCTCGTCTCCTTGGTTTTCACCCATCAATGATTCACCATCTCGGGGATCAGGGGTCTGAGACAATCCCCCAAGGCGCTGTCGATGCAAGCCGGGACTCCTCCACAAATTGTATCTACGATATCTCGCGGCAGCATCAGTTGAGGGGAATGTGTTGGCGGGTTGGAGAGGCTCTTGTATTGGCTCAGGGGGAAGGGGGGCTCCAAGTGTGGCAATGTGACTGCTTTGCCTCATACCACTTGAAGGAATATGGGCTGCAACAGGTGCACGAGATCTGGTTCCCTGTCTGACATTAGGGATGGATAGGTCTATCCCCTCAGGAATTGGTGGCTGGAACTCTGCTTGATGATGGGATCTGACCGATGAGTCACGGTTAGGAACATCTAGTCTGCTTCCTGATTGAGAGAGGTTTGTAGAGCCAGACTGCGATGGGCCTTCAGAAGTTATTCTATAATGAGCTTGCTGGATACTACTCCTTGGAGATTCTAAATGTCTCTCATCAGACGACATGTCAGGATTGTTGTTTCTAGTCTCAGGATGACTTGTAGCACTTGCTCTTGTGAGGGATAAGTCTAATGGGTTTGGACTAGAGCCAGTTGTTCCTGGAGATCTTGACGGATTTCCAACAGTCCCAAAATGCAACGCCCTCATCCCTTTTTGAGGTCCAAATCTGGTTCCAACTTGAGGAGGCCCAGACTGTAAAGCACCAACATTGGCATAGTCTGCTGATGAAGTTGGCAAAGAGACACTGGCTGTGGATGAGGTGCTCAGTGAAGAGGATGCACTCTCTGATTGTGAGATAAGATTGGCTTCTGAGGCGCTATCTTCCAATTCCGATTGCAAGGGGTTGTGCCTCGGTGGAGAGGTGTTATTATCTGATCTTGAGGTTCTGTCTGGTGGAGCTGTGTCAGGTATCGTTCCTAAATGTGCAGTGAAAGCACAATGTTGTTCTTTGACGCCATGAGTGCCCCAGTGCAGGACAGCAGCACGAGGATGTGAGAGGATCTGTGATTGAAGAGCAGGTTGCATCTCAGATTCAGAGTCAGTTGTGGTATGACTTCGTGAAGATGTGGAAGGACAACATGACTCTGTGGCTACTGCTTCAGTTGAACCTATGTTTGGTTGGGCTTCTGAGCTTTGTGGTCTTGTATCCCGACTGCTTGCACTGCTGACCAGCTGTGATGAAACATTAGCTGAGATACCTGAAGATCTACCATCCATTCTAGGCAAAAGTTCTACTTCTTGAACGACACTTGAAACCTGAGCATCAGAGAAAGGCAACTGCTGATGAACACTCTGTCCATTCCGGGATGATCTGTCAGCTGAAGTTGATGGATTACTTAAGGAATGTTGGGTGTTATTTTGATTGGTGCCTTTCAATCTAAGAGTTTGAACTGGGCTGTTCAAATCTGGGCAGTGTCGCTTAGCTTCTGGTGAATGGCAGTCCTCATTCTTAATACTTGAAGAGCTGCGAGTGTAACCGTCTGTCTCATTATAATGTACAGCTGAATCTTGTGTCTTGTGGAGTCTGTGGATGGAAGAGTTCCATGTTTCTTCTCTGACACCAAATTGAGAGGTTTCATTTCATTTGCAGGAGCTAAAATTTCTTGATCAGATTCTGACGTGGCTGTCATTGCAGAATTATGAGCAGATACAGATGTGGGCACATCTTCGCTTCTCTCATCTGTATTTAAGGGGAGTTGTTGCAATCTTGCTATGTGATGTTCACTATGGCTTCTACTAGCATTGGCTTGTGCTGGTGGGATTGATAGCGATGTTCTTGCAATCCTAATCTCATCCCCATTTGTTACGTCCATATTCACATACAGCGGTTCGGACAAGTTTCTGCTTTCCTGAATTGAAACATCAGACATCCTATTACTCATGCTCTGACCATCTTCACTGCTTAAAACAGCATCATCACTTACTCTCATTTCACCACTGGATTCATCACCACTTCCGCTATTAAGATTCCAAGAGCTTATCCCACTTCTGACACCTGTTTCGCTTCTCACATGTCTCGCAACCCTAGATGGGTCATTCTGTGCCCCATTATCATTGCGCATGATGTGTGGACGCCGAAGCCGGCTCGGATAGATATTTTCATATTCGTCTGACTGTGCATTGAGAAGGTTCTGACCACCAGCTTGGCTGCCTTCATATGGGTAATCTCGAGCTGAGCTACTGGAAGGATGAACTCTTCTGAGTCCTAAAGCAGTCAGTGTTACAGCTGCTGCATATTCCCTGGCATCTTCAAGAGTCTCACTTTGAATTGGCGATACAGGCCTCATTGGCTGAGATGCAGAGAGGTCATGAGATGCAGGCAAACTTGTGGAGTATGTTCCCTGAAGAGTTGGCTCTACACGTGGAGGTCTCGGGTATGGATTCAGATGCTCTGGAACACCATGGCGTGATAGTCTAGCAGAACTCTGGTAGGCTTCGTGCTGTACATCTCTAAAGCAAAAAATAGAGAACACATTAAGCAAACTTGGTGGTTCATTGCCTGAGGAAGCAAAAAGCCCAATGCTACCAACAGACAAAAGAGATGTCACCTTCCATTCCTTTCAATATGAATGACAATCCTAACTACAAATAAATTTAAAAAAATTAATTTAGGCAATTAGAAAAAAAGACAAACTAATGCTGAAAAGGAATGCCAAAGCATGAAGCAACAAAACTTTATTACTGAAGCAGAAGAAGCTTACAGGTTTTCATATTCGGGTTCTTCTTCATCAACGGGAGCATTGGCGATCCCTGTCAGAAGATTGTGACCCAAAGGACTGAACCTGACCAACCTGTGATAGTAGAAAACAGAATTCATTAAAAGTTTACCAACTCTACGTTCAAGTAATGACACATTCTTAACCTTAATGATTCCTAATCAGCCAAATTCAAACACGAAGGCCTGGTAGAGTATTGTGCTGGTACACATTGACTGTGTTTGAGGTGAGATTCGGCATACCACAAATACACAACTGTTCACATGCGTAGTTTATAAATATGGTGTTGGGATTTGCAAGGATGAGGAGGGTCATTCTAGGAAGCTGGGATTAAGGTTTACAGAATTCTCTACTGTGGTTGTTGCAACTTTTTCCAGTGTTCATTGGACCAGGAGGGATAAGATTTTGTCACAGAGAGAAAAAAACTGCATTTTAATGGAGTACCTGACTTTCTCCAATGGTGAAGAAATTGCAACAGAGGCAAATGGCACAGGTTGGCGCCAGTCCCATAATAGAATCTGATCCTGTGCTGCAATTGCCAAGACTTGATCCCGCGGATGAAAGGAAAGAGAAGCAATCATGGAGTGATTGTCTGACTGCCAAACTTCACTGCTCCCCTGAAAGGAATGTCAGAATCTGGAGGTAAGCATGAATCTATTTATTGCAGGTAGAAAACCCCAACACCAGACTTTGCATTGGGCTTAATATTTAGGAGTAAATAGTTAAATACAATGTCTTTGATTGTGAGGGATTCTTGGCGTTTGCAACAAATTAATGCATACAAAGTTAGAATTCATGAAACAAAATTTAAAGTGATAGGCGTGATCATACACTGTACATGTGCCAAGCTCAGAGGCTTAGAATGAATGTCATTATGACTGTTTACAAGCGACCAATCAACAATTTGAAAGCGGTAATTCCAACTAGCTTAGTATAAAACCATGCATGAATATACCACCAGGAATTAGAAAAGCTATAATTGTGACAACTAGCATGACTAGACTGTTTTTGGAGCATGTACTTCAAATTCCATAGTGTTCAAAGCCAAAATGAAATAGATACCTGTAAGTCCCAGACTCGGACCTCACCACCAAGGCAGCCAGATGCAAGAATCTCATTGGAGGAAGGGTGAAAGGTCACACACCAAGGGCTCCTTGGATGACCAGTTAGGGTTTGTACATGTTCACCAGTAGTCAGGCGTGATATGTTGATATTGTGGTTACCATGGGAGGAGGCTACCAATTTGTGGTCATGACTGAAGGTAACTAGGAACGTGCATCGTGGAGTTCCTGGCAAATTGCAGGCCTGAAGATAGGTCAAACAAGGCTATTTTAGTTTTGAATTCTTCTTAGCGAAATATGTTGTCTTGCTTTCATTATATTTGAAATCATCTAGGCCTACACATGCTACACATGATGTAGGCCTAGGGCATAGGCCTACTTTAAATTTTGCAGCCTTTTGTTAGGCCTCTCTGGCATGTCTGGGAAAAATGCTGACTCCCTGGAAACATATCATACTGGGCATGATGGGAAAAGGAAAAAAAACCTGAGACGCTCAGCAAATTTTCCTGAATATTTATGGAGCATTTGTATATATGTATAAGCTAACAGATGAGATAGGCCTGACTAGCAGTGACCATGGAGGTAGGATCCACGCACTGACTAGCTGAGCATGGCAGTTTATGACCAAAGGGTTGGTCTGATTCATAACTAACAGATCAAGGTCCTAAATTTTCTTTCAGAGTTAGCAGACCTATCCGGTTTAAAAATAACCATCTCAAAAAGTCTTCAAATAAGAAATCTCACTTTATTGTAGGTGGAAGAAGTCGCCGCGATTTCTTCTGCAAAGTGAGGCAGGATATTTTGTCGAATGTGACCTCTAAAGCCTATTTCTCGGCCCTTGAGGCTAAGAAAAACGTTTTTGGGTTGATGCACCATCGTCAGGGCAGCTCCAAGTCCCTCCAACATGAAGAATTTGACTAGATTTGGGTCACATTTGTAGTCGGCGAATTTCCTGCCGGGTCTACGTCTCCTTTCTCCTTCCAATGTCCGATTTTTCTCCAGGTTTTATACCGCCCTCATGGGTTCATTTTGTGAAGCAACGCAAAGTGCACTGACCTATGATTGACCTTTGCCTGACATGCAATCTAGTTCCCGACTCCTACACTTTCTTCATTTTTTAAAAGTCTGTACACAAATTTTCGGTTTACAGACTAAACTATGACGTCAGATCAAAATCATAACATTACATTTACAATCTGTGGACTACGGTAGATGTTGGATTGACTTTGGGCTTCATTTTGCGAAATTCCCACACTCAGGAGTGGAGAAAAACATTGTATTTGTGCCAGCTTGGCGTACGATGACACATTTGTCTGTTGGATGTGTCTGAGGTAAATAAAATGTTAACATCAGGGGATATTTTTCGGATTATTAATGCCTAAGCTGTCACTGGCATGACTGGTGCCGAGTGTGACTCGACAGTACACGTACGTTACATCATCATGTGTGTGTGCCTTGTTTGTAGGCGATATTCACTCATCGATGTGACGCAATCCGTTGTTCATTGGCACTTTTGATTGTGATGTACCGGTGATCCTTAAGCCTGACCTCAGCTTTTATACAAGTCTGTGGGGACAATGGGGGAGTAGAAGCCTAGACCACGTGTTTGATGTATTTTCAGACAAAAAGTGGAAACGTTTTTTAGGCTGCTGCTAGGGACAGATACAGAGAACACTTGATGCGCCCCCTGCCCCCGTCATGCCTGGCCTCTTTAGGACATACATGTATTATCACTTTCTTATGGCTGTTATGACATATTTAATGGAAAATTAGTGTTGTTCACGTATGAAACTCTTGCTTGCCGCTAGACATATTGAATGTGCAGACTATTAGGCCTATAAGCCTTATTGCAAATTCTGCATGGGTGATTTTGAACAATGGTAGAAAGGCATTGTGGGAAGGAAAAAAGGGGCAAACATTGCCAAATAGAAACTTGAAAGACGTTGAAACGTTATCAAAACCTGGGAAAAAAATATGTGGGGACATTAGGGACCAGGATCCAATTTACTTTTTTACGAGGCATTTTGTGTTAATGACGATTTTCAAGAATGCTATTTTGACAGCATCATGTCGCCTTTTTCAATCAGTTTTTCCTTGCAGTTGACTATGAATCATGATGGCCAAAGGCTCATTCGAGGAATCCAGTCCATTACGCATCAGCACTGCCTCAGCTAGTAGTAGTAACTTGAATGACAGAGAGCTCAGAGATCTCAACAAGTTCATCAAGTTCATGGCATTTAAGGTGATAAAAAATACCCTAATGTCAGAATCTCATTAAATCAAAAATGAATATTCTGTTTGTATTTGGTTAGTCTGAAGCAGAGATCTGAAGAAACATTTTGTTCAAGATATGATAACTACCAGGCTCAATGTATTCCATATGTTCATGATATCAGCACTTGTTTCCATAAAAACTTTTACTTTGAATGCAGAAACATAAAGTACTAATGATACAAATATTTCATCTTTGCAACAGTCTGTGCAGGTGATTATACAGTCTCGTTCTGGAGAAAAAATTGATTCTGCATCCAAAGCCAAATCTGATGGAACAGACTGGGTAAGCATGACAACATCCCCATTCCAATCCATTTTGGAATAACTGCAATGTGCTTTTAACTAGAAATCTAAAAGAAATCAACTTTCTGAGTATCCATGCACAGTGAAGTGTTTATATTTGTCCTTGTTTTATTCACACAGTTCAATCTAGCTGTTTACGACAATCCAACTATTAAGAGTAATGTCAAGAAACTCCTTGCTCAAGAACTTCCGAGGGTGGGCTCCCCGTTAAATGTGGAAGTGTCCTTGGAAACCAACGAGGTGAGATAAACACCTTGAGGTAACTGCTCCTCATCAATGGGACCAAATAGTTTTGAGTATGAGTTTCTTATTTCTGATAATTGTCAGAATATTGAAGTGTGAGTTATTTTGTCTTGTAACTAATTTTGTTTGTTATTATTCAGGGTGACAGAATGGTGCTGGAATGTTGGAGTTTGGTTGTCAATGAAACTGTTGATCCTAATGCCAAGATCCACTACGCCGTCTACAATCGCCTTGGTCTCCTGCTCAAGTCACTGATATGTATCTCCAGGATCACACCAGCATACCGCATTGCCCGGCACCAGCTAGGAGCAGACTACCGGGTCATGTCTCGCATGTACTACGGCGAGATGAAGCTGTCCTTCCTGGGTGAAAGTAAGCTCAAGTTGCTTTATTCTCACTGATTGATTACCCCACACATCCTTCTAAATTCTTTGCACAACCTACAAACTCTTAACATTTCTTAACAACCTGAACTCTAGTATATACAGTTTAAACAGAAATTAATATATCATATAATGCCCTGATGTTTTCCTGTCCACCCAACAGACTTCCATTCCTTGAATGTGGGTTCAGTAGCTACCCCTATTGGTTCTGTTTTCCTGTCTGTAGCGTACAGGACCAAGCTTACCTTGTCTGTGCAGTAAGTATGACATTGAAGATTCTTTGTGAACAAGGCCCAATTTCATTGCGCTGCTTGCTGCAGAATTCCGCACTTACGATCTCCATTCTGCACTAACAACGCAAGCAGAAAAATTCTGCACTATTCCTTTAAGCACAGAATCCTTGTTACGGGATGTAGGCATTCGCACAAGCCACGATTCCTTGCTAACCTGGGAAATACGTTCAGCTTAAGTGCAGAATTTTCTGCTACAGTAAGCGCTGATTTTTCGCTTGCGGTAAGCAGCGCCGTGAAATTGGGCCCAGATCAACCAATCTTTACATTACAGAGAAAACTTACATAGGCCCTGTTTGCTGTGTTATGAGGATAATTTCAAGTAACTGATTTGAATACAGGGCCTTTGATGGTGTTGAATTCAAGTTAAAACTTTGATGTCCTAAATGCATTTGTACTTCGACCTTCATCTTATTTTTGTCTGTGAATCAATCCCACAGTCAACTACAGAGAAGTAGCATCAGTCCGGTAACTGTAAGAGATGATTACTATGGTAGCTCAAGTCCTAAACATAGAAGTCCAGGAACAACACTTGCACCAGGGTGAGGTCATCAAACGCTTATCTTCTGACTCATCGTTGTATAGAGCTCTAGGAGTCGACTTGCCTAGTTTCAGGGCAGTTACAATTAAATTTAGAAAATTTTAAATGTTTTAGTGATATGTGTTGGAGTCGAGCAACTTGTCTCATCAAAGGCTTCACACACGCAAATTTATTTTGCCGTTTTGTTGTTACATTTAGGTATATGAGTACTTTGCTTTGTTTCCCCTCAGATAATATGGTCTAAAATTTAAAGTTTAACCTTGGGGGGGTTCTCTAAACTCTTTCCATCTCAGTAGAAGTCTTCCTTATTATACACTTAAGACAAATGTCTTTTCTTGACATTGATCTGAAGACTGGATGACTCCTCAACGTTGGAAGGCTCTCAAGATCTATGTGCAACTTCGTTCTCTACCTCACCACCAGATCCTTACATCTTGCATGGTGACTTTACAACCCCATCCCCAAGCAGGTCAAAGGTCACAGAAGACAGACCTAGAGGGTAAGAAATGGCTGTTAACAATCTCAAATGTGTAGATTCACTTCAAAAACAGTTGTTGCTTTTAGCAATATTGGACATAAAGTTTTCAGTTTGAAATCTTCTGATCAGTATCAATCCTAATTTGCTTGGATTTCTTTTGCCAGGAGCAGCCATGGTTTAGGATCTGACGTATTCTCAGGGAAGCTCGGTGCCTTTGCATCACCAAAACATCAGCCTGATCCAGTAAGCAGTGTTGCTCTGACATGGGAACAGTACACTAGACATCCTAACACCTTCCAAAAGACCTGCCTAACCCACCTGAATCTATTGCAGGAAATGTACAGCTTTGTACCACGCTTTTTCAAAATATTATATCTGAAGCCTGGTCTATAGAATCAGCAAAACCATCTACTTGAATGCATACTCCAAAATATGGTTGATTTGAACTAACATAAATGACGTGAAGTATCCAAGTACATTTCTTCCATTTTGATCACAAATTTCTCCCTTCACTTTTTTCATGCTCTTTTTCTGTCATCAGAGTGAGATTATCGCCAGTGATATACCCTTCTCTTCATTGCTGCTAGAACATACCTCCCTCGACAACTCCAGTAAAGACAAATCCAGCTCCCCAGAACAGGTTTGTGTACCATCTGATGAGAGAATAAGAACTGTCTGTCTGTCCATCTCTTTGTTTGTTTGCGTGGGAGGGGAAAGAGATAATGTCGGAGTTGTAGCCCAGTCTTGAACCAAATGAGGCAATGTTCAATTACTCCGTTACATCTGCATTTCCTATACAGGAGTACCTTCCAGCAGTCTGAGTTCCTGAGAATGATATTTACAATTTTTGGTTTTGTTTGGACAGACGTTGTCAGACCAGCCTGAGGGTCAAGCTTCTTCCTCTTCCCAGAATTCCAAGGAGTCGACCCAAAGTCAACATTCAGTCGCTGAAGACTTTGTTATGGTGGAATTTGTAAGTACACAAATCATGAAGTTATCACAAAGACATCATATAGGCTGATGAGTTTGTTTATAGTTTGGGTTAGTTGTAGTTATGCATGTTGTATATATTCTAACCTTGTGATAATATACTTTGTCCAAGTTCTGACATCAGTGTTTTTAATTGATTTTCTCGTTTAGAATCCAGCATTTGCCAAACCTGAGAGCAATGGTGATGTTGTGAGTTTCTATCGGCAATTCCAAATGGCGCCTCCGTTGGTCATGTTTGATAATCAACCGTCATTGGAAGAAACCCTGGTAAGTGCATCCTTTGAATTGTGCCAATGAAATGAGACAAACATACCACAGGCAGAAAACTAAGGCTAATTTGTATATCTGCCTCGAGCCTGAACTGTTGAGGGCGCCATTCTGTCGTAGAAGTGAACTATGGGCAAAGCTGACCAACAAAAGTTCATTACTGGTGCAAGTTCTTAGGAGAAAATTGATGGTGATGATTTTGGTTTTTACTAAAAATATTTTCTTGGAACGTTTCTTTGAAGGAAATGCTGCCGACACAAATTGCAAAGTTCGAGGAGAATCAAGCTGAATTTGACAGCTTTGTGCAATCGTTACAGCGAGACAGCGAAGAGAGTGATTGACCAACACTCCTTGCACATCAAGTACTATTATTTATTTTAAAAACCTAGCTGTTTGGCAGTGATTTTTAGGCTGGTCTCTTATCTCCAGGATGGAGGTTCGAACCCAACTTGAGGCATTTGTGTCCATTAGAAGCACATTTTATGATAAATTACCTCTTCACTGCACAAACGTTGACATGTGCCTGCTGTTGACCAGATACTAATCGCAATGTGGCATGTAGATATAATGACAAGGTTTGCAGATTGTGGATTTGAATCCAACCAGAGTATCAAGGTGGTACTGTTCTTAAGCAGGATACTTTACCATAGTTAAACCTCCCTCTAATTGAAATGCAGGAGAATCTGCAAGGGCAGAGTTGATTTAAGTAAGACTGTTGGGGAATGGGGGTTATGGATCGGCCAAGGAGTATAATGTAAAACAATGTACATAGTATGCAATGAGCAGAAACCAGTAAAGGTTTAGGGAAGGAGTTTGGAGATCCGCATGATTGGTGCTCATGGGTTGGATTGCTGCTAGATTTTATCTAAGATCTCTGTAAAATCATGGAGAATTAAAACTGCCTCTTACATTACAAATGTATCTATGTCTCACTGGGAAAGTCTTGGAAGACCAGGTATGGGACCTTATCTTTGTCAGATGTCATTTTCTTCTGAAATACCAGAGTATTTGAGTGTTATTTCCATAACAAGAATTAGGTTTCTAAGTGGAAATCTGTAGAACTTTCAGTTTCAGGAATTTGGACACAGTTTTGCTAAAGGGTTTTATTCAACTAAACTGCCATGCTGAAATGTTCCAGATTGAACTGTACCCATTGGCTTGGAATAACGCCCTCGAAAGATGAGAAACCACCAGCCTGATCTCTAACCACTGATATTTCACAAACATACATCTTCAAGCAAAACTGGTTGTCAGAATTTCTTCATAAGGACACGGTTATTTTCGTTACATTGTCCTTCATACATAGTCCTTCATATGCTACGCAAATTTTGTAGAATGAAAGGCCCAATCAGAACATTTTGATCAGAAGATAGAAATGTGTCAAAATGGACTGATTGTTAACATGTTGCATGATTTATTACATGATCCGTTCAGATAATTCACAGAATTGTTCTTCTAAAGATTACAAATCAAGTTCATGATTTTTACTGCACGGGCTGAGAAATACAGTAATTGTTTTCAGTGTTGGTGATGTATATGTGTTTTAAAGAAAACTTGATGAGCAGATAAAAGTGGTTTTGTGTGCCTGTGGATACATGTATTTTCTACTGTGTATATTGTGTAATAACATGGATGAAAAAATCAATAAATTGGATAAAAATTAATCCCATTATACCCAAAGTTTCAGTGCTTCTGTATTCATAGTTTCAGCTGTGTATTTGGCATGACTAGTACTCTAACAATGTTTCAAATACAAAATGGACATATGACATAAGTGTTAACAGGAGTTTTAATTCAAAATGAAACTGAACATGCTCAAATGTCTGGTTTATGTAAACACAGAAGTACTTCATATTTGGTAAAGATATTTAAGTTAGATTTCTTTAAACAATGAAACCTGGACATGAATCAAACAGCAGTAAATTTTTGGTAAAATGTACACTCACAATCCCAAAGCTGGTTCCTGTCTAGGGAAAGCTTTTAATCTAAAAGCACAAAATTATGTGAAATATCATTCTGAGAGCACTGCAGGGCATACAACTTGAACAAGGATTAAAAAATATGCTGCTTACTATGTTACCTGGCAAGCATTTTTTGGTACCTGCTAAAGTAAGTAAGTGCCTAAATCGATCAACCGTAATGCCAAAATGCAAGATTCCACAGAAATCAAACATCATGTAAGTGTTTGGTTTAACGGTTGGGAATGTACTATGCATAATTTATCAGATGCATAGTACAGTCAGGAATTGGATATTAGGGAGGATTAAAATTTGGTAGGGCAAATCGTCCAACATTCACCAAGTCTAGAATTCAATTTGGCAAATCGGCTAGTTTTGTAAAGAATCTGGAATGTGTTTTTATAGCCACTTCTAACGTTCTGTTGGTATGATAAAAAGGCAATAAACAGAGGTAAACAGAGAGTTCCGTAGAAGGTACACACCTAACTCCATGGGACATACTGAAAATACGATTGTTGATGTTAATCTCAACAATGCTGATGAAGTGTTACAATATATCGTCCACGTTTCTATTTATGCTGTGAAAGATCTAACGTTCTTGAGAGCCTGAAGATTTGTGGTAGCATCGCACTGAGTTGAGCAAACAGATCATCAGAAATACCCTGAAATAACCAAACAAAATAATGTGCAGATTTGTGTAGATAATATTCAAATGCTCAATACCAGCTTGCATTATATGTATATTAAATGTATATAGTAAAGGTTGCTTTAATGACATAATTACACAACAGACCTTGGTCATATGACGGAATTAATGTCTCATGACATTGTACATTGCAAGAAGGACACAGAAGGAGTTACAACCCTGGCACATCAAAGTGCTCGATGATCATCACTGCCCGGTCAGACGAACAATAGTAAACATTCAAGAAACGCCTGATTGCTGCCTGCAGCTTTGCTGGACAAGTGGGTTCAGTAATATCCTAGCAATATTTGTGGTGTTTTCTTTGCAATTAACTACAACTTATTGCAGTGACCAGGAAATAGAAAGAAAAAATATTTAAGAGTAGATTTACTTTTGCCGCCGTGAATAATTTTTTAAAAAGATTTTGATGCACTTTTCCATTATCCATGCAATGTTTGTAATTTTATTTTGTCACTCCAAAACATCAGTTTTCAAAGTCTTTGTATGAATTTGGCTAAGACTGGCTAACATGTTTACCACCACAGGACAGTTAAGTTCACGAAAAACAAAATGCACTTCGTCACAAGGAGTGATCATGAGATCTCATAAAATACCTGTATGTGTGTATTCCGTAATAAAAATGATTTCAATAAAACACAAAATCTTATAAACAACTTGGCTATTTATTCCCAAAATAAATCCTGAAGAAAGCGTTTGATAAGGGCAAAGACTGCACATGAACACTTCGGGTACACAGCCTCATACAAGCAACTGCACAAGCATTAAATTTGATGTTGTTGTCAGGTCATACCAAGCACCAACGACGGCATGAATATTCAACTTCCTATACTGCAGTATTAAACATTTTATGGATGCAGATTACCAGCGAAGAATTACAGCGATGATCATAGGGTACAAAAGGGGGCTTATGGTTGTGAAACAGGTGGTGTGTAGCAATCATTCACTGTGCTCTGGCTATGGACATACCAGGCATGCCAGAAAGCGGCAATTGGCCAGATGTTAGAGCCCCGGCAGTCCAAACTCCTTCTGCGTCCTTCCTTCATGATTTTACCCAGATATTCCTCTGGGGTTTTCCTCCCACCTCTAAACCTGTTGCTGCTTCTAATTTTCTCCTCCCTACAGGTTTCTTGCTTGTGAGCTTCAGTACCTAGGGCACTTTTAAGGAATCTTTGGTGTCATTGCCAGAAAAAATTAATAATAATAGTTACATGTAATGCCTGGTACCTTTGGAACGACAAACTGGATGGTTCGACTCTCACTTCCACCCCATTGAGCCATCTCCATCATAAAACCTTTGATGCACTTCAACACAAGCTCTGCCCGCTTCACACACCAAGCGATTGTCATCTCCTGAAGGATGAATTAATTTGCATAAATAATCAAATTCACACCCATTTACCAATTGACCTCATTTCGTTTAAAACAAACAGTATATATCATCCCGATTACCAGTTTCAATAAATGAATAAATTTTCATAATTAGTTATTAATTCCTCCCTTTTGTATCCATTCAACATTTGTTTTTTTGGCATCCTCACTGAGTTGTCTTCAAGGGGCCTTCAAGTGCTCTTTGATGGGTGGCCTTTGACAGGCCTTGACCACAGGGAATAAAGTTTTAAATGAAATGCACATTCTCGGACATCTGCCTATTTTATTCAGCATGAATTACAATCTCAATAAATGAAGAAAGTCTTTCTCGGACCTATCCAAGACAAAAGTCCAGTGACATCATTCATTACATGAAATGAAATCATTCAACATTATTCAAGCTGAATATTCCAGGGAACACAATATATAGTAATCTTTGTTTGCAATCAATTACACCTGCATACATGACTCCACTAACCTCATACATTTCATAGAGTAAGAACAGTGGTAGAGTTATGGCATGAATGTCAAACTCTACGCAGCATTTCAAAATATTCCGGAGAGCCAGGATACAGGGATGACGCGAGTTGATGTCACTGCTACGGAGGCTATCATCGGCAACAAGATGAAAGACAATATGTACCTCAGCCAAGTTGGAATGTTTGGTGATGTAGAAATCCCCTGAGGAGGACACAATGAGACAATGAGTGCTAACTTGCTGTGTGAGTACCTCACTGAACAATTATCCAGAGAGCACTTGCTATTGTCTCAGCCAAAGTGAAAAAAGGACAGATAAAGATCCACAGAGATTAAGAAGGAAAAGTCTCTCCACATTTCTTACGTGAGACTGGAAAGCATCGGTAGCATTGGGAGGGTAAAATTCAACTTCTGTTCAAGTCAGTGTTGTGTGTTCAATGTACAATTGATCTAAAGCAAGCTGAAGTATTTTGCACGTCTCCTGTGGTTGCTCACACATCTCTGGGATTGTAATAGATCACATTACGAAGACCAGGCAAAGAGTAGAGAAAGTATGATTGGAAAATGGAAAACTTTTAGAACTTTGGATACAGATTTTGATGTACAACAAAATTCTACCTGTCTTGAGATTGGAAGTGACTTCACCATCTTCTGAAGACTGTCTGGATTGATTTGATGCCACTGATCTTCGGTCAGCACTACCATTGCTAGACCCTAGGAGTGAAGAAACAACCACTTTATTTCACCTTGGGCTTAATATCTTCGCATCCAAACTGAACAGGATCAAAGGTAGGGAATAAACCTCAGAAACTTTCTTTGCTGAGCAAAACTCGACAAAAAATACTTGACTTGGCAGAAGAGTTGTCTAATCTGACAGCTTGCATAACCAAGCAGCGAAGTATGCAACAACAAATATGCAGGTTACTTTGCTGAACAAATACAATGCAAAAAACAATCATGAAAAGATCCTGCGCAATGAATAAAACTACAGTTGGAGGACAACTTTGAAAGTAATTATGAGGAGGAAATATTAAAATAATAAATTGTGGCAGAAGATAATCTCGAAATTAAAAAAACGTTGAGCTCTGTATGTAATTAGTGAAATTATAAATCAACAATGAAGGAAGCAAGGATGCAGGAGATACTTGGGTCTCATGCAAAACGATCTTTAGTCACTCACCATCTTGGCTAATCTTCTCAGCTTTTCTTGCTCTGCGTATGGTGTTGGCTTGTACGGCATGTTGCTGAATCACTCTCAACTGAGTGTCAAGGTCAGGAAAGTGGAAATCAGTCGACTGCTGGCAAACAGCTGCAAAATCTGTCCAAAAAAAACACAAGGTCAACCAGCTTTGAACAAATAGCTGGGGGAAAAAGATGATGTGAATCCTAGCACGTCAATTCTTTTTGGCTCATATTTTGTCCTGTTCTTACATCCTCAAATTATGTAAATTTCTCCCATGAATAATTTTATATGAAACATTCACAATCGTGCAAATTTTACCCCTAAAAATGGCCATATTCGTAAATTTTTGATGGTTTACTTGTATGATTACCTCGCTTGATGCCCGTGTAAGAGTTGATCCTGTCGTCCACCATGAGAATGAGGCCGGACAAGGAATAAGAAAACAAGGACATCGCTGTTTGTAACCTCTGGGGTTGAGGTTCAAGAGACCCACTGTCAAAGATCAAAGGTCATAGTGAGACTGAGGACGGATTATGAGTATGACAACAAAGATGTCGATATTTGCAACCTCTGGGGTTGAGGGAAATAAGAACCACTGTCAAAAGATCAAGTCAACACTGTGAAAATTTGCCAGCAATAAGTAATAATTTTCCAGTTTCAATTGATTCAACTTCTGTCTGGCTCACAACCTGAAAACTCACTGAACGGGTAGAACGGTAGACAGGAAATTGTATCCATTGAGGCACTGATTATTGAAAGGACAAAAAACTGAGATATTAATTTTTAAAATAAATACCAAACCAAAAAAAACAAACATAATGACAAATCAACTGTTTCATTTTCACCCAGCAGTGGTTTAAGAATGAAAAGAGAGAGATTAAACTTCTCAAAGAAACTTCTTACATGTAAGTCTGCATTATCAGCTCAACTCACCCCTCTCTGTTTGGTTTGTGTTTGCAGAGATCTAAGACATCTACGGACATCAATCGAATATTATGCATGGTTTTCATCTGTGCACCTGATGAATGGATAACAAAGTACAGGAAATGACTACAATGTCCAGGTGAAGTCCACTGCGATATAACAGTATCAACAGAAATGTACCAGTCACTAGTGTTTGCCCCATCTATCGACCAGACACTGCATGGCATTTACATATTATACGACCCTGAATACAATCTGACCAAGTTGCCATTTTTGCTTGTCCAACTGACAGAAATGCCACCACTATAGCACAGGGCCTCAATTTTCTTCAAGATTTCTGCTTTTACCGAGATGGATGGTGAAACTTTCCTCCAGTCTAGGCTCTTCTACAAGTTCTTTCCTCCTCGGCGCCGGCAATGAGTCTGACATGGCTCGTATCCTGCGACTCACAGGTCCTTCAGTACCGTTCTCCATATCATCTCCTAACTGCTCGATCCAGTTACGGAATTCCAATCTCTGAGTGTCTTGAAGATTCTTCAATTCACTGTCCCATTTGGCTTCTTCAAACTAAACGAGAAAATAAACCATAAGTCTGTTTAACATTCAAATGGTGCATTTCTTGTAATTTTCCCTTGAGCTGAGGGAAATCATGAGCCAAACTGTAAATTGATGGTGCTTTCTGAACTCAAAACCTTGCTCAACTTGCAAAAGGGCTTGCAGTTAACTTTGAAAATTTCTAGTCAATGAATTTCACGACAATTACAGTAAGTAAATGACATTGTATGCCAAGTTGTATAATGTTTGTATGTTATATAAACCTTAACTGCCAGACTTACTTGGATGTTTTCAAAGTGTTGAGCTGCTAACCTGTTGACTTGTTGGTCATTATGGGTGTAATCAAGATTCTGAACAGCTTGTTGGATCTGAGCTGCTTGCCTAGAAACATGAGAATTCAACACACTGTGGAATGAATTTTAATATTCTTACATCAATATCAAAACATCACAAAATTAAACATCATAATTGGTGCCACTGTTAAATTTCATTTTCCAATTGAGTTGGCCACACAATCTTGCACTCCTAGAAATAACCCCTAAAATTTTATCTAACCCTTCTTTGGAGGTATGGAACATTTCAAAAAATGTTGCAAAATGCAACAGAGTACGCCTAAAATGAAACGTGTGCGAGGTCATTCGGAGGCACATGCTAGGTTTGCCCTATCAGCGCAGCCTTACATGGACTTGTGCTTGTGCTTTGTTCGCAAAATTGTTTCAAATTTATGCATAATTCTCAGAAAAAGAGAGGAAACATTCTTGAAATAAAATATTCTCTATTGGTACCTTTCTTGAAGCTTAGCCAATGCCTGATCCCTCTGAATCAGAACATCCTCTACGGCCACAGCGTAAGTATGTTCCAAACGAAAGAGAATCTCCAGTGCTGGTGAATGGATCAGTTTGTGATACAGCTCTGCAAATCCTACTTCTGGTTTGGGCTTGCTATCCGGTGCATAAGCCACACACTCCTATGCAACGTGATTTTGAACAAGAACAGTTAAGTAAATACCGCAAGCTGTTTGCAAGTTGAAAATAAAAATCGAATTATTTGATGTAAAATACCACAATTCAAAGCATTTCTATTAACAATGGGCATGAATATGCCTTACACTTGGGTGTTTTCCACAGATGCAAAAATAGTATGTATTCAGTTCAAAATTTGCCACACGTGCTCTGCCTCTGAGCACACACCAGTATACATGTACATGTAGAATGCAGTGTAGGCCATGCGATGTGTTCTTTCTTGGCCATAGGGTGCTCAAACGAACAGTTGTGGCCAACAACTTCCTGACCTACATGTATTTTACTGTGTACCCAAATGGATCTCAACCGAAGATCAAATTCCTACCTGTGTGTATGCCTTGGCCCATTTATCAGCAATATTTCCGATATCATCGTCACCGGCTTTCTGCAATGTCTGAATGGCTTCTTGTGCATTCTGATCATGAAATGCAGCCGTCTCCTTGGCAACAAACTTAGCAAGATTCAAATTGATGTCTGCAAATTAGAATGAAGAGACTTCATTTCAAAGCCTAGCAAGTAGGCCTATCTCTGAATATCTTGTCTTTGCAAAATGTGTGAACCAAAAATATGTAACAGTTTTTCTAATCTGTGGTAACCATTCTACTTTGGTGCTTATGAATATACTAAATATAAATTATTTAACAAAAATACCGGTTTGTTTTTCTTTTTCATTTCAAAGAAAACTGGTTTTTATTTTCCAAGTGGCTTCAATGCAAGTCTACTGTGTCTAAATCACCTGGCTGTGGCTAGTAGGAACACACATGTCTAAGGGAAGTGGTTGTAGTCACTAGTCACAGTTATCCACAGGGACAGGTGAATCTTAGCCATAGCCAATATATACGCACTTAACTCTTTTGTAAAGATTATTTCCCTGTGCCTCTTCTATTATGATTACAACCAATAGGCTAAGCTACCTAATGTCTGGAATCTCACCTACCTTCCTCTACAAAGCATGGCAGATTGTGTGTATTCACCAGTCTACCCACAAACTCCCGACTGCTAATGTTCAGTGGTATTGATATTGGTACGTGGAGTTTGGACAACAACTCCTTTGTTTTGAACTGAAAGAAAAACTCCTTCTCGGTACTTTTAGGCATTGTTGAGGCCCTCTCTGTCATGGAAACAAAGAATAAATATGTTTGATTTGTTGTACCAATAGTAAATGTAGAAAAGGGGATGACTGGGTGGGATATAAAGGCTAAATCTAGTTTTGTATCGATGAGTGGGGATTCAGACCAATTGAAATTTCTGGCTTCATTTCCATAGAGGCTCTAGGGTGCATGTAAAGTCATACTGAAATCAGAGGATTTGCTTGGGAGTGTTAGGGACAGAGGTTAGCTTAAATCTGATACATGTAGACATACAGCACGGTATTACAATCACCTACACAAGGGTTGTCCACTGCTAACCACACATTGCGAACTTCTCTCAAGCGTCTCATACACGTACTGAGTACAGGCCTAATCGGCAATCAATCATGTGGTGTCATGCTAGGCCTACTGTACTGTCATCATGTCATGCATGTGGGCCGGCCTATCGTTCAGCGGGCACATGACTCTTGACATGCTTGAAGTGGCACTGTACTGTACAATGCCGGCTTTCTTTGTCCTGTGAAAACATGCAAAGTCAACAATTCACAACATTTTACAGCTACGGCCATGTTACGTCCCAGCTTTGTCAACGAAAGTTGTGAACCTAAGCTTACCTTGATAAGAGCGCTTCCTGATGAGAAAAGTTTTCTTCTTCTGGCGACCAGACTGGTGCCAATCGTTGGGGTTACAGTTTCTCCTTTCAGTTTTAAGCATAGCCAGTCTGGGGACTCGACTGGGCGCTATAGGGAAGAGCACCCGTCTATTTCACGTTGAAAACGCAAGTATTGTTCCCCGTATCACATGTAAATGTAGGTACAACCGTACCGGCGAGAGGTGTCAGGAGTGGTGCGAGAAAGGCAGAAGGGTAAGGCTTTGTGTAGCACTTTTGACCAATCAAGTTCGCCAACCAAGTTCGCCAATCAAGTTCGCCGATCACCTCCTCATTTCAGCTTTCCTTCATGAAACAGTTTTATGTAAAGTAGGGCCTCTTGTTTTATTTTAGCCCACTGCTTTATGCAGTATTTTTTGTACTCTAAATTCGAATGTCATGTTGCTAAATTAATTTACAATAGGCCTAATTTACAATCGAAGATCAAATTTTACTAAAGGAAAATTCCATGCGGAGCAATACAATCCGAGTAAGTGGCCAAGGTTGCGCCATTTTGAATATTCAGCACTGTTTTGAGTTGAAACCCACATTCTGCTTGTGTTCGAGGGTCGAGCCTTCAAGTTCACGCTGCTGACATTAACAAGGACAGATTGAAACTTCAAATTCAGCAGTGATGACCAGACCATCATGAGAATGTTGTAGAAAGCGTCAAATTTGGAACTGTGTATATACTTCGGAAGCCTATGCGAGAAAGAGCACAGTGGGATTTTACATGACTGGACAACTCAGACGATGAAAACATGACAGAAGCCTCTATCGTTACTGACTTGACAAGATGAAACTCTTGAGGTAAGTGATTTGAAATGCTCAACGAATTTTATTTTTCAAGTGTAAGCCTACATGACATGTACTATGTGGTCCTACGAAAATCATCTTGCAAATCCTCGTGTCCCAAGTTTGTAGAGCACGGCACAAGAGTTCCATGGCATATACGGACAACACTTGATGCCCCTGTGCACAAACCTATGAGAATTGTCTGAAAAACCTAAGTGTTTTCCAAGTAAATGCTTCGGAAGTCTCCTTGCTAAATTTTACTTTTGGGGACATTTTACTGCTTTCTGACGACTGTTGTAACATTTAAGGGAAAGTTAGTGCTGTCCGTATATGGAATATGAGTGAAATTCCACGGTGGCTTGAATGGTAAGTAGGCTGTGACTGCTTTAGTTTTTGTGAAAATCAAAACCACGGATTCTTTGACGTCTTTCCTTGGGTTCTGGCATGCTGCCACTAATCTGTTCTATAGCGTAGCAAAAGCTAAATCAAGTTCATTTGCATATGAATGATCGGCACGTGCGACTTTCAACACGTGGCAACTCTACCCTGGCGTCAGGGCGCGGTACGGTTACGCGTAATTTGCATGAGACTGTTCGTCACGTGCATGCCACCTTGAGCACGCGTTATCCGCTCATACGAGGGCGCCAAATTTGGTAACTGCGAATCATTTTCAAAGACTGATAGCAACATGTGCAGAACTGAGTGTTGTTTGAGCTCCGACATTATCTTGTTTGGGATTTTGTTTTTAATAGAGTTCAGGGAAACAAAACTGTCGCGATGGCACTATAGATTGAGTAACCTCGTGTTTCTTTGAATAACATATAATTGTAACACTCATTTTATATTACTTAGCTTTCCTTTTAGACGTTAATGTGAAAGTATAGATGCATTTCTGTCACGGCCATCCCATACTTTTTCTAACGGTGTAAAGAAAAGCACGGCAAATAAAATTTATACTCAGGATTTTCGGGGAACAAGTGATGCTCCCCGCGGCTACATTGATGTTGACACATTCCTTACATCGTCCCTCGGTAAATTGTACCAAAATAATTTTTGACCAGTAAAATTCATTCCTGGTGATGGCGCTTGGACTGTGCCACGCTTCAAGTGTCACCAAAATATAACGCATTTTCCACAGCAAAGCGACTGATCCAGAACTGTAAACAGCGCTCTCTTGTGTAGTTAAAATACATCTGGTTTTTATTGCCCGTTTTCCAATACCTGTTATATCCCAGGTTTATCAAAACATCTGTCAGTAGGATTTAACCTATAGAGTTGTACAAGCAACTAAAAATAACTGATTCCAGATTTTTCGTGATTACATGTAACTAGTGTTGCCTCATGCAACTCTATTTTCCACTAAGTGACTGTGATAACGCTTTCCCGGATCCAGTCACAGAAACCAAACAGCAAAACTGCGTGATATAAACCTCTAAAAACAGTTTTAGAAAAACCTCGTCCCGAAGAGTACAATATCATGCAATCACAATCAAAGAGAAATGGCTGCAATGTTGCACAACGAATTACAACTTTTATTAAATTTATTTTACAGGATCGTGTGATTTGTCTCCATCTTTATCAAAACTTTGATACTGAAATGATAATAGTCACCTTTTACAGATTATTTCCAAAACAAAATGCTTTCATCTTTGGATGATTTTGTACAACAGTCTGCCGATAAATAACAAAAGAAGCATCCACGGAGTTGACAAAGCGTCTCATTTAGGACATCACAAGTGGTATAACCGAAGTATACGATCAAACTTCACAGAAAATTATAATTTTTTTTATTAATGTATTGATATTTCTAGTCATAAACATAGAGTTGGTTTCCCTCTGTACATGGGAAGTCGTCACGTGACCAAAGCAGGTCACTTTAAACATTTTGGCACACGACATAATAATCCAATAGTTCGGTAAAGCTGTTTCTTTGTTATAACCGAAGAGTTTAAAGTCCAGGCATGTACATTTTAAGGTCTCTCTGTTTGATTCATGCACATGCTGATAAAGTATGACAAATTACGTCACTGAAATCACACGACAAAGTACAGATACTTTTGCGGGGAAGTAGCGTTGAGATTCAGGTGGACAATTTTTTCACGAAACGATTTTCCCCAAATTATAGGGAACGTTGGTGTTCTTAATTGAACAGTTTGAAATCACTTACATTCTGTTAAAGTTACCTCAAAATAAAGAATCCATTATACCAGCCTTCTCTTTTTACTTTGGCTGGCTTCAACAAGTGGTGCATTATAACATTTATAATTGACAGGCACAAACCTGAGCTGTGGGTGTATAGGTCACGTGAAAGACAGTGTTTTTTTCAATATACAGCACAAGTGGAAATGATTAATACCTATGAGAATTTACATCAGTGGAAAGGGCGCTTATACCAACAATTTATTAAGCGTGAACGCGAAAAGTTCAACCAAAAAATCTCCAATCATCAGTCCGATTAGTTGTTGTCCTTGAGATACATTTTGAAAGGAATTCATTTCGCCATACAGCTGTCACTTTAATCGATTATCAATTATTAAAAATCAATTAAGAAAACCTCTTTAGTAAATCGTCAGGTTAGAAAACTGCGTTAGAAAACTGTGGATTTATCTTAATGTTCATCTACAAAAAAGGAATCATTTCTTACACACGTAAGTCACCTGGTCAAGGGGATCCCCTGGTACTGGGACAAGGGTGATCGTTTTGAAGCCCGCTTTCTCTAGAAATGGTTTGAAGGACTCCCGACCGAAAGCAGCGCCCAGTCCTAAGCCTGCCTCGTCGCTCAAAGATTGAGGAAGAGAACTGAACAGACTACAGGTGTAGACAAAGACTGACGCAGGGTTGTCACGATTGTCAGCGATTCTAGACTTCATATTGCTCTCCATCATTGCAAACAATCCCTCAGGTTTTAAGATTCGATGGACTTCTTGAACGATGACGTCAGGCCGAGGAGTGTCCCGGATATTCTGGATGGCCAACACCACGCCAAATTTGCCGGACCAATCGGCGGGCAGGTTAGTTGGGTCATGAGTCTCCACAGTGAGATTGAACTGTTTGTAAGGCGAGCTGGGAGTGGTCAGCGGATCGCCAGAATTGCTCTTTTCATCTTTGGACATACGAGGGTTGTTACTGAGGAAAAAACTACTTTCTGGAAACGCCCTGGCTAGTTTACGAGCCGCTGATCCATTGTGGTTGTTGATTTCTAGCACGTTGGTGCCTTGCCCTGCAATTATTTAAGAAATATGAAGATATAGTCACTCACAGAAAACTAGGGAAAAACATAATAAAACAGATCTGTTCGGACAATTTTAAGAGGCACGGAAATGGTTACGAGAAGAGTAGGTCGCTAAACACCGACGTTTTTGTGAGTATATACTACGGGCCTCGGAAAAAGACTTTTTTAAATTAATCATGTTCTTTCAAACAGTTGATTTTCAAATTAGAAATTTAGAGCCAACGTAAGGAGGAAGCACATAATAGTATCTCGTGAAATTTGTTTTTCGACTGTCCGAGGAAATCTGTTGCAAAGATTGTTTATATTTCTGACCCAGAATAGCTTCAAAGCCTGGGATGGACGGTATGAAAGCCTCCAGTAACGATGCCTGGACGAAAGTATCGTAGCATTGATTCCTCCATTGATGATAACTTGGAGAATAGTCACCACCAGTAATTCCTGGCAGAAAAAAAACCAATAGAGCATTTAGAATGACTGAAAACAATTGGAATACTTTCCAAAACTTCTGAATGTGGTTTTAAGTCCCCATCTGATGTCGATATACTTCCTCAAATTGTTTTCTTCTACGATTTTACTTCTAAATTGAACTGTATGTCTTCAACACCAAATCATCTGTCGATGTGTATATGTGTATGAATTAAGGGATTACAAATGAAAAGTTTAGAGATTTGAGTTCAAAATTTAGAACTTGTACACGACCATCCAATCAAAGTATCACTTCAAAAATTTGTGCATATACAATTATTCAACAATATGATTTTGACGTTTACCAGGCGGCCCAGATGTCTTCGTGCATTCAATTACTTTCTCGTAGACACCAGAAATCATAGGCAATCCTTGAGCGACCATTGACCAGTCTATTATGTCTCCAAGCCGCGTCACAGCGGGTCTTCGATGTGGCGGAAGAAGAAATAGTTCGCTAGTTTCCTCGTCCACTTCGACAATACAGCCAGATACCATAGCACCGAGCCATTCACGTACATATCTGAAATGTAAACATGGTAAAAAAAACCTAACGTTAAATCCAGTCAGTAATATGAAACTGAAGATCAACATTGAAATGCTTTTATGCAGTCCGAGTTGCGGATTAAGGGTTTACACCACTCCCCGTTTTATAGTATCCTCTACGAAGGCAATTAATGAAGACGTTTCGAACATACACCTTGTCCATGGTTAGCGTAGTTTGTCTCCTTTCCCGGGCAACAAGCCAGGCTTTTTTGTCGCGGTGTAAAATTGAATTCGATTTGTGCCGTTCACGTTCACTTACAAAATGCAGCTACAAAGACAAGATAATTGTACATTCTTTGGGAAGATACTTTCTGACGACATACTTTATAACTATTCTTTTTTTCCCCTTTGTTTTAGCCGCAGAGATTTGGAATTTATGATCGATCTGTTGTCTTGATTTTGCTGCTTTTTAATCTCCAACCCCTTGCATATTGCTTCTCTGGCTACCCCCGGTCCCTGCTATGCCCCTGCACTTTTCCCAAGAAAACTCACCTTTCTTTCAAACCAGCCGCATTTGCTATTTCCTTGGCACTCTTTGGTTCATCGAACCCAGCCATAGCCTCGAACAAGCCAGTCTTGTGTCCCAATGACAAGGCAAGGCACAGAAAACCCTGTGTGACTGTCTCAGCTAATCGGTTGCCAAACATCTCCTCCGTCTCAGCCATGGCGATGGTAGACTGGTTCCGTGTAGCCTAGTTCGAAAAGCTACCCTAAAAGAACAAAAAAAAAAAAATGAATCAGAACCCAGGAACTTGCTGACTCCATAACGGCCTCAACCGGGATTAATGGAGCCACCATTTTGACTAATAATAATGGTGTGTTCTGCAAAAATACCCCTTCGTGATGAAAACATACCTCAGTACTATCGAGCTATAGGTCAAACTCACTGATGCCAAAGTAGCGAATCGCTACAGAACGACTTGGACAAGTTTAACCCTGCTTGCTACGACCTCATTCATGCATGGAAGTGATTTTTCGATCTTGATTCCTGAATCTATCATATTGAACGAATAAGTGGGTATAATACCAAACAATTTGGAGTTCCAAGCCTCACTTGCAATTTTTTTAATGTGGCTTAAAGCATAATAGATATAATTTATCACAAATTTTAAATTATTCTAAACGGTAACTATATGAATTGCAATGAACTTTTATTTCTTTGCTGTTATTTTACTCTCCAAATCCCAAAATGGAAAGGTAAACCTGACATTCAATTCAAGATGGGCATTAAATGAATACTGTCTATATAAGTCTTGGAGATATGTTAATTGACGTTGACGAAATTTACGGGGAGTCCAGCGAACAACCTCTTCTATAGTCAGGCTCTTTGCAGGACAGTCTCAAAAAATATTCTTAAAAAGTTACATCACTGCAAAATTTCTCCGTCCTTAAAAATGAAACAGTCAGAGATAAGAAAAATATGTTGGAGGACGAACTTGTTCCGAGAAACCTGATGCCATGTTACCATGTTGGCAGGTGGTTGCCGTGGAGACAGTGAATATAATCTTGCACGTCCTATGGCTTTCATTCTCCAAAGAATGTCAGTCTATACGGTCGATTCATGTGTGCGCCTCCACCAGTTTGCAACGCGTTGACCGATCACATTGCGCGAAATCTGTCGACACTTTACAAACGCGTATTGGGTCGACAGATTTCGCGCATTGTGATTGGTCAACATGTTGCAAACTCTTGGAGGCCCACTGTAGTGAATCGCCTGTATTAAGACATGTAGGATTCCTTCCTCCATGATTTAGATGCAGGCCTATATGTGTGAGATGTTAGATGACTGAATCAGTGGAGGGCACTGGCCTATCTGTAAATAACCAATTATACTCACGTTCGAACGGAGGAGGGGTTTCAAGTTCTTTGGGAGCACGTAAGAAGTTTAGGTAAAACCTCAAGATTAATAATCATTTATTTGATTTAAGAATCAAAGTTTCTGCGACCCAGCTACTGAAAAAAACTGACCTTCCTCGACGTTTAAAAATTCCAAAGGCTGAAGAATTGCACTTTATGCTGTAATTACAATGCAATATTTACTGTTCAGATTTCGATACTTTGTACTTCGGATCTTCAAAGTAACCCGGACAGTAGGCAGAGTTTTGGCATAGGTTCAGTTGCAAATGCCAGCGACTTATCAAATGGCAAATACACCGTTTGACAAAAATACATACAGACGCGTTAAAGACAAACAAGATAAACACATAATACTGGACACTTCAATTCCAAAAGAGGACAACTGGATGAATAAACATGTACAGTGCAATGAGGCGAATTCTCCCACTTCGGTCATATAAACCCAACGGTTGCTTACAGAAGCTGAAATTGTTAACAAGAAAGGAAAAATCAGCATAGCTCAGTCCGCTGGCCTCCTGCGGGAGTCGGGGACACGCCCTCAACAGAATTTGACAAACATAACCCAAGTGCTAATCCGCCAATCCACACAAACTGTACGGTCTGAGTATCGTGTGTTTTTTCCCACGGACTCCGCACGCTCCACTGTGAAAGCGGCTGTTTCAGAGACTAACAAAGCCATACTGCCATGGACTTTGAAGTCCCGGTGTACGACCTTTGTCGTATACCCTAATAGTTTTCGTGTACATTTACAAGTACCAATTCAGGAGCAAACAACCGACAGACAAAGATCAAGAAAAGCTCGGGAGGCAAGCTACATACACGGGCTGTTATGTGTAAACGTTGAGCTTCAAATATTTCTTGATCCGTGCACTACTGAATGCGTACAGGATGAAAGTCACATCATGAACCTGACATGGCACTCATTCTCAAAAGACATAACAAATGACATTGCGATAATTGATGGCTGTTACAGACCTTACCTTCTCCAAGATAAAAAAAAAATGCCGAGGTAGGATCGAGCAAGTTGTTCGAGAGAACAAGACGTATTCTAAATGATTGGGAAATATACATACTCTTTTTTGGCCAATGACATTTGTCATCTTGCGACTTGACAATTTCGTGGAGAGTACTCCCTGTGTTTTCAGCCGATGACAGACTGAACTTTTAATATACATGTCTATTTTTACCGAATACTTAAGAAGAATGGCAGTCATATACTGCACTCATGTTAGTTACAATGATAACAATCCTCAATGATTGCAATAACAAGATGTCCAAAGAGGTTTCTTTTTATGAACCGAACCTCCCATACGATACGCTTGCAAGCACTTCACAAAAAAGTACTTGTATATTTGACAAATGATTGGAAAAGCAACGAATTACAAGAGAAGATTGAATTTCTCGTTTTGTAATCGCAAAATTCTTACGAAATATGTATCATATGACATTCATCAATATCACCCCGTTGTTCAAAGTCAACTTTTCCCCACATGCATAGATTTGGATGATAAAAGCAAATCACTCTTTGAAGCAAACCTGGCCGTTGCTACTTCAACTGATGAAATTTTCTTCTGAAAATAATGCACTGAACGACGTATTGCCGCCGCTTAGCAAAATCGATTGAGAATCTTTCACAACACAGACATGTGGCATTTGAATTGAAAGTTTCTTGTCAAGCAGATAGTGAAACTCATAAACCATGTAGGCACCAAGTGGCTTCTTAAAATCGTCACGTGGTACTTTCCCCTCTGGGCTATGACACAGAGTCATGGATTTTGTCCGATGCTTCAAATCACGTCTCATACGAATTAACATAAAGATACACTGACTCAATTAATATTATCATTACATAAATCTGTGTAATTGAATTTGGAACGTAGATGTCATCTCCGTCCAGCTTTTTAAATGTAGATGAGAAACTAGATACGCACTGTAGATGCACTAATAAGTATTATCATTATGTGAAATGCACTGCGCTGGTCGTACTAAGCACTGGTCGTACTAAGCACTAGTCGTACTAAGCACTAGTCCAGGCAACGCGAATTTATGTAATAAATTAACGAATTTATGTTCACCTTTTGCGAATCTGCAGCGCGAATATTTTGATCTGGCCTCCCAGTTGCGCTCTTGTGTTCACTTGCTGCCAAGTGCCAGTTTTGAATGCGGTTGTTTTCTTTTATTTCATTTTGGGGGACCTGATTTTTAAGAATATTTTCGGAAATCTTACAATTTCGAGAATCATCAAGAATTTCTGATTCCTTCGGATTGCATGACGCAATGTCTTTTAAGTTCTCATTGGATAGAGTCCAATTTTGAGTAAAGAAAAAAGGGTAGACATTTCAGTGTGCCATGTAACACATGGAAACGTAAGAAGATGAATCTTTACCCACAAGGCTTTGAAACAGAATTTTGCTTCCTTTACAGGATTTTGTGGAGGGAATCAGCCTTTTCCATAGCAGTGTTGTGTGGTTGGGTAGTCAGGGTAACAGAAGGCGTAACAAATCAAACGAAAGTTGTGTCAGCAGACACTCCGTCTTTATCTCGATGGAAACTGCGAAGTTTCGTGTACTGTTAGCAACGCTCGTAAACCCCAGTGGACAGAAAGAGTATCACTTGACCTAGGAATTACCTAACCGTGTCTCGACGATTGGCGTTATTTGTTGCATAATGAATATTATACGGCGAACTCTATCCTGGCTTTTGGGCCAATTAAGAGATATGTTGCGTTTACTGGCTGCTCTCGCATTAAACAGAATTTGGGGTGCTGATCTTTACTAAAGCCGCTCTCTCAATTCTTCAAACAATGACTAAGAAACCGATGGTTTACAGAGACCTTACACTAAAGCGTCCGTATGTTAATTGCTGTTTTTATTTTTGCTGGATCGAAAAACAGCAAGAGATTCAAAATATGCACAAATTTTCAAGGGCAATGTTATCTTTTAAACATGGAAATACTAAGAGTGAAAATAATGACAGGTTTAAACTGAAATCGACTGTCGCAAAATGGGTTACAAATTTGAGATAATATATCTTGTTTTAAGTTAAAGCATAAACTTCTCGAACATGACGAAACGATCGAGTTTTTAATATGAGAAATTCACTTCTCATGCAATTTGGAGATGATCTTTAATATTCAGCGTGCAAAATGGATGTGAAAACGACCGCGCAGTCTAAAAAAAAATTCTACTTGATCGCCGACTGAAATGAAAAGCCATGAATGACAAACTCAACTTTTTCTTGAAAACGACCTCCCCACAGCTCCCGTTGAAATCTACTGCACGACACCCGTATCGCAAAACATGTGGAAAAAAACTAATTAGTATCGTAGATGAAGAAAATGCAAGTGTGCTCCGTAAAATGCCGCCGTGGGCTGTAAAACAAATTGCGTTGTATCAGCCATGATCTGTCTCGCATATACAGGTATTAAAATAGAAACCATTCAGATTCAGCAATTGTTTGTAGATATTTAAAGGATATAAAATAACATCAACTGAAACAACTATGCCTGGGAGTTCTGTGTGCGTCGCTGCTTGATCAAAGTTGTGATTGACATGCACACATAGCTTAGAAAAACCATCTTGCATTCTTGCGAACTACGCATGGTTCGATTCGGGATGCGATGGGGTCACTAGATGAAAACATTCAGCAAACATGAATGTGAACATGAATAGGGTACGAGCAAATGGCAACTTGGTGAGATGGGAGACACAGAAATTTAACATATATCTACTCCTGTGACACAATCCTAACCATAATTTCAAAGGAAATAGGCGACGTTTTCTTTTCAAAATTGTCGCCTCATAATTAAAAAGAAATCTCTCAGAGGCAAACATCCGTGCATATATAACTCACGTAGTTTATACCTCACTCGCACCCACACCATGCATGCCCATTCACTAAGGCCAGAAAAGAAGCCGGGAAAATCGTCCCTCCTATTAACCATTGTACTGTACATACTCCATGCACGCTTCAAGCAAATTTTAATCTACTTTACCCTGAAATGTCCTGAACTATCATTACAAAAAGGTACAAAGTGATAACAAAGACGACAGTTCTATCATTTGGCTGCAGATAATGGAGCACAAAAGCTAATAGGAAAAGTAATTTTTACTCATAAAACGTCCATCAGGGCTGACTTGATGAAAAACAAACATTATGCAGCATTCATGGTTTTCAAAAATCATTGGGCTAATCAGAAGTTGATTTTATGAAAAGACGCGCCTTTGGCTGTTTTATGTACATGTAAAGGCCAAAAATAAAGACTTAATTAACTGTCGTGTTGTGAGATGGAGCGAATCGTTGCTGGCTGATTCACACTGACAGTTAATTTAGTGAAAGTTCCGAGAGTGTTAACCAATGGTCGTCTGTCAGCTACAAGGCCGAGTGTCCTCGACCTTCTGTCTGCTGGTAAATCGCGCTCTTAAAACATGCAGCAGGTAATTACTAAAGCTTTCCATTAGATTTCCCACGCTAGTGAGTTATGGAAGAAGACTCTTATTTTTGGCAAATTTACAACACCTTAGTTATCATTCCAATGAAAAATTCCACTAGAAATCTTTTGCACAAGTCAATAGCACATTTCGTTTGGCTTATCAGATTCGGGCAACCACTGAGGTTCTATCCTCGAAGTTAGTCATGCATATCTAGTTGCATCGAATGCATAATGCACGTAACACACACCTGCACTTATGCTCTTCTTCGAGGACAGATCCAGACCCAAATTTTCAGGGTGGGGGAGGGTTAAAGTTGTTGGAATTTCTTCTATATGGTAGGCTTCTAACGTCTTTTGGAGGCGTTAGGTATAAACGTTGGGGGCTTTTTACACGCCTTAGGAAGGAAGGAAAATAAAATACTCCTTCATCACTTTCCTTCTAAGTATGTTAAAAAGACAACATGCCCTAGAGAATGGCACCCCCCCATCCGTCAATGCTCCACTAACACCTAGTCGATATTCTCATCAGATATAATCCTACTTTCAGAGAGTCCTTAACGCCCGAGTGACATCAAAAGTCTATTTTGCAGGTTTGAAACACTGTTACCGGAGGAGAGAGTAACTTGGTCACCTCTTGTGTGTGCTCATAGAATCATACACTCGATTGCACCTCATCCTTTTGATGGAGAAAATCCAATTTACGATGAATCACTGTGGATTCCCCAGACGAGGTAAGATATAACTTGGGATATTTGAAACCAGTCTTGCAGAGAGTTGTCTCGATTATAATTTTGACTGCAACCTGACACCGAAGCTGTAAAAGAGAGAGTAATTATAAACTATGGACTACTCTTTATAAGCCAAAAACTGTTCATTGCGCCTTCCATTCTATCATGAATGGAAAAAAATTCATTTTATGTGTATTCCTTAATTTTTGGTCAAAGGTCACGACTGACAAATCAAAAACACAAGGGAATATTTAACATCAAATCCCCATTAAGGTGTTTCGACAATCTAAAACGTTTCATACGCAAATCACCATTATATACAGGTAGTAGGCGGATGGGGACCCCCCCCGCTCTGACACAAAAGGTTAAAAAAAATTAGGAAAATAAGATAATTACTAAAATAAATTCAAAACCAAGATAACATCCCTCAGAATGTTCTTATGTGTACAAGGTGGAGCGTTGAGACATAAAAAAAAAATCTCCGGCCTTACCCCCCCCATAGAAAAATTCCTGGATCCGCCCCTGAGTAGTGTTGAAATTATTGCCTTTATAAAAAAGTGCAAACAGTCATTACAAGTGTGTGGACAGTGGCAAGCATTATGAAAGGAAGTTCCACTGTCTAAAATTAGAATCAAATTAATTCTGAAACAAAACAATACGAAGAAATTATACAATAAATAATTTCCATGACACTTTTTATATTAATTGACTGTGTGCAGAGTCCGTTGCACTCTCTGAACGTTAATTAGATTGAAAAGGTATACAATAGATTCTACCTTGAATGCATGTTACTACAATCAATTCTCTAGAATAGTCTTGTCTATAATTTACGACTCATAATTTGCTATTTTATAACGAAATCTGTTTTAAAACGTCAGCGATTTTATTTGCCAATTAAGGATTACAAAGAACGGTACGTTTTTGTTCCAGATCATCAAAACTGGATTCTGATTCATTACAGGAACCAGACACCGATATTGACACAGTGTGAAGTTCAATTAGACCCATTATTGCCCCAATTTCAAGGGGCTTCAAGGTTAGCTAAACATGGAGCTTAAAAATGTCTAGTGTCACTCTCGCATACAGCTGCTAAGACTGCTTCTTAATTCGCCTCAAATCTCCCATTAATCCTACCGTTGAGTAGTAAACCGGAAAGCATCGCAAATCAAAAATTCACGCTTCAAGTAAATTAAAAAGACAAGCGGCAACTTGCTCAGACACATTCCCCTTCCATCAGAAACGTATTTATTTTACGCAATGGCCATAACCCCGGAATTATTTGATTAGCAGATTCACTTGACATCCATCCCAGTATTTATAGTAGCAGTACCCCGGGGGTTTTTTGGCTTCAGAAGCGGAGACGGCGAAGCAGGAAGCTCCAAGTGATATATCGAGTTGTTTTCAGATGTGTCGCCGGGCCGGTGTTTTCCTTACGGTTATTTTTATCCAAAGTTATCAATCACCATCTGCCAAACACTTATTACACAGTGTTTGTTTGGACATTAATAATACGATGATACATGAAAATGACTTCATTCTAATCAACAGAAATATTAAATTCGCTAAGTATGGATTACATTAAACCACAGAAAGAGGTGAGCGACTGAAGCCCGGCTTTTCCCAACGGTACGTCGAATCTAACGTGAGACATGGAAACTGACTCTCGATTTAGCCATCCAGATTTGAGGGGGGGGCAGGTATTACTCTGAGGATTCTGAACAGATTCATGCATATTCTCGATAGTAACGAAGAGACCCTGTATCATATGATGTTAAATACACAGTATAAACTGGAGGAAGCAAAACTACACCGTGAAAACGCATCGATAAAGATATTGCAGGACCGTATAGTGCGGTACAGGCGAATGACTCAAAACTAAACTAAGTCATTGTGCTCACTCAAATTATTAGCTTTGTTAGAATTCCTTTAAGTTTTCGATTTTTTCCTGTTAGTTTTGTTTTCCTTGAATATTTGAAACCAAAAGTGACTCAATTTAACACAAGCTTCGTGGCACTGTATTAGGCTATTACATCAGTTTGAAATTAATGGCGATCTATACTGAAATAATGTTTGAAAATCAATCAATCCGTTCCCTCTCAATTTTAATGATTTTTAAAATAATATTTCAAAAATCGCACATGTTTCAAGGCGCATATCACATTTTCCGTTTAAAGTAGCTTATCAACTAGGGAATGTCATGGAACCATAGTTATATCCACTAGGGAATGTCATGTAACCACAGTTATATCAACTGGGGAATGCCATGGAACCACAGTTATATCAACTTGGAAATGTCATGGAACCACAGTTATATTGCCCGTTTTGCGTCTCAACATGAATTGAAATTAAAACGACAGGTAAAACAGACTAGAAATGGGAATTTTTAGCCCACGCTTTCGATCTTCTTCTCAGTTTCTGTGCCACTGATTCACTATAAAGTTTCGTTTTTTGTCATGCTGTAATATTATCTGCCAGTTCAAATTAAAGTCCCAAACCTTTTTTGACAAAAATTACCAACCATGGCCACTGCAGTAAGCAAAGCCGCACACAGTTGACTTTAACCGTGAAAACTAATACATTGCCATCTTTATATTGACACACTATCAAATATTAACTCAACTTGAGAATATAAATGAATACCATAACTAAAATATACAATCACAGAAAAGGTCAAAAGTTTAATAACGGTTGACATGGATGGTGCCCAGCAGGTTTGTACAAACAGTCTGGTCGCTGTAACAGAATTAAACCAATATACACTGGCACGCATAAATTTTGTCAAAATGAAACGAACCAATCAGAGGCACAGGTCGGGGATGAAGTTTGGCAGTGCGAAGGATGAGGTATCTTTGGGCCAACGAAGTCGGACTGATAGCCCAATTGTTGTATCTATAACAAATGATCTTGGTTTATCCAAATAGGCCATGAACTTTGATGTAACCTTGAAATATCTGAGTATGCGTGCAGCAATGAGAGACATAAGACTCAAGAAATGGAACCGGTCCATCATGGAAAATTTGCTTCGCTACGGTCACATCGTCCACCATCTTGACAATTCGACTTTAAATGGGGGAAAATACTACAGCCCAATGTACAATTCATTTAAATTCTTGTTTTATATTTGACTTAAGCCCCCCCCCAACAATCCCTTGCCCACCCTCTCAGAAGAATTAATGAGCGTAGTCTACAGCCCCTCCCACTCAGATTACTAAGAAACAAGTCAAAGCACAGGTGTACTCAAACCCCTGTAAACCCCAATAAAGCCTTGTATAACTTCAAGTCGTCTATACCAACAACCTGCTTTAATCGTTAAAGGTTTTGAAGTCTGTACTTCTCAAAACTTGCTGCACTGAAGTTATTGTTTTGTACACTCGACGTATAAAAATTTAAATAATGATTCATCTGCCCGTATGGGATAAATAACTGGCGAGTTATGACGCAATCGTTTGGACAAATTTCCCACACATCGTACAGACCTCGCCCCTACAGCTAAAGTTTATTCCCAAGAATCATTTCAAGGACCGGTCAGTCCAGATATAATTTTACTCTATCCCTGAAAGCAGACGGTAGCAAGCTTACCCGTAGAAAATCAATGTTACAAAAAAACAATGCGTTTCGCGTGTAGACAAGATCCAACGTCTGCTCCAGTTAGTCAGCACATCATCTGGTTTAGGTACGATACTACGTGTAAGAAGGATTATTATTCGGCTATACTACATAATCTGTTGCCGTGGTTACCGGTCTTTTTGTACTTGATGCATTTAAAAAAATGCTGAGATTTTGCGCGGCACGCGATGTACTTACTTATGCACACACTTGTAATACAGTATTAAATAAATATTGGCCCAAGATGCTGCCTTTTATTGGTCACTGAAATCGAAAGCATTGCTGCTTCCCTGAGTTCAATTGGGGTGCCTAAAATGTCGCAGTGAGCAACTCTGACAGGAAATTTCAATTCATAGTCATGCTTGTTTTTCTCTGGACTGTAAATTTCTGGCTTGCCAAAATAATTATGGTGAAGTGGGCAGAATGGAAGGCAAAAAATAAAACATTTTAAAAAAGCCAATTCAAAAATAAAGTATGGATGTTACTTTAGTAGAAAGGCAGTACTCAGTGAAGAAGGTCGAGACAGACAAAATGTCTGTCCCCAGGGCCTGTTCCCTTGTGACTTTTACAAAGTGCGTTTTCTTTCTTTTCACTTTTATGATCACCGTGTTGAGTTGTAATCATTACCAGACGGAACACACATGGGAACTCCCTGTGTTACACGTAATTGCATTGGAATGTCATTGTAAAAAACGTAACTCGTTTTGTGTCTATTTTGGTCGATATTCCAACAACGAACCAGTCGTTGTGTATAGCTTCCCATGCTCTACCGCCAGATGCTGAGTTTGGTTCGATTATCTATCCACAAAAATCACTCCAAAGCACAAGGCAACAATTAGCCAGTCTGGCGTCTGAATGGTCTCCAAAGAGTCAAGGTTACCGTCTGCCTGGAAAATGTCCTGTCTAATCATCCTTGATGATTTCCAACCCCCCCACCTGCCCAAAACAACCTCTCCGAGTCTAGGTTCAAGTGCTCGTGCTACGACTGACCTTCCACTTCATAATAAATGACAAGTGCATCTCCGATGCCTCTCCACGTACGCGCATTCAGAATTGGGCAGGCGGTCATTAATTTTGCGCGGGTATAAATACACAAAACATCCCGGAAATCGTTGAGGAGACGGCTCACGCACAAGTGGAAATGGAGTCGAGCTCTATGTGGACTGCTTCTGTGTGATTCTAACAGATACCTATGTAGTATTAATTTCACTTGTTTGTGAGTTGAACGATCTTTCTACAGTGGTCATAACAGGGGAAGACAGGATGTGCAGTGAGCGTTACTTGGGTCAGTCCGTCTGTTCCCTGCTCTGTCCTCAAATGCGCGAACAGTCATGTTGCACTCGCATAGCCACCAGCAGTCATCGGTATCACACACACGGAGCCACCGTACAGCCCACTAGCGCTGAACCTCATTGATCTCAAATTTGACTTCGTTTTATATTGACTTTAATTAACAATATTGAAGAAAATCTCACCTTAATCACGCCTGTTCAGTTATCCAGGAGCCAATTCACAGAGACTGTCAGCGTCTGATGAGAATTCGATGAGAAACTTTTTTCCCTCACAACCAACACCCCTCTTATCGCATAGACCCACACACACTGCACGAAGAGGAAACCTAACCCACGGCGGGCAATGGCATAGATTGATAAAAATAATAAGTCACTGAACCGCAACCTCAGGGCTTACAAAAAGAATAGGTTGTGCACAGTACGAACTCTAAGGTTCACGATGGCTCTACGTGAAGCGGTGAAACACACGCCGTGTCATCGCCAGCAAGCGATCTGTCATGAGGATATACGAGAGTTGGTTGTTACATTCATCTGCCGATAGTCCACTTTGCACCCACGCTTTTAGTTCAATTATTACATGCATAATATGCAGCACTTTGTGAAGGCTGTTTAATATGAACGCATATGACGGTAGACTTGCTACTAGCCTTCCCGCTAGAAGTACTGATTGTATGTCGTCAGGGTTCAGTGAAAATAATCAACACGAGTAAAAAGGAAACTCGGTATGGGCGGGTCCGTACATAACTGTATGGTGGTTGATGGGGGGAATTACGTAGAGCAGAAACCCTTATGATTAGGAAACTAAACATTTTTTCACATAAACCAATGGAAATGAAGAAAAAACTTGAAATCTTGCAATGAAATGAAAAGAATTGTGGGTAAGATATCAATATCAATGCCACAACCAACCACAGTGCGCTGTTTGTACGTCATACTGTACACACATTGCTGAACTTGTCAGCAAATGGAGACTTATTCTGTACAGACTCAGGTATTCACATAATTCAATTATACCTGACCAAATTAAACTGACCACCAAGAATTAGACAAACTGTCATTTACTTTCAACTTGCCATGATGAACTTCTGCAAAGCCATTCTTTCTAATCACTTCAGTGTCTTGAAAATCATTAGACATACAATAATACACCGTGATGTCAGATTTTTTTATAGACATGCTTAACTGAAACCGAAAGTAATTTGGAAACTTAAATAAAATATACATGTACAGGAAATACACAAGCTCGAAATCAGTTTCACTCATCGGATAAAATAGCAACAAAGGCTTCCTCCAAACCACCGTACTTTCCTTTCCTTCATAAGAGCTTTACTATTAATACTACATTCATATTACTGCAAATAAATTTATTCTAATAAGAGCAAAACAATGAATCCACAAGTTACTCTGTCATCCATCCTCATAGCCCCTACAATCTAACTGTGAATTACATGTAGCATCATCATATTGCTTCTTAATGGGTAGTACCTGGGTGGGATTAGGGGCGGAGTTTGGTTGGGGATGAGGGAAGAGTTACGCCCAAACCAGGTAATTTTACTTCCACAGTCCAACAATGCTTGTCTATTATTTCATTTCAATGCTTTAAGACACTGGCAAGGGGGGCTCATACCACATCCCCTCCCCAAAAAATGACAAATAAAAAGGGGAAAAAGACAGAAAAGGCAAGACAAAAGGAGTAAAGATGGATTAAAAATCACCAATTTGCTTGAAAGTACCTCAGATTTAACCCCTTTCCACTGTTAATGATTTGCCAATTGCTGCTGATGAGTGCTTTGCCCCCCCCCCTAGTGATGCCCATGCTTCAAGGTGTCGATTGTTCACACTTCAGGAAAAGAGCTACATGCACCAACTGAGCAAAAAGAAGTTAGGACTCACTAATCAAAACTCTCTGTAAAGAGTAAATATTAAAGGATTTTGTATTTTAGATGATAGCTGAGAGTTTGTGAGAAAAAGATCAGATGCTAGCTTAGGAGGACCTTTCTCCACAGCGCAGCAGTCTTGGCCAACAAACTGCCAAGCTTGCCAAGTTGGTTTCATTGGTTAAAATTGATATGGTGGCAGGTAACCTGATGAATGGAAATGCACAAGTCCATCTTCCTGATGCAAAAACGTCCGTAGCACTTCCTGCTTCTTTGCCGAGTGCAACTCATGGACCCAGCCAGGGTCAGTCCTGTCATCATTTTGTTGACATCTGGACAACAGACTTTCGAAGGCTTGATCCAATCAGCCACCAACACTGTAGGACCTTGCCTGCCATCAGCAAACTCTACGACCCTTGATTCTGACCTGTGACCTACCTCTTAAGAAAGGTCAAGCCTACAGTGGAAATCATAGTTTTTCCATGCTGACCAGTCTGAAAAAAAGGGTTAAGGAACAAAGACAGTACTCATGGACAGGAATGAAACTTTAACTAGTTAGTATTGGTTAGCATTAGTACTAGTTAGGGTTAGTACTAGTAAGGGTTAGCACTAGTAAGGGTAAGTACTAGTTAGTAAACTAACTAGTTGGTACATGATGATTATTATCAGGGATCATTTTGTGATTAGCTAGCCAATTGTGAAGCTTTGGCCCATGGAAGCCAATTGCTAGTGGCTGCAGCCACATCCCATAGATGTATGCGTTACTCCAAGCCATAGCCACATGATTTGGACAACTGCCTCCTCTGTATCTGTATCTATTTGCTAATGTACAAACATCTGGTACGGCTAGCCCGTACAACTTCCGCGCAATGCATGTGGTCGGACACACCATATATAGACTGCAAAGGCAGCTCTCTATTTTGCAGATGATCTTTAAATTTCTCTAACGATTGTGCACAACGCCCTTCATCAGGAAGGCTGTTCCACGCAGCAATTGTCTTGGGATATACGGACTGTTGTTACCACTTCTTGTTTGCTCTAATGTGAACGTAAATGAAGTACTTTACAGATTGTCTTCCAGTGGGTCTATTCTGTGATGACTTAACTTCTCCAGGATTTCTCAACAAATGTGAAATATTTCTTGGTAGCAGACCACTTGTTTCCTTGTAGATTATAGTAAGGGGAGCTTTGCTTCGTCTGATCTCAAGGCTATCCCAGCCCAGTTGTAACATCCTATCAGTGACACTAGCCGTTTGGCTAGTTGTTGCATAAGAAGTGTGCAGCTCTATGCTGAACTTTCTCAACTGCATCCTTCTTTGTCTGCTGATAAGGGTTCCAAACCACATGACAATACTCAAGGAGCGAATGCACGAATACTGTACAGGCGAGTACTTTGATTTTCTTATCACAGCTGTGAACGTTTCTCCGTAGAAGGCCCAATTGTCTGTTGGCTTTGGTGACTACATGTATTTAATTGATATGCGTATTCCATGACAAGTCTGAAGTAAATTTTAC